GAACAGTGAGAACAATTATGAATAAAGGAATAAAATTTACTGCAAATTAAGCCCTAAAACAAAATTGGTACAGTGGAACCTCGGGTTGCAGACATAACCCGTGACTGAGGCACGTCCGCAACCCACAGCGTTCGCATCCTGAAGCGCCACGTCTGCACAGGCACCGATGCAATTTGGCGCTTCTGCGCATATGAAAGACCCAGTTCTCTGAGTGCATGTTCTGGAAGCTGGGCAATAGGGGCAGTACAGGATTCCTTTTGGTGTACTGACCTCCCCGCTGCACCAAGGATTCCCTGCCCCAGCTGCTTCAGGTCATGGCGGATGTTCTCCTGGAGATACCTAGTTTGGTTGTCCTAGGGGATTTTAACATCCATGCCAACATGACCTTACAAGGGGCTGCTTGGGACTTCGTGGAAAGCATGGCCTCCATGGGGCTGTCCCTGAATAAGTTTGGCCCAACTCATAGTCACGGACATGCCTTAGACCTAGTGTTCACCTCTAGTGACGTGGGTGATATGACACTAGGTAAAAGTGAAACAAAAGAAGTGCCATGGTCAGATCACTTCCTGGTGCAACTGGACTTCTCCGTGACCCTTCTCCTCTGCAAGGAGGTGGGACCAATGCGGATGGTCCGCCCCCGCCACTTAATGAATCCAAATGGTTTCCAGAGAGTGGTAGGGCATGCTTTATCCCATGTTGATGGCCTTTCAGCTGATTCCCTGGTGGCCTGCTGGAATGCGGAGTTGACCAGGGCTATCGACTGTCTGGCTCCGAAGCACCCTCTCCAACTGCATGGAGCCCTGACAGCCCCGTGGTTTTCTTTGGAGCTGCGGGTGAGGAAACAATCGCTGAGACGGCTAGAGTGCCGGTGGCAGAAAACTCATTCTGAATTGGACTGGACACAGGTTAGAGCTCAATGTCGAGCCTACCAAGTGGCAATAGCGACGGCGAAGAAGACTTTCTTCACCACCCAGTGGCGTAGCGTGGGTTGACAGCACCCGGGGCAAGGCAAGTAATTTGCGCCCCCTAACCCTTTGAGAGAGTGAGTGAGCCAGGTAGGGGCAGAGAGCTACGAGTGCGAGCGCCCCCCCCCAGATGTTGCGCCCGGTGCGGCCGGCCCCCCCTGCACCCCCCACGCTACGCCACTGTCACCGCCTCTATTGCATCTGCAGAAAATAGTAGCAGGAGACTCTTTCAGGTGGTTTGCAATTTAACGGAACCACCTTTACCACCGGGGCCTTGTAAAGACCCCAAGATCTCCTGCAACGATTTTTTATGCAGATAAAGTTGCTCATATTCGGAAGGAGGTAGACACCACCGTGGGAGCAGGGTCGGGGCGGGAGAGTGCTAGAGAGAGGGGCGGGAGAGTGCTAGAGCCCTGTCTGGTCAAGTTGCATGGAATCAATTTCAATCCGTTACCCCCGAGAATGTGGACAGGTTGCTTGGATGCGTGAAACCAACCACCTGTCTCCTTGATCCTTGCCCGTCCTGGCTAATAAAAGCAAGCCGGGAAGGGCTGGGCAATGGGCTCTGCGGGGTGGTGAATGCTTCCCTCTGTGAGGGAGCCTTCCCAGACCCGCTGAAAGAGGCGGTCATTAAACCGCTTCTTAAAAATGCATCTTTAGACCCGGCCAGTATGGCCAACTATCGCCCAGCCTCAAATCTTCCATTCTTGGGCAAGGTGATTGAGCGGGTGGTTGCTGAACAACTCCAGGCATGCCTGGAGGATGCAGACCATTTGGATCCCTTCCAATTGGGATTCAGGTCTCATCATGGGACTGAAACTGCCTTGGTCGCGACAATCGATCATAACATCCTTCTGGACCGTCTAGAGGAGCTGGGAGCTGAGGGCACTGTTATACAGTGGTTCTGCTACTTCCTCCTGGGCTGTGTCCAGAAAGTGGTGGTGGGGGATGAGTGTTCAGACTTACTTGTGGGGTGCCTCGGGGTTCCGTCCTCCCCTCCATGCTTTTTAACATCTACATGAAGCTGCTGGGAGAGATCATCAGGGGGTTTGGGCTTGGTGTCCATCAATATGCGGATGATACCCTGCTCTACCTCTCTTTCGACTCAGAACCAGTGAAGGTGGTGAAGGTCCTGTGTGAGTACTTGGAGGCAGTTGGAGGATGGATGGCAGCTAGTGGATTGAGGTTGAATCCTGACAATATGGAAGTTCTGTTCTTGGGGGACAGGGGGTGGGCTGGTGTGAAGGACTCCCTGGTCCAGAATGGGGTAACTGTGCCCCTGAAGGACCAGGTGCGCAGCCTGGGAGTCATTTTGGACTCACAGCTGTCCATGGATGCACAGGTCAATTCTGTATCCAGTGCAGCTGTCTACCTGCCCGGAGACTGCCTCACTAGAGTGGTGCATGCTCTTGTTATCTTCTGCTTGGACTACTGCAATGTGCTCTACGTGGGGCTACCTTTGAAGGTGACCCAGAAACTACAACTAATCCAGAACGCAGCAGCTAGTCTGGTGACTGGGAGTGGCCACCAAGACCATATAACACCTGTCCTGAAAGACTTACATTGGCTCCCAGTACATTTCTGAGCACAATTCAAAGTGTTGGTGCTGACCTTTAAAGCCCTAAACGGCCTCGATGCAGTATACCTGAAGGAGAATCTCCACGCCCATCATTCTGCCCAGACACTGATGTCCAGCACCAAGGGCCTTCTGGTGGTTCCCTCACTTTGAGAAGCAAAGCGACAAGGAACCAGGCAGAGGGCCTTCTTGGTAGTGGCGCCCGCCCTGTGGAATGTCCTCCCATTAGATGTCAAAGAGATAAACAACTACCTGACATTTAGAAGACATCTGACAGCAGCCCTGTTTAGGGACGTTTTTAATGTGTGACTTTTTAATGTATTTTTATTTCATTTTTTGGGAAGCCACCCAGAGTAGCTGGGGAAACCCAGCCAGATGGGCAGGGTACAAATATAGTAGTAGTAGTAGTAGTAGTAGTAGTAGTAGTAGTAGTAGTATAGTAGTGGTAGTAGTGGTGGTAGTACTTTGTAGGATTTGATAATCTTTATAGGTCTTTTAAATTTCTAATCTATCTATCTGTCTATCTATCTATCTGTCTATCTATCTATCTATCCCCTCCCCCTTTTCCCTTTCTGTACTTCCCTATCCTTATAAAATTGAATATATATATATTTTTAAAGTTTACAGCTCCACAGTTTTCTGGGTCGCCCCATATTCATTACCCAACCACCTATGCTGCTCATGGCCAGATCACTTTGGGGCACTGCCATGCTGTAAAAAGATTCTCACTGCCATGCTGTAAAAAGATTTATGTTTGGTCACCCTGAAATCACTATCAAATCACACATGATGTATATGACCACAGAATGAACCACAAAAACCACAGAGCACAGCCAAGGAACAAACACTATATTAAATACTTTAATCCTCATGGATTGGCATGATTGTTAAATGGACTCCACCAAATTATATTGTAAGATCACACCAATGTCCATGGAATGACCGAAATACAAACGCTATCTGAAATGGTTCTGCCTTAGCAAGAACACTGAATTAAAATGACATTCATATTCATAGCTTCCACTGTGAAGAACTGCACCTGGAAATTTTTGACGCTGCTAAACCTCAAGAATGTCCAAGGCAGAGATTGTGATGATCTTACCTGTGAATGTAAATTATCAAATCAACTAGATGGAGACCACCAAAGTAACCATGAAAAACAATCACCTGTCTTGCGTCAATTCAGCTACAAATGGTTTTGGGACAAAAGTTGGTTGCTTTGCTGGGATAGTAATTATAAATGGAGGTTTAACTGCAAGTTTTCTTGAGAACAGATTTTGTCAGTGCAAACTTTGAAATAGGGGGTTTCCAACGTGGTGCCCATGGGAATCATGGTGCCTGCTGACAGCTTTCCTGGAGTCCACCACGTGTTTTTAGAAAAAGAACAGGATTAGTGGTGAATTGTGCCCAGCATGACTTCAGATTGTTCATAGTACATTTGATTGACTACAGGGGCATATGAAGGGGCAGCGGGGTGATGGTGCCCCAGGGTGCCATGCTGGGGGGAGAGTGACAGTAAGGTCGCTGTACTGGCTGCCGCTCTTGCGGCAACTGTACAGGCAGCCCCTCTCGCAGCGACCGTATGGGCCATACGGGCAGCTGCTCTCGCGGCGACTGTACAGGCTGCTGCTCGCGTAGCGTCCGTACAGGCAGCCCCTCTCACGGCGGCCGTACAGGCTGTATGGGCAGCCGCTCTCCTGGCGACCATACGGGCTGTCATGCATGCACAGTCCATACAGGACATCATCCAGGACTTGTTACCATATTATAGCTGCCACAAAATCTATCGGCATGCCACCAGAACCAGGGAAGCCTTGCCAGTTGCAGCTCACACAGTTGAAGTGAAATAAAAGACAGAAGAGTAGATCGGGAAGAAAGTTCCCCAGACTGCAGGAAAAGATAACAGTAGCTCCAGCAGCTGATTCAGTGCAGGCTGCTGAGGGGTTTGACTCCTTAAGATCACCAACTGACTATGAGACACCTGGAAAGCACTCAGCCTCAGATGACCTCCACTCCAAAAAGTGGGAAAGAGGATTTGACAGTGACCAATATTGATTATTTTGATAGCAGCCCCATATTCTCAACACAAAGTGAGAAGTGTTTGGACAAATCACTGATTTGTACATCAGTTCCCCCATGGCACAACTGTACCTTCCCCACACTCAGTCTACAAACCATGGGACTTGGGTTCAGTTGGCAACATCTGTGTGTATGACTATGACATAAACACACTGAAAGGATCAAACTGGATAAATGATCGCATAATAGATGCCTTTCTTGCCTCCAGGGTGATCATGGCCAAAGAGCTAGGTCACAATGGAACAATTTTCCCACTTACCGTACTTGCCACTTCATGCAGATATGTCAAAGATTGCCAGTGCAAGCTCTGAAGAACTGTTTGAGATTTGGAGTGCTAAAGAAAGATGTTTTGATTATTCCAGTAAATGACAGAGAAGTCCACTGGATACTGATAGTAATCATTTTTAAAAGGAAGACAATGCTCTATCTAGATTCCAAACATGGATTGAACCACTCTGTGATTGATGCAATAACATCCTTCTTAGCATGTCTGTATGAGATGGATTCAAAATATCCCTATAGTTTTGCGGCTGATCATTTTTTGCACCAACTGATATACCCAGGCAAGGTACCGTAATTCCAGTGACTACGGTCCTTTCACATGTACCATTGCCCATCTGATTGCTTCTGCTGCCCAATTACAGTTCATACAAAAGGATATGGCTGCCATTAGACCCTGGATTGCAAAAGAAATAATACAGTACTGTGGGAAAACCTATTTTGAAGGACAAGACAAATATTTTCAAGTGGAAATTGATGCTGTTCCTCCCAAGAAGAGACAAATCTTGAACGAAAGTTACATTACTGTGTCTCGATCATGCCCAGAGGGATGGAAGGATACACTAACCTATTGCTCAGATATTTTACCTTCCTTGTTTGAAGGCTGCTGGTCACTATGTTTCTTGAAGGAAGGGTGCAGGAGGCCCAGTGGTGACCTAACTATGGTTTACTGTGAAGGAAACTGCAAGGACTGGTACCACTGCTTTCGCATAGGCATTGATTCAAAAGATCTTCCAGAGGTTTTCGTGTGTCCAGACTGTCAATCCACTGTGGCCGAATAGATTTTGAAACTGCGAACTGTCATATTCCACAGGTTGGTATAATACAGCAAAATCCAAACATATAGTTTTCATCATCATGGCAGGGATGGTCCTTTTCCATAGAATTCTTATTTATGGAGTTAGTTTTTAAATCCTGCTTTTCTCTACTTGAAGGAGTCTCAAAGTGGCTAAAAATCTCCTTTCCCTTCCACCCCCACAACAGACACCTTGTGAGGTAGGTGGGGCTGAGAGAGTTCAGAGAGAAGTGTGACTGGCCCAAGGTCACCCAGCAGCCTGCATGTGGAGGAGCGGGGAAGCGAACCCAGCTCACCATATTAGAGTCCACCGCTCTTAACTACTACACCACAGAAACATATCTCTTAAAACTCTGGAGCAAGCTGTTCAGTTCAGCCTCATAGTGATACTGATTTGTGGAGGGAAGGTTGGTGATGAGCAAGATCTGTTCCCATTTCCCAACACAGAGACCATAGAGCAGTTTCTTTTGGGAGCTGAACCTGCAGAGTGTTTCTGTTCAGAATTTCCGTGGCAGAAATTGGCTAAGTGCCTTTATAAACATTCAGCTTCTCAAATCGAACCCCATCATGAAACTTTCAGGTGTAGCTGTTGGAGGTGGAGGGCAGAGAAGGTGCTAGTCCTTACCTCCCTCCTCCCAGCCCCATGATCAGTTGCCCAATGGGCTGAATTTCACGGCTTTTGCATGTAAAGGGCAAGCTTGTTCTTTACTTGTTTAGACTCTTTAAACTTGGAAACAGATATTTGGCTCCATGACCAAAATGACCAAAAGGGTCAGCTTCTAGAGGACTGGAAAGATCATGATTGTACTTCCCCTACCCTCAGCCCTAACTCCGTTGAGTATTTTTTGTTATGAGACTGAGTGTTTGGGGCTGATGCTGTAGCATTCTTGTCTGGGGGCTTGATGGAAAAACAGAAAAGTGACCCTCACCTAACTCTCCAATGCCCTTCAACAAGAATGCTGTAGGAAATATTGCTAAGCCCAAAGGGAGGCAAGAATTTGCTTCAGAGAGCCAGTGTGGTGTAGTGGTTAAGAGCGGTAGTCTCGTAATCTGGGGAACCAGGTTCGCGTCTCCGCTCCTCCACATGCAGCTGCTGGGTGACCTTGGGCCAGTCACACTTCTTTGAAGTCTCTCAGCCCCACTCACCTCACAGAGTGTTTGTTGTGGGGGAGGAAGGGAAAGGAGAATGTTAGCCGCTTTGAGACTCCTTAAAGGGAGTGAAAGGCGGGATATCAAATCCAAACTCTTCTTCTTCTTCTTCTTCAGCTCACCTTGTTAATGGCAGAGCAAAAGCTATGTGTGTGTCATTCTCAATCAGTCTACTTTCAGGACTGATTTTAGAACCCTCTTATGTCAGGCCACATGGTCACTGGAGGTGGCCCCATCATGCAAACATGACTATCCACACAGGGACCATCTATTTTTGTTTTTTTTCCTGATACTGGATTTTATGTTACAGTTACATCTTTTAAAACAGCTGTCAGTATATCACACTGTATTCCACTTGCCTTCCAAAGGAACATGTGGCTCTCCCCACATAGCGGGTTAGGTTGAGACTGCTGATCCAAAGTGATCAGTAATTTTTACGGTAATTACAATCCTGCTTTCCCTTGTACCAGCTTACCTTGACTTCAGTAAGGCCTTTGAAAAGGTCCTCCATGATATTATTGCAAAACAACTAGTAAAATGTGGGCTAGACAAAGCTACTGTTAGGTGGATTTGTAATTGGTTGGCGGGCTGAACCCAAAGAGTGCTCATCAGTGGCTCACCTTCATCCTGGAAAAAAATGACTACTGGGGTTCCACAAGGTTCTGTCCTGGGCCTGGTGCTATTCAATATTTTTATAAATGATTTGGATGATGGAATAGAGGGTGTGCTAATCAAATTTGCAAATGACTGCAAACTAGGAGGGGTTGCTAATACACCAGAGGACAGGGTCAGAATTCAAAATGACCTGAATAGCCTAGAGAGCTGGGCCAAAGCCAACAATATGGAGTTCAATAGGGAGAAATGTAAGGTACTACACCTGGATAGAAAAAATGAAATGCACAGGTGGGGGACACTTGGCTTGACAGCAGTACCTGTGAAAGGGATCTGGGAGTCTTAGTCGACCACAAGCTGAATATGAGTCAACAGTGTGATGTGGCAGCTAAGAATGCCAATGCAATTCTGGGCTGCATCAATAGGAGTATAGTGTCTAGATCAAGTGAAGGAATGCTACCACACTATTCTGGTTGGTTGGTCAGACCACACCTGAAATACTGTGTCCAGTTGAAGAAGGATATTGTCAAGTTGGAGCATGTCCAGAGGAGGGTGACCAAAATGTAAAAGGTCTGGAATCCAAGCCCTATGAGGAGAGACTTAGGGAGCTGGATTTGTTGAATCTAGAGAAGAGAAGTTTAAGGAGTGACATGATAGCCATGTTTAAATATTTGAAGGGATGTCATGTTGAAGAGGGAGCAAGCTTGTTTTCTGCTGTTCTAGAGACTAGGATGCAGAATAATGGATTCAAACTATGGGAAAAGAGATTCCACCTGGGCGTGGTAATCCAGTCAGGGAAAAAGGGAGGCATACTATGTTTAGGGCACCGTTTCCAGCCCCTTCCCCTTTTCGGGGTGAGCATAGTGGATCCTAAAAAGGGCTGCTCAGTCATGGATACAGCTGCTGAGCTGCTCAACTGCCTCATTCCTTGAGTCAGAACGACTGACCGCCCACGTGTTGGTTCATGACTAGGGGCTTCACATTCCTGTCACTGTAGCCATTTAGTGATGGCCATGGGGCGAGGGTTTGGGGAGGTTGGGTTTGGTTTTTGGAAGACGCCTGTGCGTGAATTTGTTTTATGTGTGTAGATTAGTGCACGCTGACCAACACACAGTCTTCACAGTAGGGCTCTGTTCTAATGGCATGAGTAGTCACGACAAACTGGTGGATCCTATCTGCTGCAGCCTTCATCCGCCTTCAGAGCCGTTGTAACACACTGCTTGTTATCACCCGCCTGTTCTGCCGTTGAGGACTTCTTGGATCATTCTTTGTCTAACTCCTTCCCTGTTATGTACTAAGCTTGGATCCTAGAACAATAGGCAAGTAGGATCCTAGAATGCAAGAACTGATTGGCTTGCAGGAAAAGACCAATCAGGCTCCAGGAGGGAAGCAGAATCAGCTAGTCAGACGGGACTCATTGTGTAAATAATGTATATAAAAGCCTGAGGTTTGGGGGGAAATTCAATCACTGTTTTACAAGCTGCAATAAAGAGCATGAAATCACTACAGGACTCTGAGCATATTTAATTTTCTTTGACCTTACCGCCTTGGGTGACCCTGCTGGGAGTACGAGATTCCCAACGGCTTCGCTCACAAGGGTCATAGGAATGTGCAAGCCCACTCACCATGACAAGTGAGAGAACTGAGATAGATTGCACTGAGCCCTGGTTCTCATTAGACAAAGCGTTCCACCAAAAAGGCTTTGGCTCTGGTTGAGGACAGCTGGATAGGTTTTGGGCCAGGGACCACCAGTAGGTTGCTGTTAGATGAGCGTCACACTCATGGGGGGTGTATTGGAAGATAATTCCCACAGATAAGAAAGGTCACAGACTGTTTAGGGCTTTAAAGATTAGCACCAAAACATTGAACCTGATTCGATACTCCAGCTGATGAACAACCAACTGAATGTGGGCTCTCCACAAAGTCCAAGTAAGAACTCATGCATCTGCATTTTAGACCATTTGGAGTTTCTGGAGCAGTCTCAAGGGTAGCCCTGCATCTCTCTCTCTCACACACTCTCTCTCTCTATCACATTTATACCCTGCACTCCCCGGCTCAGGTGTACAGCAAGTTAAAGTAGTCTAGTCTGCAGGTGACTACTGCATGGATCACCATGGCTAGGTTGGAAAGGGACAGATATGGTACCGATAGCCTAACCTGACATAGATTCAAAAATTCCAGTTTGGCTACATTTGTGACCAATGCCTCCATAGAGACAGAAGCATCCAGGATCACACCGGGACTCCTGATGGCGGCTACAGGTGACTATTGCGCCCCATGAAGAGCTGGGAGCTGGCAAACCAAACTGAAATTATTCTGGCCCAGCCATTGGATGCCCATCTTTAATGGGCCGACTCCGTTTCCTCCATCCCAGCACACCCACCTAAAAATTGGCCAATATATCCAGGGTAGCATCTGGCAGTAGATCCATGATGTTTGTGGTCAGATCTGTGGTTATGTACAAGATATTTGAATAAAGGGTGAATTTCGGGTTCCCCAATGCAAAAGTGTGATGATCCATGAGGATCCGTGCTTCAAAACCACGTTTTTGAGCCATGGAGTGGCCAGGAAGCCGTGGATCCGTGTTTTTTGTGGTGCAGGCTGTGCCCATGGCCATGATGTGTGATTTGACGGTGAGTTTGGGTTGGCCCAATGCAAAAAGCATGAGGATCCATGAGGATCCGCGCTTCAAAACCATGTTTTTGGGCCACGGTATGACCAGGGAGCCGTGGATCTGAGTTTTCTGTGGTGCAGGATGTGCCCCTGGACATGATGTGTGATTTGACGGTGAGTTTGGATTGGCCCAATGGAAAATGTGTGAGGATCCATGAGGATCCATGCTTTGAAACCACATTTTTGGGCCACGGTATGGCCAGGAACCCGTGGATCCGAGTTTTTTGTGGTGCAAGCTGTGTCCCATGGCATGAAGTGTGATTTGACAGTGATTTAGGGGTGGCCCAGTGCAAAAAGTGTGAGGATCCATGAGGATCCGTGCTTCAAAACCACGTATTTGGGCAGTGTTATGACCAGGAAGCTGTGGATCCTAGTTTTCTTTGGTGCAAGATGTATCCCTGGACATGATGTGTGATTTGACAGTGAGTTTGGGCTGGCCCAATGCAAAAAGTGTGAGGATCCGTGCTTCAAAACCACGTTTTTGGGCCATGCCGTTGCCAGATAACCGTGGATCTGAGTTTCTGTGGTGCAGGCTGTGCCCCTGGACATGATGTGTGATTTGACAGTGAGTTTAGGGTAGCTCAATGCAAAAAGCGTGAGGATCCATGAGGATCCGTGGTTTGGAACCACGTTTTTGGGCCACGGTATGGCCAGGAGTGCGTGGATCCGTGATTTTTGTGGTGGATGCTGTGCCCCTGGCCATGATGTTTGATCTGATGATGACCTTGGGCTGATCTTGTGCAAAAATCATGAGGATCCATGAGGATCCATGCTTCAAAACCAGGTTTTTGGGCCACGGTATGGCCAGGAAGCCGTGATTTTTGTGGTGGATGCTGTGCCCATGGCCATGATGTTTAATCTGATGGTGACTTTGGGCTGGTCTTGTGCAAAAATCATGAGGATCCATGCTTCGGAACCACGTTTTTGGGCCACGGTATGGCCAGGCAGGTGTGGATCCGAGTTTTTTGTGGTGTAGGCTGTGCCCCTGGCTATGATATGTGATTTGACAGTGAGTTTGGGTTGGCCCAATGAAGAAAGCGTGAGGATCCATGAGGATCCATGCTTCAAAACCACGTTTTTGGGCCACGGTATGGCCAGGAAGCCGTGGATCCATGATTTTTGTGGTGGATGCTGTGCCCATGGCCATGATGTTTGATCTGATGGTGACTTTGGGCTGGTTTTGTGCAAAAATCATGAGGATCCATTTTTTAACCATGTTTTTGCGCCCCTGCGGCCCCATGAAATAGTGGATGCATGATTTTTTTGATGCTGTCTACAGAGTAAGACATGGTCTACAGTATCATGGTGGTTTTATTTAATTTGAATTAAAAAAATCATATGAATTCACGAGGATCCGTCTAGATCCGCCTTTTACCTTTTTCCGAAAAGGATCTCAGACTTTCATGTTGTAAAATTCTAATTCGATAAAACAAAAGCAAAGCCCACCGCCACTTGGCTCCAGCTTGGAGCTGGAATAAGAAATAGCGGGCAAGGACAAGTTTACCTGAGCCAGGTATCATCACCACCTATCAGGTACCTATTGCTAAAGAGGCCAAGGCCACAGTCTGAGGCTCCCCCTATTTTGAGAGGTAGTAGTAGCCAACGGCCGGAGGACTGTGAAAGCTATACCATTGTCAACCAAAAGGGAGGGGGGTAATATCTTAGAGCGTCTCGTTCTCCCTCCCCCCGCCCCTGTTCACTGACAAGATTTTAGGGAGGGTTTGGTATTGAAACATGATTTGTTATAAATGATTTGTTCGCGGAGTCCTTTTTCCAACAATCTCCCCAGCACGTGCTCTGCGGTTCGTGCCCAACGGCTCGTGGCTTGAAGGTAGAGCAAACCATTTGAATCGCTGGAGGGGGGGCAGAAATGAAGGCTTTCTTCTCGCCCGCCATCGAAATCAAGCGGGCTTTTATTTGCTTTAACTGGATTTATTGTATCCCAAACACTCTTAGTGCTGCTACTAAAATGGTACCGGCCCACCATTCTGCAGTGCTAAAGCGGCTTGGGCGAGCTTATTATTTAGGGAAGGAGGAGTGAGCCGAGATTCAGCTGGATCAGCTGCGGGCCCAGAAAAGCCACAGGCTCATATCCAAGGACTCCAGAGAGGCGCGTTGACGGGGATTTTCTTTCTCCGTTGACTAACAGGCTGCTGGAAAGAGATAAACCAAATCGCTGATCAATCCGTCTCCCCCCTCGAAAAGTAAAAATAATATCGCCTCGTCAGGGCGGGGGGGGGGGCGAGCAGCTGAGCGAAAGGCGGCGCGGACTGTACCTTTGCAAGCGGCGAGGCGCCTGGAATACTACAACTTTAAATTGGCCCCTGAGCGCCTCTTCAGGTCTGAAGAGATGCCAGTTAACTCCCGTCTCGGGTGCCTAGGAATAATCAGAACTCGGTGAAATGTGGGGGAGACAGAGCGAGTTCTTGTCGGGGGAGAGTTCCCCCCTCACACACGTCAGAAATGGTCAGGCTGGGATTCTACCACATCAAATACAGAGGGGGGACGCTCTTGACGGCTCTCTCCCAGACAAATAAATCTCGGCTTTTCCCGGGGACGGGTGTCTTCTTTCTCCCACCTTCTTTGGTCGTGAATTATGGGGAGGCGCTGGCGAGGACGCAGCTGCTCGCCGCCCTGGGCCGGGAAATGGTACGCCCCGAGGGGCGGCGCGAGCGAAGCCCTGCCCGGGGTTGGCGCGGGCCAGTCGCAGGGCGGGAGGCGGCCGGGCCGGGGGTGGTTCTGCGCAGCTGGGAAGGCGGAGCCGCGCGATCCCGGGCTCGGGGCGGGGGGCGGCCATGGGCGGCTGAGGGGTGCCCAGTCCAGAAGCGGCCCGGGCCGGCGGCCATGGCCGAGGACTACTGGGACTCGCCACCGCAGTAGCCGCCGCCAAGGTAAGAAACGCGGGTCGGGCGGGGGGGGGGGCACCAGCGTGACCTTTGACCCCTTGTTAGGAGTCTGTCTCCCGAGGGACCAGCTCTGCTGCCTTGGGGTAGAGCGCTCGCTTTCAAGCCATTCGGCCCTTTCTGCTCTGACCTCTCCTGTAATTTTCCTCTGGCATTAATTCCGCCCCGCACCCCCAATAGATCTCTTCGGCTTCTTTAATCCCTGATGCCGATCTCTGCCATCAGACTGAAGGAGGCTTCGCATTGATCTCCTTGAATTCTCTCCTTACACCCCCCCGCGAGTACTGCGCCCAGTATTTCTTAGCCCCTCCTCAGTAGGGTTGAAGCAGATCCTTTCCCCGTCGGACTTCAGGGAGATGCATGAATTAGGGGCGCCTTCTTAATCTTACCCCAGAGATCCATACTCTTCAGCTGGGAGGTTCGCCCCTTCTGCCACTGGGCTAAACTCCTTGCTGCTTAAATCAGGGGCTGGAGGTGGATTGTTCTGAAGTTCTGAGCATCTGCACCTTCCTTCCCCGTTGGTGTTGCAGTCTTTTCCTCTACTGAGTCCTACCACTCCCCGTTGACTGCCGTGCCCTGGAGGCTCCCCACCCCGGTCTGGTCTTCCTTCTGGCCCAAGGCTTTTGCCTGGCTCTGACCTCGCAAGGACCTTTGGGGGGACTTTGAGGAGGCGCTTCTCGTTTGCCTCATGGCTCATGAGTCAGGGACGAGTGGTTTCTTTCTGTTTGGACTTGCTGGGTGATCTTTGCTTTCACGTTGACTCTTGTCACTAGATTCCCTTGGCTTGCAATTGCTTCCCTCACTCTGACTGTGGACCTGGAAATGTAAGGAGGCGTATCTCTTGTAGGATTTGTTGCTTCTCTGCTACTTGGCTTGAGCCATTTCTTTGTGCAAGTGACCAAGTTTTCCTCTTCTCCTTCCCACACCCCCTTACGTCCAAATTGGAGGGCAGGTGGTGTTCTCCTCCTGGCCTTTAAGAGGTGGATGGGGGATGCTCCCGGATTCAGCATGTTCTCAGGGCACCACGGCTAGGAAATGGGGTGCAGAAGAGAGACTGCAGGAGGAGAAACCACAGGGAGTCTCCGTAGGGGATTCTTAGCTCTCTATTCAGGAATTCCAGCTGCTCCTGGTGGGAGGAAGTTCCTTTGCTCACCTTCTACTTGAAGACCGACCTCTTCGTGAGCCTGATGATGTCATGGGGGGCGCTTCCATCTCCTCCCCACTTCACACTACGCTGCGTCTGTGTGTGACTAATGATGCACTGGTAGGCAAATGGGTCCTGTGATGATGCTGTGAGGTTGGCAGGGATCAGGCTTATGTGGGAAAGGATTGGCTTTTGGGGCAGCTGCTGGCAGTATTAGCCCTGGAGATGTTTGGTGCAGAGGCCCCTGGGAGGGGGGCTGGTTTTCTCATTTCCCCCCCTTTCCGTTTGCCTCCATGCTTGTAACCAGGAGTTCCCCAGAAGGCTGCCATTCCCTTCCTGACCCTCTGCTGCGCTCGCCTGGAGCTGACAGCTTAGCAGCTACTGTGCTTGGTGGCTTGTCCGGATTTGCTTGCCAACCTTTTGCCTGCTCTCTTGTGAGGAAGGTGTGTGTCAGGCATACTTATTGGGAACACCCACCTTCCCCCAAACACATGGGTGCTTGCATCCATGCTAAGGTGCTCCTTTCTACTGCTCCTTTTTTATTTCCCTGCCAACTTGGGTCTGGTGACCAGCTTTTGGCACTCCGTGGACTTGGCACCGGTGCCAGGTCTCGCACAGGGTTCTGCAGTGAGAGCTGCAATGACAACATCTTAGCTGCTGAGCTGGTTTGAAGAAGGAAGAAAAGCAGAGTGGCTGCAACTGGTGGAAGGATGCTAGTTTTTCTCCCTCCCTCTGAGTTTTTACATTTTATGGATGTCTTCTTAGATCCTAACCCACTGGAAAAAAGATTCTCCATTCTTTAGATGGCTCTTATCTGGTCTTTCAGGTATAGTTGCTGTTTAGCTTGGTTTGCCTCACTGCTGAACCCTCTGAAAATAGAATCAGAATGGGTCTAAAAAGCCATTTAGTCCCTCTCCTTGCCCCCAGTCAGCACAAACCTACTTCCAACCCCAACTGAACCCATACAAGCCAGATCACAATACAGCACAGGCAGAGATCAGGTGAAGTGCCCAAAATGTGCTCCCAAAAGCAGAGAGGCAAGGCAACTTGTATATTTCAGAGGAAGAGACAAACAAGAAACCCACAGAGAAAAGAAATTGTTACTTCTGTAGCTCTGTACACCAGAGTATTTTATTATTCTCTTCTGATTTGTTCATAAGATGAGTCTTCTCCAATGTGAATATTTGTTGCCCTCCAGATATTTTGGATTTCAACTCCCATCTGCCTTTGCCAGCAAGGACAATGGTCTGGGCTCTGCTGAATGCAAGGCAACTTGGTGAACTTCACAGTTGAGTGTGGGTTTTGTCCTGGCTCTTGCATTCCCATATCCAATATTTAATATCCTGGCTCATCATGTTATGCTATTTCTATAGCTCTAAAATTATTATTATTATTATTATTATTATTATTATTATTATTATTGGAATTATATACTGCCCTACACCCGGGGGGTCTCAAGTGTGTGATGATGTTTCTCATTCACCTCTGCAGTGATCTTTTGAGAATTTCCCCACTGTGTGGATGGTGAATAAATAAGTCTCTTTCCCAAGGCTACCTAGTGAGTGGATTTTGAACTTTTAAACTTGTATTGCCTATCAGATTGTACTCTGTGTTAACAAACCTGGAGTAATCTTTCCACCCCCTGGCCTGGTAGCACACCCTCAGTTGCTAACCTAGATTAGAACCCCTGCCGTTCATAAGAATTAGAACCCCCTTGCTATTCTTTAACTGCATTGTGAGTGTCATGTGGTGGTCACGGTCACTAAACTGCAGTCCTATACACATTTACTTGGGAGCATGTCCTACTGAAGTTAATGTTGCTTACATCTGAGTAGATGTGTATAGGATTGCACTGTAAGGCTGCAGTCCTTGTGTGCACATACTTGACAGTAAGCATAGAATCATAGAATCATAGAGTTGGAAGAGACCACAAGAGCCATCGAGTCCAACCCCCTGCCAAGCAGGAAACACCATCAGAGCACTCCTGACATATGGTTGTCAAGCCTCTGCTTAAAGACCTCCAAAGAAGGAGACTCCACCACACTCCTTGGCAGCAAATTCCACTGTCGAACAGCTCTTACTGTCAGGAAGTTCTTCCTAATGTTTAGGTGGAATCTTCTTTCTTGTAGTTTGGATCCATTGCTCCGTGTCGGCTTCTCTGGAGCAGCAGAAAACAACCTTTCTCCCTCCTCTATTTGACATCCTTTTATATATTTGAACATGGCTATCATATCACCCCTTAACCTCCTCTTCTCCAGGCTAAACATGCCCAGCTCCCTTAGCCGTTCCTCATAAGGCATCGTTTCCAGGCCTTTGACCATTTTGGTTGCCCTCCTCTGGACACGTTCCAGTTTGTCAGTGTCCTTCTTGAACTGTGGTGCCCAGAACTGGACACAGTACTCCAGGTGAGGTCTGACCAGAGCAGAATACAGTGGCACTATTACTTCCCTTGATCTAGATGCTATACTCCTATTGATGCAGCCCAGAATTGCATTGGCTTTTTTAGCTGCCGCGTCACACTGTTGGCTCATGTCAAGTTTGTGGTCAGCCAAGACTCCTAGATCCTTTTCACATGTACTGCAGTATTAAACTAATTGGGACTTACATCTGAGTAAACTTGGTTAGGATTGTGCTGTAGTTTGTACAATTGTGAAGCACATTCTGGGCTGTTTTGGCTCTTGATCTTCCTGGCTTCCCTTTCTGTGTCCAGGAAGGGGCCCTGGGTATCCCACAAGCTCACACAAACACTAAGCTTAGGATCCTGGTAGTTTCAGCTTTCATTAGTCTGCCCCCATTTTGGGTCCCACTGTCTGAAAAAAAAAGGCTTGAACAATGTAATAATAAATAAAATCTCCAAATAGGGAAGATGGGCCTGGGAAGGAGGAGTTTCAGTGTCCTTATGTCGCTTCTTGACCCACCCCCTGGCTAGGGGAATAAATTATGTTAAATTAGCAACTATAGGCAAAGTGGCTTAATTTCCATACCATATGCTGGTTTTTCTTGGCACAGAATTGTGATGAATAATCTTACCTTTCTTTTGAGCCCAAACAGTCCTGATTTTAAGAAAATCTTTGTTGCATATACTGACTTTTGCTTCCCCATGACTGCTCTTGGCTGCTTCAAAGCCACATGATCCTTTTGCCATTCAGTGTTTATTTTGGAGTAACAGTGGATTTGGGGCCCTACATGGCACAAAATGAATATGGCCCCAGCTTGGAAGCCATCGGATGCATCATTGAGAGCCTGGGCTCCCTATATTCTCTGGACACAGGTAGTCAGATGCTGCAGTGTGCTTGACATCACTTCCCAGGCACAGGGGTGACATTATTAGTTTATTTTTATTTATTTGGTTTCTGACCCACCCTTCACTATTTGATCCCAGGGTGGGTTGCAGTAACTTAAAAATAATATTCAAAAGAGTTTAAAACAAATAATAATCATAGGAGGGTGAGTCCTGAAAATCTATATCACACATGTCCAAGGACAGGGTAAAGAGGCGCTTCTTCAGCATAGGATGCAAACTATACAGTGAAGGCACCCAGTGGACCTCTGTGGGGAGGGAATGCCACACCTTAGGGGCTGCCACAGAGAAAGGGTGATAGAACTGCCAGCTCTGCTGAGCTTGACACCCAGGAAGGTTTGTCAGGAAGGAGGGAGCCTTTCAGGTATGTCCTTGATTTTTGACTGGGGATGGAGGAAGAGAAACTGTGGAATGAATATGCATCTTGCAATGATCCCTTCAAGAAACTTATCCTGTCCTCTGTTGCCATCCCAGAATGAGCATGAGCTGGCAATGTAATAGTGAAATAAATATAATACAGGTGGGGACTCTTTCTTGCTTTTTGTTAGAAGTGGAGCTGTTAACAGACTTAAAAAGCAAGACCAAGGATTAAAATTGGGTCTCTGGAGACCAGATCTGGCTTGTGTGCATGAGTAGTTTGTGTTCTCTGATCTGTCCTTTGACCAGAAAGCGGATAGGAGGAGAAGACTCAATAAATTTTATCTTGGTGCAGCTTCCACCTTACTTTGTCCATGTGCTCGGGGTGCATTAAAACTGTTAAATCACACATGCGTGATACGAGCAATGCCCTGTTGTTTTTAAAGATGCCATTGCTTTATGCCGACTACTAAACATCTGCTGAGAGAAGAGCTCTGCACTTCTTGCAGAAAGTAGACAGGCTTGGGCTTCAGTCACATCGAAAGGCAGGTATCCAGTTGAAGAGCCGTCACCAAGATCACTTGTCTGTATGCCACTGCTGGTCACACAGTACGGAGTTCAGCCCAAAAGGCTCTCTTTCCTGACTCGCTGTCTCTGCTGCTGTGGCTCTTGAGAAAATGAAGGGGGGAAACCGAGGCAGCTGGTGAGCGGACCTCCAGTCCAAGGGCAGGGATACCCAGATCCACTGGTTCTTCAGGGTTACTGGTAAGGTGCAGATCTGCTGGTAGTTCCTGTTCCTCTTGCTCTCCTCTGAGGGGATCTCAGGTTGGAAGTCTGAGCAGGGTTGAATGCCTCTTAACAGCTTAACAACAACAACAACAACAACAACAACAACAACAACAACAACATAACCCCACTGCAAAAAAGGGCACATAGACATTCCATTGTGGCGACCATAACCCATGTTCAAGGTGCCTTTTGGAAATTAGCTTATATCCTGTTTTCTAACACTGCTCCTTGGAGACATAAAATGAATGACATTTTACAGCAGGAGTCAGCAAACCTTTTCAGCAGGGGGCCAGTCCACTGTCCCTCAGACCTTGTGGGGGGCCGGATTATTTTTTGGGGGGAGGGGATGAATTCCTGTGCCCCACAAATAACCCAGAGATGCATTTTAAATAAAAGCACACATTGTACTCATTTAAAAACATGCTGATACCCGGGCCGGATTTAGAAGGCGACTGGGCCGCATCCGGCCCCCGGGCCTTAGTTTTCCTACCCATGTCCTACAGGCGTGGGGACCTGGTGGCCTTCCAGGTATTGCTGGAGTGGACTGTAACTCCCATCATTGCCCATTGCCCACTCTGCTTGGGGCCGATGGGAATCCATCAACATTTGAAAGGCCACATGTCCCCCTCCCCCGTCTTAATTGATAATACATCAGTGAAAATGCTGGCCATTGTCTTGCATAGGATCTAGGAATACAGACTCAAGATACAGTGATAGAGCGGTCTATTTTTTGTCAGAGTGAAATAGAGTCCTTGGGGCAAGTGATTGCTCCATCCATACTGAACATGAGCGGACATCTTCATGTCCCTGAGAGGGTCTAGTTACCAAATGCACCAGGGCTACCTAAAAACCAAAGTTTATCTTCTGAGACTCTTCCAGTGCCATGCTGCAAGTTCTGACAGTGATGTTACTACTTAGATTGTTATTTACCCTGGCTGAGTTATTCAGAAGCTTTCTAGATTTAGAGATGGGTGACCAATTGCTCAAACTACCAGATATTTCAACAGTGCTGATTCATTTCATGGTTGTTTCTTTAAACAAAAGTCTTGACAACTGGAAGGCGTGCTTAGAGCCATCTGAGTCTCAACAAGGATAGCCCAATAGCCCCACATTGCCAAAGCAGCCAAGGGAACCAAAATAAAAAATGAGAGCTATTTCACAGGCCAATTCTTTGTGCCATGTCTCTTCATGGGCTTGGGATGCAGATGTATTGAAGCTTAACTAAGACCTGTGCAGCCCAGGCAGCTGACCCCAAGGATGAGTGGCCCATCCATGGTGGAGCCTTTCTAATTCAAGTCCTGACTGAGTCATCTGCTGAGCCTTGATAGGAGAATATCCTAACGGATGCCTTCCTCCTGGCTTCAGCTGCATAAAAGCCTCCATCCCCATGAAGTTCTATCCTGCCCCTCTGTTAGGGCTGAGGGACCCTGAGGTGCCTTAATATGCTGTCTTGCCTCCATCTTGCCCAGATATGAGAAGACCCTTCCCCAGAGTTGATTGGGGATCTGGTGCTGAGCTGTAGGCACACATGCTCCAACCACAGGCTCCACAGGATGAGACGTGCATTCAGCAGTGAGGGCTAAGAGGGTTGGGGTGTCTTTAAAGTTTGGCACTGTTGAAGAGGCAAGCTCCTGCTCTAAAACGGAATATGAAAAGTGGATTGCTTCTTCAGCATCCGAGGGCAACATCAAAGAAACCTCTGGCTCTTAATCCTTTCCCTCTCTCTGTGGGCTGGAGGGCAGGAAGGGGTGGGAGTGATCCAGAGATCACTGCCAATCTCCAGACCACAAGCTGGTCTCTGGAGCCCAATCTCACTACCAGTATTTAGAGGTGCTTATCTCAAGCTGAGACAGCAGCTGCTGCCTGCAAGAGCCAAGCATTCCAGGATGTACATGGGGTGCTTTGTACATGGCTCTTCCGGAAGCAAATCAGCAAAACAAGTGCTGGGTTCTGGCTGTCATCTTGCTATTTGGGTACAGCAGAGGCTAATGGATACTTTAGTTTTCTTTCTGCAGCTTCCCTTTTAGGGCCTGGGAAAAGGACCATTTGGAGTGCCCCCCCCCAGTTTACCTTCCTTGTGTCACTTGCAAGTTGCTCTCTCTCTTTCTGTGGTCGTGGAAAGCAACGTGGCTCCTCTCTTGCTAACTCTGAGGCAGAAAGGCTGGGAGTGGGGAAGAAGGAGTGCTGGGTGTGGATTAGACCTGCTATTCCACTTCAGGGGGATTTGGGGGGTCCTGACCTTCAGCCTTAGTCTCTCCTTGGAAAGTGTCCCTGAAGCAGAGGAAGGACCAAAGCTGAGTGGCAGAACATCTGCTTGGCATGCAGAAGACCCTGGGTTCAGTCTCTGGCATCTCCAGGTGGGGCTGGAAGAGACCTCTGCCTGAAATCCTGGAGAGGAGCTGCCAGTCCGTGTAGAAAGAACGGAGCTGGATAGACCAGTGGTCTGGCTCAGTAGAAGCTGAGTTCTTCCTACGCTTGTAAGTGGAACCACGTCTTCCCTCTATGGCATCGTGAGCCCTCCCTTCCAGAGAGAATCTAGCAATTGTGCATATGATCCCTTAATCCAGGGTGAGGCGAATGAGGATTCCTCATGCTGGCAAGGGGTGGCAATCTTTGACTCACTCCCTGAATCACCATCTGGTCAGTAACATGGGTTCACCCAGTGCAGGCAAATGGGGAAGCAGAAATAAAGGGGAGGAGAGGAAGCCTCAGCTGGTGACAAGAGGCCACCACTGCTAGAAAAATACTGGTTGGGAGTGAAAATCCCCACCAACTTTTCACTTCCCCCACCCCATAAAAATACTGATGGTGGCTGGATATTCCTTCTATGTGCCTTGCCCTGGGGAATGCTAGGATACGTCAGGGGCTGCCTGCTCCATCACTGAGGCCTTACGGTTAGTGGCCCCCATGGCTTGGACGAATGACTCAGATCCACAAGGAGCCATGCATGCAGTATTCTGCACCCAGTTTTGTGGGGCTCCCTCCACTGGAGGTCACACAAGCCCCCTCCCTGTTGAACGAATACTTTTTTTTATTGCAGTAGGCTTTTTCATTGAATTCTGATTTTGTAGCTTTACCTCCTTTTCCGTCTTACTGTATTGCATTTCCTGTACGCTGCTTAGAGGCAATTGGGATTAAGTGGCACACAGATTGTAGGAATTAATAAACAAGAAACCCAAGTTCAAATCTAGGCTCCTCCATTTACAGTCTGGATGCTGCCTCTCGGTCTGGCTTCTACTTTTTAAAAATGTTTTTATTATTTTCTAAATAAACATGAAAGGCAAAACATGCAGTTTGGAGAGTAGTTTGTTACATAAAAGCTCACCCTCACTACTTCAACAAAATATATGGCCACAGGTTTGAAGGAGACATATGAATTCTGGGTGACCCCTGGTAGTCTTGGTCCTACTTTTTTTTGTAGATTGGGAAATACAATGCAAAACCTTGCTGGTTTTTTTGTGTGAGGATGAAATAAATACCATGCTTTTCACACTAAAGAATACTGTAGAAGTTGTCAGTAACCCACAATCTTGAATTAATTGGTATTCTGTATGGTGAATGAAAAGCTCTCTTTGTGTGTGTGTGTGTGTGTGTGTGTGTGTGTGTGAGAGAGAGAGAGAGAGAGAGAGAGAGAGAGAGAGATAAAGAGGTGTGTGTGCGCATATTATGATAGATGGAGACAGCCAGACAGCCAGGTTTATTTTTCCCCCAGGAATACAACTTTAGCTTTAAGTCCACACTCCCCTCATAGGAGAAAAACCAGCCCTGTTTTTGTGTGTGTGTGCTGGTGAATCTGCCTTGAGGAGGGGCGCTTCTCACCCCTGTGAGCAGTAGTGGAGCGTCATGCTCTGGCCCAAGGGGGGGGGGAGAGCAGGCAGGACTGGCATCCCGGGGGCGTGGCACACCACCTATGGGGGCGTGGTGCCCAGTGCGGGTGGGGGCACAGCCATGATGGCACCCCACCGGGATTGCGCTGCCGGGGGCGGTGTGCTCCCCCCGCATTCCTCTTCCTCCGCCAGTGCCTGTGAGATCTCTGTATCTGCACCCCCCCAATGTTAAGTCTCCAAGTGCTGTCCTTTCATTTTTCTTATACAAGGAAGTGGAAGTCTTTCACTTAAGTGGAGGGGGGTTGTATGTTCTCTTGGGGGTGGAGGCTAAACTGTCCCCTGGTGCCCTTAGTATCTGGAGTGAGAAGAATGCTTGCCGCCCCCCCCCCCCCGCAACTGTGCCTTCACCTTACAACTGCTTGCTTTATCCCATAGAAAAGGAAGCTGTGAAGAACTGAGTGAGCCCCAATTTGTGCAACTTTTCCATGGGTTCTAGTTTTTTTTTCTCAAGCTAGATTGCAAAAGAGTATTTGGGAGAAGAGGATGGGTCATCAGGAGCTAGTTTTGAAAAATGAATATTGAATATAAAAAGTGCCGCTAGATGACTTTGCTCCCTTCTTTTGCATATTTTAAGACGTAAAAGAGAAATTCCTAGGCATCCGTATCTCATTTCCAGGATGTTCCTGGATTATTAGGTGCCTGAAATTTTTCCAGCTCTACCAGAATGTTGAGCCATTTCTCTTAGGCTGTGCAGATCAGCAGAAGGGCTGTTTCTGTGGGTTGGCATCTTCTGCCATCTGTCAAGCCCTGAACGCAGCTGCACCTCCGTTTGCTGCTCCCTCTGGTTGGAAGAGGCTGCACTGTTAGTGCCAACAGCCAGGGGCCGTCAGGGACTGCTCCACAAGCCAGGATGTCCCTCGTATCCCTGAACCATTTTGGAAACCCAACTTGGCTGAAAGGTGGAATAGACATGTGTTAAAATAATAATCATTGTAGGGGGGCTGCGGAAAGCTCAGTGTTGTATCACATGCTTCACATTCAGAAGGTTCTCTGTTCCGTCCTAAAAGAGCACCTTCCCCAATCTTGGTCCTCTTGGACCCCACAACTGGCAGGCAAGGCCTTGTTGCTGGTGCTACCACTAGCAGCTGCCGGGTCGGTGATGACCTGCAACAGGGCCTTCCTGCTGGTGACTCCATTTGTGGAATGCCCTCTCTGGTGAGGTGTCTGTCTCTTTCTCTTCAACATTCCTGCTTACCTAGGTTTTTGGTGCCTGAAAGAGGCTGTTCCTGGCAATCCTGAGATAACTATTTTAGAGTTTTAAAAATGATTTTATTATTGATATGTTTGCTTCCCTGGGCGCCTTCAGGAGGAAGGATGGGATGTGAATGGAATAAATAATAATAAACCCTGGTATCTCATGGCAGGATTGGGAGAAAACCCCCCGGCTGAAACCCTGGAGAGCTGCAGCCAATCAGAATAGATAATACTGCACCATATGGACCAATAGTCTGGTGCAGCAGTCCTATTTTTCAAGAAAAAGAGGTTCTGGAGCCACCATGAGCTCCTCCCTCGTTCTCCCGGGACGGCCATGGTGCCCACCTGCCAGGTGCTGGGCCTGCGCTTCGGTAAGCTCCAGCTGAAAAAAGCCCTGTGGCATAGTATTGGGCAGCTGCATATGGGTATCTGCCCCAATGTTTTCAGTTCTGTGGTCCATCCAAAAAGCACATTTCCCAAGCAGATTAACATCAGTGTTGCCTAGAAACCCGAACTCTTTTTTGCTGAGCCTGTACATGGTCCCAGGTTAAATCTCAAAGGGTCCTTGGTGCTCCCTAAAATGAGAGGGAAGCCGTGCCTAGTGATGTGAGGTGAGAAAATTCTCCGGAGAATATTCTCCACAAACTGTAAATTCTAATGTAAGAACCAGTTTTACAACCCACATTAAAAAAAATCTAGTAAATAATAAGTCAAACTGTGATATTGCCAGTGTAAGTAATGAATCATGATTTTTTTTGATCCAGTTACATTACTGGACATTGTGTCATTCACCATTGGCAGTTCTGAAATGTGAGCTACAGAAAACATTTTATTTTTATTTTTAGTTTTAAAAATGCTATTCATTTAATTTGAAGAACATATGAATTTATATGTATTTCAATTATATGTAATAGCCTTTTGTTTCTATTTTGGTGTGCCCTTATTCTTACCAATTCTGTACCCTTTGGCCATACAGTGTGATTTCCCCCCCAGAAAGTAGCTTTAATGCTTTATACACTTAAAGTACCTATTATACGAAAGAGCATTTGAGGTGCCCTTGATTTAAACAGTTGATATTTCCATATTTTTATTTACTGCCAGTAACTGGTTTTTGCAGTGCCATTCAATGGTACAAGGTGCCATTTACCAGAGATTGACATACTGAAATATATTATCATATAATGATAACATATTTAATGTTAATGGCTTCTTTTTTATATGTATGCATATGGTTTTATTTATCAAGCTGTGTTTTAGTCACCAAAACAGTTATTAAGTGTTAGAGCTATTAGAAGCACAAGATAGCGTATTACTGAATTTACTTGTATCAAACCTTAACATGCCAATTGTATTTTTTGACTTGTCCTATAACATGTACATGTTCTGTTGGAAGAATAAAATATGATTTAACTTTAGAGTTTCCTTTTACCAAACCTTAACATGATAATTACCGGTGCCGTCACCTTAGAATGGTTTAACTTTAACTATAAAATAATAATAATAATAATAATAATAATAATAATAATAATAATTTATTATTTATACCCCACCCATCTGGCTGGGCGGCTTCCAATCAAGTATTAAAATACAGTAATCAGTTAAACATTAAAAGCTTCCCTAAAGAGGGCTGCCTTCAGATGGGAGGGTGTTCCACATGGCGGGTGCCACTACCAAGAAGGTCCTCTGCGTGGTTCCATGTAGCTTTGCTTCTCGCAATGAGGGAACCACCAGAAGGCCCTCGGCGCTGGACCTCAGCGTCCGGGCAGAACAATGGGGGTGGAGACGCTCCTTCAGGTATACTGGGCCGAGGCCATTTAGGGCTTTAAAGGTCAACACCAGCTCGGAAACGTACTGGGAGCCAATGTAGGTCTTTCAAGACCGGTGTTATGTGGGCTCGGCGGCCGCCCCCAGTCACCAGTCTAGCTGCCGCATTCTGGATTAGTTGTAGTTTTCGAGTCACCTTCAAAGGTAGCCCCACGTAGAGCGCATTGCAGTAGTCCAAGCGGGAGATAACTAGAGCATGCACCACTCTGGCGAGACAGTCCGTGGGCAGGTAGGGTCTCAGCCTGCGTACCAGGTGGAGCTGGTAGACAGCCACCCTGGACACAGAATTGACTTGCGCCTCCATGGACAGCTGTGAGTCCAAAATGACTCCCAGGCTGCGCACCTGGTCCTTCAGGGGCACAGTTACCCCATTCAGGACCAGGGAATTCTCCACACCTGCCCGCCTCCTGTCCCCCAAAAACAGTACTTCTGTTTTGTTAGGATTCAACCTCAATCTGTTAGCTGCCATCCATCCTCGAACTGCCTCCAGACACTCACACAGGACCTTCACCGCCTTCACTGGTTCCGATTTGAAAGAGAGGTAGAGCAGGGTATCATCTGCATATTGATGAACACCCAACCCAACCCCCCTGATGATCTCTCCCAGCGGCTGCATGTAGATGTTAAAAAGCATAGGGGAGAGGACAGAACCCTGAGGAACCCCACAAGTGAGAGCCCAGGGGTCTGAACACTCATCCCTTAACACCACTTTCTGAACGCAGCCCAGGAGTTAGGAGCAGAACCACTGTATAACAGTGCCCCCAGCTCCCATTCTCTCTAGACGGTCCAGAAGGATGTTATGGTCGATGGTGTCAAAAGCTGCTGAGAGATCCAGCAGAACTAGGAAACAGCTTTCACTTTTGTCCCTAGCCCGCCTCCGGAGATCATCGACCAGCGCGACCAAGGCAGTTTCAGTCCCATGATGAGGCCTGAATCCTGACTGGAAGGGATCCAAATGGTCCGCTTCTTCCAGGCGTGCCTGGAGTTGTTCAGCAACCACTAGCTCAGTCACCTTGCCCAAGAATGGAAGATTTGAGAGTGGGTGATAGTTGGCCATATTGGCCGGGTCTAGAGTTGTTTTTTTAAGAAGCGGTTTAATGACCGCCTCTTTCAGCAGGTCTGGGAAGGCTCCCTCACAGAGAGAAGCATTCACAACCCCGCGAAGCCCATCGCTCAGCCCTTCCCAGCTAGCTTTTATAAGCCAGGATGGGCAAGGATCAAGGAGACAGGTGGTTTCACTCGTCCAAGCAGCCTGTCCACATCCTCAGAAGTAACAGATTGGAATTGATCCCATGCAACTTGACTAGACAGGACTCTAGCACTCTCCCACCCCGGCTCTGCTCCCCCGGTGGAGTCTTCCTCTTCCTGAATGTGAGTGACTTTATCTGCAAAAAACTTTGCAAAATCATTGCAGGAGATCATGTGGCCCGTACTGGACACCGATGGAGCATTTGGTTCCGTTAAAGTGCAAACCATCTGAAAGAGTCTCCTGCTGCTGTTTTCTGCATATGCAATAGAGGCAGTGAAGAAAGTCTTCTTCGCCGTAGCTATTGCCACTTGGTAGGCTCGATATCGAGCTCTAACCCGTGTCCGGTCAGCTTCAGAATGAGTTATCCGCCACCAGCGCTCTAGCCGTCTCAGCGATTGTTTCATTGCCCTCAGATCCGTGGAAAACCATGGGGCTGTCTGGGCTCCATGCAATTGGAGAGGGCGCTTCGGAGCCAAACAGTCAATAACCCTGGTTAACTCTACATTCCAGCGGACCACCAGGGAATCAGCTGAAAGGCCATCAACATGGGATAAAACATCCCCTACCACTCTTTGGAAACCATTTGGATCCATTAAGTGGTGGGGGCGGATCATCCGAATCGGCCCCACCTCACTGCAGAGGGGATGGGTCGCGGAGAAATCCAGTTGCACCAGGAAGTGATCTGACCATGGCACTTCTTTAGTTTCACTTTTACTTAGTGTCAGATCACCAACATCCATAGAGGTGAACACCAGGTCCAAGGCATGTCCGCGGCTATGAATTGGGCCAGACTTATTCAGGGACAGCCCCATGGAGGCCATGCTTTCCACGAAGTCCCGAGCAGCCCCTTGTAAGGTCGTGTTGGCATGGATGTTAAAATCCCCTAGGACAACCAAACTACGTGTCTCCAGGAGAACATCCACCACGACCTGAAGCAGCTCAGGCAGGGAATCCTTGGCGCAGCGGGGAGGTTGGTACACCTATTGCCCAACTTCCAGAACATGCACTCAGTGAACTGGGTCTTCCCAATAGGACGCCTGGTGCAAACTAATGACTTCCTAAAAATCACTGCAACCCCCCCCCTCCCCGCCCACAAGGCCTGGGTTGCTGTGTGTAAGAGAAACCTGGTGGGCACGCAGTAGCAAGAACAGGCCCATCAGCTTCATCCAACCAAGTCTCTGTTACACATGCCAGGTCAAGTCCTCCATCCATGATCAAGTCATGGATGGCAGTGGTCTTATGAATCATTGACCTGGCATTGCACAGCAGCACCTTCAGGTCGTGTGGGTATCCCTTGCTGATTCCAGTATCCGGCTGGACAAGGCCAGACCCGGAGGCAGGGATAGTCATCAAATAATGACTAAACCTGCCTCCTTGGAAATGACATGGTCTGGTCTTAGCGTACTCCTCCTCCTACCTGTGATCACTGAGATCGGTTGTCCCAGTGCACCCCCCCCCCCCGGAACCTGCCCCAGCCATTTTGTTGGCTGGGACCGACTCCCAGGCAGCCCTGACTCCTCCCCTTAAAACAAAATAAAACCTATATAAAAACAAAACAACACAATAAAACAAGAAACAAAAACTGTAAAAATTACAACCATACCAAAATTAAAACAAATTCCCAAATCCAACTGAACAACCATCCCATCTCCCACACCAAAAATAATTTAAAAAGGTAAAAAGAAATTTTAAAAAACATTTTAAAAAGAACTCTGCTCTGTTCTGAGATCTCCTGGGCAGGCCCCCCCCGGGCCAGAAGGTGAGAGGCAGGGACAGGAGCTGCCGGCACTCACAGCAGGGGAGTCCTCCTGGGCAGGACTTTACTTTTTAATTTGATACTTGCAAGTGACAAGTAGGCTTATATATTTTCACTGTGGTTCCTTTACTAAACAAAAAGTTTCCCTATATGTCAACAGTGCTGACCTGCTGACCAATAAGAAAGCGTTTTTTAGACTCCTCCCACTCCCATGATCCCATCCACACTGTCAATCATCTTCAGTTGTTTAGTGTGTCTTGTGTTTTATATTCCTTTTATTTTAAAAGCTACATTTCATACATACACAACATAATTAGAATTCAAAGTTGATGGTAAATATACGGTTAGTGGCAGGCTTAGTGATTAATGTGAGTCATTCACACTGAATTTTCAATTTCAAGTTTGGTGCAAAAAATCAAAGAATGCGAATTCTTTGCCCCATTGAATAAAAGTATCTGTACAGTTTTTGGTTGCCATCTGAACAAGTTTACCCATGATTATTCTCGAGAATTTAACATCACTAGCCGTGCCCCTGACAGAACCACAGGGCCTTTAAATGGGCTTGGTCCCGGGTGGAGAGGCTAGGGCTCCTCGCCTTCTCTTCCGCACACAGCCGTTCACCCCAGTGTCCAGCCAACGTTGGGCTGTGTGCCCTGGGACTCTGCAGGGCAGCATCTCTGCCTCTTAGCTGGCCAAGTTATTCCCACGCGTATTAATAGAAGGATGAGTACCGTCCTTTGCGTGCCTCATGGAACCTCTCATTGCAGCAGGATTCTTTTCCTCCTTGCGACTGCTCCTTTAAGGCAAGGGTGGGGGCTGGAGGGGGGCCCTTTACTGGCAGCCAGGGAATTCCTGGGGATTCACCCTTGCTTGTCCATCAGCCCTGCCAGTAAGTGCATTTACTACCTCTGCCCTCTCAGCCGTCCTAGCTTTTAGTTAGAAGGCTATGAGAAGACCTGGCTTGCTGCTTGGGGGGGGGGGTGTGCTGTGGTTTCTGTGCTTCAGCTGAGGGGTTTTGCCTGAGCTGGAGGTCCCTGAAGGGCCAAACTGGGAGGGGACAGCAGTGACAAATCCATGTATGCCTGAATATGAAAGGATGCAGCCTTGACTAATGGGAACCTGGGTCCTATACATAAAAAGTACAGAAAAGGCGTTCGTGGCTCCAGCAACTAAGTGAATTTGGTTCTTGGCTGGCTCGACTTTCTTTCGTGGTTCAAAGGAATGGGTGTGAAGGAAGCAAATGCCTCTCAGCGCTTGCATTGCGCACTGGGGTTGGGGGAAAGGACTCTGGCTCAGACCTGCTTGCAGAGCCATCATGGTTCAATCCCCATACACCATTTGAAGTAATAAATAGAGTGTCAAACCAAGCGTGTGCAGAGTGCCACAGCAACATAGCCATGCTCCCAAGTCCGAGAGCATCATCTTCAGGCTGGTTTGAGGCCCAGCACCTCTTTTAAGTAGCTAACCTTGGGGGTGGCTGTGGGAAGGACTGAGAGTTCTTTCTCTTCCTCTGTCCAGGCTTCACACTCTGAGTCTTTGTCCAGGCTTGGTCTGTAGCAGCTTTATCAAAACCAGGGTGAAATTGCTGTACCCACAGCAGTGCAGCAAAATCACATTATGTTTATGATGCAACAGCAACACATTTGCATCAGTCTGAAGACTCCAATATTTTAAGAAAAATGTTACTGTGATTTTACAATATGATTTTTAAGTCTTGATTTTTGTAGTGGGATATATGCTTTTTTTTGATCAAAATAAACTCAAAAGGGGCTTGAGAATTGTGTGCCCTAATAAGCCAGATCATGGCTGCATGGTTCTCATAGAATCAAAGAATCATAGAATCATAGAGTTGGAATAGACCACAAGGGCCATCGAGTCCAACCCCCTGCCAAGCAGGAAACACCGTCAGAGCACTCCTGACATATGGTTGTCAAGCCTCTGCTTAAAGACCTCCAAAGAAGGAGACTCCACCACACTCCTTGGCAGCAAATTCCACTGTCGAACAGCTCTTACTGTCAGGAAGTTCTTCCTAATGTTTAGGTGGAATCTTCTTTCTTGTAGTTTGGATCCATTGCTCCGTGTCCGCTTCTCTGGAGCAGCAGAAAACAACCTTTCTCCCTCCTCTATGTGACATCCTTTTATATATTTGAACATGGCTATCATATCACCCCTTAACCTCCTCTTCTCCAGGCTTGTGGTCTCTTCCAACTCTATGATTCTATGATTCTATACCTCTCTCTAGGATTTGAGAAACTCAGAAGATGGCAGCCAGAGACACTTGGAAATGTCAGCCCAGTCTGCAGCAGCTGTGAAAAAGGCAAATTCCATGCTAGAGATGATTAGTAAAGGGGCAGAAAATCAAACTCCCACTTCGGTAATGTCCCCATGCAAATCCATGTTGCAGCCACTCTTGGAATCCTGTATACAGTTCTGTTTCCCGGCTTGTAGCATTCTAAAGGATATTGCACACCTGGAAGAGATGCAGAAAACAAAATGAGTGTGCTAAACCATTTGGGGCTTTTTAGATAAGAAAAAGGGTGAGTAAGGAAGTACGTGTGGAGGTTTATAACATTGTGTATTGTATGGGAAAAGACATTTTCTCCATCTCTCCAAATATTAGCACTTGGGGTCCTCCAATGAAATTGGGCAAGAGATTCAAGAGAGACAAAGTAAAATCTGTTTTTACTCAGTACAATACATAATTAAGATGTGGAATTTGCTGCCACATGATGCCGTGATGGCTTTAAAAGGGGATTAGGTGAATTCAAGGGGACGCCTTATCCCACCCCCAGGTTCTGGGGCAGAATAGCACAACGCCAGTTCCGAAGGAACAACCGTTGGATTTTGCCTTCATGCTTCTTGCAGGCTTCCCGGAGGAGTTGGGTTGGCCACTGGGGTAAATCAGATGCTGCCGACCTTTGGTCTGATCCGGCAGGGGGCCCTATTTGTCTGAGATATTAGGGCACCTCAGCCAATCTCCGTAAGCGTCCTTTATCCTTGTCACAAAATTCCATATCATGTTGGCAATACTGTTTCCATTTGCAACAACTGAGCTTTTTCTGGGGAGGAAGTTTTCTTATTCCACACACTACCTCGGTCTTATGGACCCCTTGCTTCCAGGCTGGACTGATTCAATGAAGTCACCCAATACAGGTATCTGTTAGGTTACCAACACCACCTTTGCTCCTACTGACTCAGGATCTGGCAATTCATCATGAATGCCGAGATCCAGGAAATGTCACCCATGGTAAATAAACACAGTGCATGACTTACTGTGTCACTAAAAATGCTTAGGCTCAGATGTTTTTCCTTGTGCTTTATTATTTTTTACATTCATATAATTATAGAGCTGAAAGGGACCCTGAAAGTCATTGAGTCCAACCGCCTGCAATGCAGGAATCTCAGCTAAAGCCTCCATGACAGATGGCCATCCCACCTCTGCTTAAGAACCTCCAGGGAAGGAGAGTCCACCACCTCTCATGGGAATCCACTGTCAAATGACTCTTACTGTTCTTCCTAATGTTTAGTCTGAACCGCCTTATAACTTGAAGCCATTGGCTCAAGTCACACCCTCCAGAACAGGAGAAAAGAAGCATGCTCCATGTAACAGCCCTTGAGATATTGGAATATGGCTGTCGTCTTCAGTCTCCTCTTTTCTGGGCTAAACGTACCCAGCTCCTTCAAGCACTCCTCATAAGGCTTAGTTTTTAGATCCTTGAACATCTTGGCAGCCCGCCTCTGCACATGTTCCAGCCTGTCCTTCTTAAACTGTGGAGCCCAGAACTGGACACTTGGCTCCATATGTGATCTGACCAAGGCAGAAGGTATTACTTCCCTTGATCTGAACACTAGACTTATGTTGATGCAGGCATTACCTTTTTTTGTTGCTGTATCACACAGCTGACTCGTGTTAAGCTTGTGGTCCGCCAAGACCCCTAGATCCACATGTACTGCTAGATTCACCTAGATTCACCTAGATACCCCTAGATTCACATGTACTGCTATTAAGCCAGATGTCCCCTATCCTATATTTGTGCATCTGGTTCTTCCTGCCTAAGTGCAGAACCTGACATTGGTCCCTTTTGACATTCATTGTGTTAGTTTGAGCCCAGTGGCATTAGCTACCCCTCTCCATGTATTGTGGGAACACAGTGTCTTTGATGGATGATTACAATCCAGCTGTAAAAAACTGTAGGTGTAGACTTTAACATGTTTGTATTCCGATTTCATTTTAAAACCAGGCTATTTTTTAAAAGTAATGCATATCACAGCTTTTTTTTTAAATGAAAGAATTGGTTTTCATTTACCCTGCTCACTCCCACACTCCAAAGGTCCGCTTCACGCATTGCAGAAGAAGTGGGTGCTCTGGTAAAAGGCTTTCCATGTGCCAGTAGGTCCCCTGAGGTGATTTTCACTGCATCTGAATCACAGAAGTGTGTGGCAGGGAGCTGGGACTAATGGTACTTCCCCCCTGTGCACATAGCGGGAGGGAAAAGTGGCGTAGCCATTGGCGGTGTCTGCTGTAAGGTGCGATGCAGCTCCTGTTGCCTATCGATATCTTTTACCTTTATTTCACCTCTAGGTTTCTGAGCCTTTAAATATTATTATTATTCCAAGAATGAAATGGTTTCTGTAGTGATAAATTACTGAAATATAGTACTATGCTAAGACTGTGCTGATCCTGGTTAATTTGTCCCAATCACAGTGTTCTGTCTGATGGAAAAAATGGGGAAGTAGGTAGGGAGTGCATACCGTATTTTTTGCTCCATAAGACTCACTTTTTCCCTCCTAAAAAGTAAGGGGAATTGTGTGTGCGTCTTATGGAGCGAATGCAGGCTGTGCAGCTATCACAGAAGCCAGAACAGCAAGAAGGATTGCTGCTTTCACTGCGCAGCGATCCTTCTTGCTGTTCTGGCTTCTGAGATTCAGAATATTTTTTTTCTTGTTTTCCTCCTCCAAAAACTAGGTGCGTCTTGTGGTCTGGTGCGTCTTATAGAGTGAAAAATACGGTAATTCAAATTCTACATCAGACTGTTCTCCCCATGGCCTCACCAAGCTGCCAAAGACTGGTTTGTGGTTTCTGAAACTGATGATTGCAGTCAGGGCACACAGAGGCAAGCATTTCCTCTGCTAAACAATGCCTAAGGCTGCCAGTTGGTGCTCATTTTCCCTGGTAGTGGAAGATGGACCTTGATGTCCAACTGTGCCTCTGAAGATTTGGCCTTGTTTCAGGCTCCTGGGGAAAAGAGAAATCAACCTGCTTTCTCTTGTCAGGTTGTTCTCTGTTTAAAGCAACCCTGGCAGAAGCTTGTCCAACCTTCTCCTGAATAACTCCAAGCGGGGCAGTTCTGGAACCTTCCTTGGCAGCTCTGCCCACTAAGGAGAGCTGTTCCGCAAGCAAGGAGCGAGCTCCCCCAGTTTTCAGTCTAGGGATGCAGCCTTGCAGTTTGTGAAGTGTAAACTATTTTTTCTGTCCTTTTGTCAGCGAACAGTAGGAATGACTTGTCCTCCTTTTTGACGCCAGAAGTGCCATTTAGGGAGGGGTGGCAGAGGACAGTTCCCTCCACCTTGTGTTTCAAACCTTGTGTGATGGTTCACCAGGAGTATTTAAGTCTGTGACCGTATCACTCATTCTACACACTGAGCGATGGTGCTCTAAAGAATTAAATAGGTGTGTGGATGGCATTCTATATTTACTCATGCAAAAGATACAAATCCCATTCATAAGGAAACTTAGGACTGACCTCTTTTGAAAACACTGTTGAAGTTATGCTGTGTAAAAAGCCCACGCTCGTACAATGCACAGCTGGAGCTTCTTTTTCCGTTTAATCTTGAATATATCTAAGCACGAGCCTTTCTGCCTTGCTCTGAATCTCATACTTCACCCCCAGAAAAACAAAACAAAACTTACCTTTTAAATACATAAGAAATGCCACCGTGTTTCCCCCCCACTGGGCATTTGAGCTGAACATCCCCAGTTCCTTTGCCTGGCTGTAGAATTTGCCTTCTGCCCCCTCTCTGTACAGCACTTATTTATACATTTCTGTGTCACTCTTCCCCATCCAGCTGCAGGGCAGTGTCCAACAGGTGTAGCCAATATATGGCGGCCTCCATGTGTGGTCCTACTGCCCTGTCATCCCTGATTCTTGGTGCTGATGGGAGTTGCCAACCAGCAGCAACAGCGAAAGAGCACCAAGTTGGGGAAGGCTGACTTGCACTCTGTAAACTCTTTCAGGGCAGCATCTCTCAGCTCTTCTGGAACTTATTGAAAGCAGAGCAAGCTGCAAAAGGGAGATAGAACCAGTGGCCCCCTGTTGCAGCTGATTCACTCTTGGGTTTTTGATTTTCTCCTTGCCTGCCCCTCTGCTCTACTGTGTATCATATGGAGGTCATATGTACAAAGTAGTCAGCGTCAGGTGAGACAAATGTGCTCAAAGGTAAGTTAGGAACTTGCTGTTCAGGACAATAAGTTGGCTCTCCTAGTAACTTGACGTCTACAACACGAAAGTGAGCTTGGGTGGAATTCAACGTCCTGCTCTTCCTACCATTCTGTCTGTTTAGGCATTTCTGCTTGCCAGATGGAAGGACTCCCTTGTGCCCCGTTCTGAGCGGTCTCCCAGCCCCAGGAACCCCATGTTGAAGGGGGGAGGAGGGAGGCCGGCTGCGCAAGTGGAAGTCCTGCCCTTGATGAGGAACTAACTTTCCATTAACAAAACCTGGAAGGGGATTTCTAATAAGGGAGACCATATGGGGATTGTTCTGAGACATATCGGGGTGTGTGGGATCATATGTAGAGCAAGCCTGAGCCTTCTTACCTTTGATGATAACATGAGGATGCGGAGCCTCCAGCTCAAGGCAGCCTTCTCTTCTCTTGGCCTCCTTCATGAGTCAGCCCTTTTGGCTGATGGTGCTGCCCATATTTGCGTCAACAGCCTTCTTCTGTGTGCTTTATTTGGAAGCTGCTATTTTAGAAAGATTTTGAGGAACATTTGGTAAGCAGCGGTTCTCTGACAGGCAGGGAGAAATGCATGGGAAGTCCTGTGTAGATGTTGCAGTTTCTCAGAGAGCAGAGAAGGGCATGCACAGTAAAGGCAGAAGGTTTGGCTCCCTGCAAATGTCAGCTTTCATTTTTTTTAAAAAACCCTCAAGTTTCCAGCCGCAGTCCTGCTCCAAAATGTGTGGTCAATTCCTGCTGAAATCTCAGAAGCCAGAAAGGAAGCCAAACAATATTTTCAGGGGTTTGGAACTTCAGTGACCTGGATTGTTGCTTGTTGCTCGTGGCAAGTGAAAAAAACAAAATGAATTTTACAGAGTGGAGCAGGACTTTCTACTAGCTACTCAATGCTGGTAGTCAAAAACCTTCTACATGTCTAATCCGAGGCAGCAGACCTGCTCAAAACACAATGGGGACAAACTAGCAATTTAAATAAATGTCTGCCATTGCTCATCCCCCACCATTCAGCAGCACAGAATTGGGTCCGTGGGATATAAACATAAGGAGAAAATGAAATGAAATGAATATATCTCTCAGCAGAAAGAAACTGAGCAGTCTTTTCCATGCATCCCCCTTAATGGTCTTCCACAGGCCCAGCAATGCTGAGCAAAGCCCGCCCCCCCCAAGGATTTCACAGATACTGTACTGCAAACTTTTAACGCTTGCATGCAGCTTCCTCCTGAGAAGCATCCCAGGGTGGCATCAGGACTAAACTGCAAGGCCGTGGAGTGATGACTTAAAAAAAATATTAGGCCCTTATCTGCCTGACAGGATGAAATTGTTGGCAGTAGAACTAAAGGGCCATTTCTCCACGTAGGGGAGTATTCAAAAATGGATTTCCGTACTGGCTGTCTAACTATGTTGTGCTGCATATCTAAATTCAGTCACAGATGGCTTTAAAAAATAGATTAGTCAAATTCATAGCAAAGGATCAGCTGTGATAGTGAAATTGAACCTCTGTAGAAGGCAGTATATTGCTGAGCAGCAGATATTGAGACGTAGTCGAGGGGGCAGTCATAACCTTTGTGCCTTATCTTGCATCTGGATGATCTTGTTCAGGACAGATTGCTGAATTAGACAGACCTTGCTTTGATTCAGCAAGGCATTAATTAGATTTGTATATCTGCAAAATCTGTTGAAATGAAGGAATTTTTTTTTTTTTACCAGTTTTGGTTCTTTCATTGTGTGGAATTTAATTTTACCACCATGGGGTGCCAACCCTAACCATTTGGATGCTGCTATTTCACTCTCCAAACTAGAAGCAGAACTTCAGATTCCTGGAGGATGCAAACACAGCTGAGTGCACACTCTGGCAGACAAGTCCTGTCCCTGTTTAACTCCTTTAGACTAAAGTCTCTCCATCAAAGGGTCAAGGCTGCTTATCAGAAGACGGGCAGGAGACCAGACCTGGTAGTTGGATAACAGAGGGAAGGGATTCTCTGATCTGGGGAGAGGACTTCCCATACTTTTCTCTTAATGAGAGTCAGTGCCTGGAGTGTGGACAGTGGAAGGAAGCACTGCAACCCCAAGGATATATTTGGCCTCATGTGTAGCTACCGGCTGCTGATTTCTCGGGCCCAGCTTAGAGAAGATTAGGTATAAATAGGACGTTTACTGGGCCAGGGCTGGGAGCGTCTGCTCAAGTGGGGTGGGGTGGTGGAACCAGCATGACCCATGCCTGCACTGCAGATGCAGAACATCTTGGAATGTTTTTGTGTGCATTTTGAAGTTTTCCTTTTTCTCCGTGTTGAATTAGGGTGTCAGGGAAGCAAAAACATTTCTAGGTACCAGCCTAAAGTTGTTGCATGACAGAGCAATTGGAGAATCCCAAGTGTTTGGGGAAGCTAAATATTGGAAACATTTGTCCTTAGTTGCACTGCCCATGTGCTCTTCTGATTTGGTCAGGCTGTATGGAGTGATGTGTCAATGCTAGATGTGGACTGACCCCAGTGGGAATCAGCCAGAAGCAGGTCTCAAGTTCAGATGCCCTCCCGTGTCCTCCAGATGCTGTAATCCAGCAGCACCCAGAGCGCATCTGGTTGGTTACCTGGGCCCCACAGCAAAGACTGGAGCTGGAGCAAGAGTGAGAGCCGCCTGGCTCACCTGTGGCTCCCAAGATGCCTTTTCCACATGCTCCAGAGCCGCACTCTTTCCCGCTGTTCTGCCATGATGCAGCCTTCTTTGCCCACAAGGAGTAGTCCTGCTGAATCATGTTTGGGATTCATGTCCATGTGTGATTTGAGGAGTAGAGTTGTTTGCAACAAGGTTATTTGCCCTTCTTTAAACTGTCTTGGTTCATAAGTAGAGTCAGACAATTATTTCATTACTAAATAATTGTCCTGTTTATAAACTTAGCCAGTTCATAGTATAATTTATTCATTACATTTGTATCCCAGCCTGGCTTTCTAGCACTTGCAAGCACATATACTATGCCCTTCTAAAATGTGACTTTTTTTGGGGGGGGATGTTATTGGGTTGTTGTTTTTATTTTGATTATATATATTGCGATTTTTATGTTGATCTTTTCTGTGAACCACCTTGAGACCTTCGGGTATAGGACGGTATATAAATTCACTAAATAATAATAAATAATAAAATAATACTATCTTCACAAGAAAAACCCCAAGAGTTCTGTGGCTGAACAGGAATTTGAACCCAGGTTGCCCTAGGCCAGATCCAGCCTTGTCCAGTTCTGAAATGCTTTGTTCACAGGACTCTGAAAATTTTGCCTAAAAGTTCTCTGGTTTTGTGTGTGCAAGCAAGAGGGCTAGAAGCTTGCTTTTAATGAAAAGAAAGCTGAAATTATGGAAATGCTGTTTTCTATAGGCTTCCCAGGCTTGGAGCTGTATGTGCATTTTTACCCTTTGTGCTGCTGTGAGGGTGCTAGCACAGTAGTTTCATATTCCATGTGGGTGGAAGGTTGATCAGTGTCAGGATGATATGTGGGTGCTTGCCGAGATAACAGCCCGCGATTCCAGCCAGTCTTTACAAGATTTATTAAGTCCCAAACTATGCACAGTACGGAGCTCTTAAAAGCATGTCTGCCTCAGTCGCTATCCGTTGCCGGAAGTGGCTTGCGCCTGTTCCCCTTCCAGCAGAGAAACTCCCTGAGCCCCCCCCCCTTTCCTCCTCTCCTTACGTGAAAACCTAAGCATCAGAGGCTGTTCCTTTCTCTGCTATACCAGCCTTTGGATCTCATTTTCTGTGTTTCCTGACAGCCCCTCCTCCTCTCCCTCAAGTGCAGGTGCTCATCAAAGGAGGCGGCTCTCTGTGCATTCCGGTCTCTCCCCCCTTCTCTGCCAACCGATCCCTGACAATCAGGGTCTCCTGGTGGATCTTTGGGCAATTTGTCTAACTCTAGTAATATCAACATCCTCCCCGCTGCAAAAGGCTGCTGAAAATAATAAAAGTTCAGGGGAAACCAGGAGCAGATTTTTCTGTTTCTGATTGTGAAAACAAATTACTGGGCCAAGGTGCCTTCAGAATTGCTCTCTTCCTGAGTTCGAAGTGTATGTCTGCCCTAAGCCATTGTTTGGCATTTGGCTCCTCTTGGTGGAAATTTGAGTCTTTGGGGTGTAGAAGCAGATCCCACCAGCTTGAACTCTGCCGACCCCTAGATGAAGGACAGCCTTGCTGCAAGTGAGTGCTGAAGGAGATCTGTTTCTTTTTCAAAAAACCAAAAGACTGCAGCAAGGGGAGATCTTATGAGAGACAGGGAGACTAGGAGGAAACATTTTAAGAGAGTGGAAGAGTTTGTGTGGCTTGATGGCAGTACAACTGGAAGAGCAGATACCCCAGATAGCACTACAATGGGGCATAAAGCCAGAAAAAATAATATATGGTAAGGTAAAATAATTTAGATGATCCGGATGCGAATGTCTGTGCCAGATGCCTGCTCCTAGCAGCCCCCTTGCAAGGCACCTTATAGATCAGGGGTAGGCATCCCAGCACAGGAATGTACGGGTTAGGACTGGTGAAGAAGTGGGGAGATGGGGGTGGGGCCTTATTGAACGCTGTCTGATGTGGGGCAGAAGGGGACCCTAACGTAGCCAGGCTCATTTGTCTGACAGCACAGTCCTCACCAAGGCAACTCAGAAGTAAGTCCTATTGATTTCAGCAGGGCCTAGGATTGCAGCCACTGTTGGGGAAGGGCCAGAACTCAGTGGCAGAGAATCCCGTCAATCCCATTCATTTCCTGGTAGGGGCTGTGAAAGGCCCCCGCCTGTGATCCAGGAGAGCCACTGCCAGGCACTGCAGACCAGGGGTGGCAAAGCTGTGACCTTTGGATGTTGGTTGGACTCCGACTCCCACCCCCTTGACCATTGTCCCTCCTGGCTGGGGCTGATGGGAGTTGGAGTCCAATTGCAGACAGTACTGAGCTTCGTTCTGCGACGCTCTGACTCTACATGAGGCGCGTGCTCTTGAGGCGCATTGCTCTCCGCTTCCTAGGATTGCCACTGGGGGCCACGGGGGCTCCCCCCACCCCCTGTCCCAGTCCTGTTTAACGCAGAGTGACAGACCAGCCTGCATCCCCCGCTTGCTGCCTCCTTCATGGCCCTGGGCGCCCAGCTTGTCACATCGCGCTGGCTCGGCCGTGCCGGCCTGGCAGAGAGGGAGCCCGGGGGGGGGGCCTTAGTGGGGGGGGGGGTTAAGACACAGCAGATACCACTAGCCCTTCATACCCTCAGCCTCTGGTGGAAGGTGTGTTGCCGGTAGAGGGAGGGAATGAGTGCTGATCCTGGTTTCAAGGTTCCATCGTGTTCTGCCAGCCTCACTGCCATCGTTTTAAACGTCAAGGATACCCATTAATAATAATAATAATAAAATTTTTTATTTATATCCCGCCCTCCCCAGCCAAAGCCGGGCTAAGGGCGGCTAACAACAATAAAGGTTAGAGGTTGGAAAAATGTAATCGACCACGGTACACATATAATGTTTGTGCCATTTGTCTCGAAGGCTGGACAATATCCATAGCTTCTGTCCTTGAAATTCAATCAATCCATTCAAATTATACTCAGAGGAGGGCACTACATTGCTAAGGTTTCAGAACAAAAAAGCCATGCTTTTGTCTTGATCAGCATCAAAAACACAGCCGTGGAAGGACGCACACATTGCATTGCATTTCTTTGCATTTCTTTTAGTGTCTATTTTGTTAAGCTGCCTTGTGAGACCTTTGTCCTAAAAGGCAGAACATAAGTATTTAAAATAAATAAGATGTTTATATTGTTAGCAGTGTGTGTGTGTGTGTGTGTGTGTGTCTACTCAGCAGAAAGGCAGAAGGATTTATTTATCAAAAGTATTTATATACAGCTTATTCGTTAAGAAAACTAGAGCAGCTTACAACAATTGTACATAAAAAATCAGAAATCAGTGTTGTGAAAGGTCTGTTCTTAGTTTCCTGCATAAGCCTGATGGAATGGAAAAGTTTCCAGCAAGTTTTAGTAGTCAGAAATATGCTAAATACCACTATGAACAGCCATTTGACAGAAAGCCAAAGAGGAACAGAGAGGGAACCATGGATATTCCAAGACCAACTTGTTTCTCACTTCCCTTGTATTCCAACTTGAGTTTGTCTCTCTTTTGTACTTAAACTTGTTGACTTTTGCCTGCATAGCATTGTATTCTTCCCATTCTTGCTTTATTGTACATTGCTTTTTAGACTGCATTTTTAATGCTTGTGAAGGGCCTAACAGTTATTGGTGGTATATATGAGAGACACTTGGGGCTAACTCTATGGAAAAGCAAAAGTGTCAGGATATTTCTGCACAAAATAGAAACGCTAAATTTGGTGCTCATAAGAAGACAATCTTCTTATTTGTAGGGGGAAACATCCTGGAAGTGGGCCATTTTTTTTTGCTTTGCCAGTGGAGCATACACCATAGCCATGGAGGCTCAGTCTGGAAGTAGACAATGCAAAAAACAGGGTAAAGCTGTCAGGTATACCCCCAGCATCCCTGGAAATTGTGCCATTGGCCACCAGTCGCGAACTCTGCTTGTGACCACATGTTGACCCCACACCAAGGTGGCAAATGAACTCCCAGTGCTGGGAACATCCCCCTAGTGCGCGCACACACACACACATGATGTGATGCCCAAGGCCCTCTGCTCCATCAGCCCCAGCGGCACAACCAGCACTAGGACCTTGAGAGGTCCTGTGCCAGAGAATGTCAGACGTTGCCTCTGATGTCCTAAGTTAGTCTTTGCAACCATTTGGAGCTATGTCTTTCACAACAGGCTGGAATAGGTGCTGATGTTTATCTCCTTGCTGCCAAAACTTTCACCTGCTGATGTCTGCTCATCAGACTGCAGTTTAAGGAGTAAAAGCAGGCCTCTCTTTTACAGTCAGTAAACAACATGGGCTGGAGTGCAGTTAATAAACCATGGGCACTATTCAACTACCATTTTTCTCTGGCAGAAGAGGATTCTCTCCCTCCATCTGTGCATGCCCTGTACCATACCCAAACCTGCTCTGGAAGGTTGAGGGGACCTCCAGAACAGATGGGGCAGGGGAAGAAGAGAGGGAGAATATTATGTTTCTCACCATCTTCTTAGCACTCTATTGAATGCAGCCCCTCTCATTTTTTTGTGGCGCTGTGGGTTAAACCACAGAGCCTAGGGCTTGCCAAGCAGAAGGTTGGCGGTTCGACTCCCCACGACGGGGTGAGCTCTCGTTGCTCGGTCCCTGCTCCTGCCCACCTAGCAGTTCAAAAGCACGTCAAGGTACCGCTCCAGCAGGAAGGTAAACGGCATTTCTGTTCGCTGCTCTGGTTCACCAGAAGTGGCTTAGTCGTGCTGGGCACATGACCCGGAAGCTGTACGCCGGCTCCCTCGGCCAATAAGGCGAGATGAGCGCCAGAACCCCAGAGTCGTCCGTGACTGGACCTAACAGTCAGGGGTCCCTTTACCTTTAACAACTACAAGGCTGTTGAATTCCTCACTAACTGCAATACAGTCATACCTTGGGTTGAAGTAGCTTCGGGTTAAGCATTTTTGGGTTGTGCCCCGCGGCGACCCGGAAGTAACGGAGCGCGTTACTTCCGGGTTTTGCTGCTTGCACATGCACAGACGCTCAAAATGACATCACGCGTATGTGCGGAAGTGGCGAAACGTGACCTGTGCAGATGCCCAGTCGTGTCCTACATTCTACTCAGGATGCGAACAGGGCTCCGGAACAGATCCCGTTCGCATCCAGAGGTACCACTGTAGCTGAATAATGGTCTGTTTTGGACTGGGGGAGGCTCACAGACAGGTTGTCAACATCTGCTGTTGCAAGGACAGTAAGTGCATGTGGTTTCTTTTATTGATATTGACAGTAGCAATTTGAGTCCCTAGTGAATGAACCATGTCCTTAATGACGGCCATTGTCCAGTGTTAGAAACTGAGATATGGAAGCTTGGAGCTAAATGGCACTGTTATAAAAAAAAACTGCTCCCAAGAGCCCGTAGAGAGTCCTTATGTAGGTTCTCTATCGGTAGGAGAAAATAACAAAGGCCAGCCAGAGAATATTGAGAAGCAAAGCGACAAGTAAGCCTGATCTTTATTAAACTGTTGCAATAGGGTGCTCAGATCCCCAAGCAGGAGGGAGGAGGAACCCAGAAGATTGGTGTGCAAGCCCTTATATAGATTTTGAAATTGCCCACCATGTAGCCCAAGACCACCCCCCAAAACATCATACATACGTCACAGAAGGAGGCGGTCAACAGCAGAGGAGGCGGTCTACAACAGAAATCCTGTTTGCCAGGGTACCTGATAATGGTCACTGATTGCATTACCTGGGCAGTCTGGCCATTCTTTTGTGTAAATACTCAGTTCCTGAATCCAGGTCATAGGCTCACCCATTTCATACCCAAATACGCCCTTAAGACAGGATTTGTGAGCAAAGAGACAATGGGGAGGTTTTCCCATTTCCTTCCTCTTTGCAGATAAACATTTGAGGTCAATTTGGGAGAGTCAAAATGGTTTCAGGACTATTTTCCTGTACTGTTTCAGACATGTGGTTTATATATTTATGTGTGTGTTTGCCTTGTACATTTATGAACATTTATTTTATATCTTAGACCTTATAGTTCTCATAACAGCACCTTAAATTGATATTATGGGCGCAACAACAGAATGTCTAGGCACACTTTTTAGAACAAGAATACAAAGCTGAAAATGAATGAACTGCAGCTAAAATCTTATGTTCATTTTTCACATGGTCTGGTCCTTCCCCTGCCCACCCCCCTGATATTCTTAAGAGGGTCTCTTCTCCAGTCTTCAGAGAGTGGCCGGAAGTGGGAAGGCAGAAAAAGGTCCTCCTTTCCTTCCACTCTGCAGTTTTAATCTGAAATGTTAGGCACAGTACTGTGTCCAGAGCTCAGAAACTGCTCTCGCTAATGAAATTCCTAGTAGCAAAATGTGCCCAGACCAAGGGGAGTTTCACACACTGCTGGCGTCTCATAATAGTTCTGGTCATTCAGAATAACTGCAGTCTGGATCCAAGACTTCCCAGTGCTGCGGGGTTGGTTGAAATTGTCACAGCTGCTGGTGAGCCTCTGACTTGCACCTATCTCAGTTGTGTCCGTGTGTGTTACAGTTGAAGAACCTGACCCCAAGCAGACCATCACCGGTGTTTTTCTTAAGCTGCCTTTGGATTCCATCTGTCAACTGAATACCCAGACTGGGCGGTTTCCTCGCACACTCTCCGGCTCCTGGGGCTATATTTAACCCCACCATTCATTACGGAAAGGCTCAAGAGGCAGATGAAAGCAAGAATACCCAAAAATACAGCTTGTGACCAAACGAGGCTGGTTCAAGCCTCCAATGAAATCATTTTCCTTCTCTTCTTTGTTATGGCCGGCTCTTTGCGTGGATGATGAGCATGGACACACACCCTCCAAATTATGCACTTGGAATGAATTATGCTTAATGGTGTCGCTAACCAATTGGCCCTGGGGCAAAATTTCTTCCCAGCTCCAAATATGATGATAAGCATAAAATAAAACCCATCCTTCTACAAAAGGAAGGGTTTGGGTCACCCCTCTCTCTCCCCCTGTGTCTCATTTCCCCCCAAATCTAGAGTAAGCTCTTCAAATGTGAATATGTGCAGCCTTGGGAATTTTCGATGCCTCAGAGCAGTGGGTTTCACATTTTCTCTTTTTTGGGGGGAACACTTTCCTTTTCCTTTTGTCAGTCTGGGACCCCAAATCTGCTATGGAGCCCCTGTATGTTGCAGAGGATTCTGGGGAGTGTTTGAGGCAGCACATTCCGTTCTCTTAGGCCTCCTCAAGCTCTACATGAACAGAGAGCACGTAGTATTCGTATCCCCACTGCTTCTGTGAAAGGGCCATAGCTCAACCCCCAGCCTCTCCAAATGGGGCTGGAAATGTCCCCTGCCTGAAAGTGTTGGGAATCCTGAGCTTGAGCACAAGTGGCCGGACTCGGACTTAGCAGCTGGAGCTGTGTGGTGCTGGGCAAGCTGTCCTTCATGCAGTTACTAATCTTCTTGAGGAACCTCTTATCAGCTTTCTTTGCAACCTTGTTTGAAAGAAAAGCTTGGGAGAAATTGAGTGACAGACTGGGTTTTCAGCTACGCAACTGAAACGGCAAATTAAAGGGCAAAAGCTGCCTTTCATAAATATATCCATTTCCAGGTGCTTCTTTGCTCCCAGATTATGCTGCAATCCTAACCTATTTTACCTGGCAGTAAATCCCATTGAATTCAATAGAGCTTATTTCTTTGTAGAGGCGGTTAGGATTGTGCTGTTAAGGGTCCTGCAGTTGGGCATTCTCCGGGGGGGGGGACGGACCACAGCTGTGGAAACTTCCCCCTCCTTACCTGCATTCCAGAAACATGTGCGGACCTTTTCTTTATTTTTCCAGGCATCTGATCGATAGTTTTCTTAACTTTGTAAAATTCCTTCCCCACATACTTCCAGAGACTTTTTTACTTTTAGTTCTTTCACTGTAGTCACCATAGTACACAACTCGAGACATAAATATTTTACATGCCTAAAAATACAGTTTAAGAAGCAGATGCATTTTGAATATGAGTAACACGTGAGATGGCTCTTCAAAGGACCCAGGAGTCCCCTCCCCTTGAAGTATTCAGGATCCACAGTGCACTCTTGTGTCCCTGGATTAGCCCCCAACCCACGTGTGTTATTGACTGCACATATGCAGACTTTTAAGTGGGTGTTTTTTTAGCATTGAAATATTTTATGGGCCACCTTGTAGGCAAAGAAGCAGAATTAAAATGATAAATACAGGGTGATTCATAATGAAGTATACTGTATATGCGTACATTTTGCTACATCTGGCTTATCCTACATTAAGAGTGGATTGGGGTTAGGATTTGTATCTCGCCCTGTGGACTGGCAATTCCCCGTCCCCATTCCCTATCAAGTGGGAGTTGCTCACATGCTCACCTTGTGGGTTAACCCCCTGTTTCCTTGTTGCCACGTGCAGTGACTTCAGCCGTTTCCCCACCATGGATCGGATGAAGAAGATCAAGCGGCAGCTGTCCATGACGCTGCGTGGGAGCCGGACAGCAGAGAAAAACCTCAATGAGCCCATCAACCTAGAGGAGAACAACAGCAGCGATAATGGTGAGTGCTCTCGATTTAGCCTGGAGAAGAGGAGGTTAAGGGGTGATATGATAGCCATGTTCAAATATATAAAAGGATGTCACATAGAGGAGGGAGAAAGGTTGTTTTCTGCTGCTCCAGAGAAGCGGACACGGAGCAATGGATCCAAACTACAAGAAAGAAGATTCCACCTAAACATTAGGAAGAACTTCCTGACAGTAAGAGCTGTTCGACATTGGAATTTGCTGCCAAGGAGTGTGGTGGAGTCTCCTTCTTTGGAGGTCTTTAAGCAGAGGCTTGACAACCATATGTCAGGAGTGCTCTGATGGTGTTTCCTGCTTGGCAGGGGGTTGGACTCGATGGCCCTTGTGGTCTCTTCCAACTCTATGATTCTATGATTCTATGATTGCCAGCAGCGGAGAACAGTGCATGTGGCGGGGGAGCTCCCCCGATGCTCTCACATGCCCAGGAACGCACTAAGGAGGGCCACGTCTTGCTCAGAGTCTGCTGCCTACTATGGAACCCTCCAACTTGAAGTATTGCTAAAAGAGCAAGTTTCTAGCCCTTAATGTTTCAGAGAGTAGGAGCGGGGGGGCGGAGTCGGACACAGGGAAGATTGTTTGCAGTTTGTTCAGGCTGAGGATTTCAGTGGTCAGGTGCTGGGACCTTTTTGCTTAATACTTTTATTTATTTGGAAAAGTTTTTAAACTGCTTAATAAAGAAAAACCGTAAGTGTACTTAATTCAGTGCATACATCATACAGGCACTGGTGTCTCCTGGTGGTTCCTCAGTCCCTGTCTTTTTGCCTTCATAGGTTCATTGTACTTTTCAGTGAATTTCTGGTTCAAAGTTCTAACTTCTTAAAAAACACCCTTATTGTAAGAAGATGCAAGTAGCTTAATGTGTGCAAATATTACATAATTGTTTTCAGTCTTGCTGGCATTGGGTAAACTTTTCCTGTCAGAAATTGTAATTAGCTCACCATGTTACAAACTCAGTCAAAAGTTATAGCTAGCTCTACTCAGAGTAGACCCATTGAAATGTATGAACCTGAGTTAGTCCTGTCCATTAATTTCAGTGAGTGCTCTGCTCAGGACTGGCATTGGATGCAGCCTTCTCTGTTAATTCAAGATCTCAATTAATGTGCCAATACTTGAGAACGTAGCGGGCATAAAATGATGGTTTCCCCCAGGCTCGCTCATCTCAGGGTCATGCATCTGCTTTCTTGCATGCTCTGTTTACTAACCTGGAGAGGAAGCATGAACCTGCCAGGGCCACCCAGCACTCGAGTCTAAAGGTTTACTGATCAACAAACAACAAGGAGCTGCTTTTCAGTGTGAAATGCAAGAGAGATTTTGACCACAAATCAAACAGCTGGATCAGAAATGAACACCATATGAAAAGGAAATGTTGAATCTGCCAGGTAGATACTAGTCAAACATGATAGTCGCTGCTTGGTTTCAGATCCAACCTTTTAAAATGTTTGGTTTAGGGCAGTCAAAAGACTAACATAAAACGGGACATTCACATTTCTCTCAAAAAAACAAAGGGGGGTAGCAACCAACACCAGAGCATGTGAAAAACAGTGGTGTTTGGGAGCTTAGTCATGCAGACCATGTAGGCACAGAGAATATAAACTAACCCCTAATCCATTTGGTTTTGAATTACAGAAATATTAAAGTTTGTTGACTTAAAACGCAGGCTTGTTACTGATTTGGGAATTAGACATTTAATAGATTCCACCTACTAACCAACCAATTTCAAGTTTCCATGAGTGTTATCCATCATATTTCACAAATGATTTATCCAGTGCTTTTTCTGGGGGGATGCAGGAATATTCATACACCTAAACATTATTTCAATATGAGTAGGAAAAAGAGAGTACCCCTAAACATTTTTTAAAGAAAAAAAGCACTGGATTATCCTAAGAACAAAGATGGGGAACCTGCAGCCCTAGATGTTGCTGAATTCGCAGCTCCCATCAACCCCAGCCAGCAGGGCCAGTGATCAAGGATGATGGGAGTTGGAGTCCAACAGCAGCTTCCGTTTCCCTGCTTCAGAAAGTACTTGGCAAGAGCTTCCTGTTCAGTATTCTTTGCAAGGATCTTGGCAACCAGAACTAGGTGGCCACTGGAAATTGGCGAGGGGTCTTCTCTTCTGCCCAGGTGAGGCCACTTCCTATAAGACTGTACCGCCTTTGCTAGGGTGTGGGGTTGCCTTGACTGTAGAGGGTGGCAATGAAGGGGGAGTGGGAATAGGACTCATCAGCTGCCTTCCACAAATCTCCTTGGCAGCGTGACAGAGGAGGTCGAGCAGCACACGGATCCCCTCCTCCTGGTTTTATGACTTGCAGAGAATGCGGATGAGATTGCTTACGCTGGATGGATGCAGCAGACACATGGGGGCAGGGAGTGTTTCTCTCTGTCTATGCTGAGCTTTGGTGTCAGCAGAAGCAGCACAAGAGGCTTTTGGCTGCTTTTGGCTGCACTGAAGCCCAGTAAGAGGCCTTTGCTCCCATCTTGCAAATCCTCTGGCAGTCAGAGGGAGGGAAAGACCACAGAGAATGGCTGGCTACTGATCCAGTCACTGAGCATTGAAAACCAGGAGGAAGGGATGGGGAAGAGGGATAGCTCCCCTTGAGGAAAGAAGAAGGAACTGTGAAGAGGGGGTAATCCTTATCACCAGAAGTCTCTCATAGGTGTATTCAGATTATAGTTGTCTTTGCCATTTTTAGGTTATCTCTGTCACACTGCAGACTAGAAACTTGTTGGCTTTCTTTTTTAAAGTGAAACCTGGGGATTCCAAGGTATCTGCTAGGTGCTCCAGAGACCACACTAGAAAACATTCTTGATTTTAAGCCATATAGACACCTGTCCCTGCCAGGTAGAGTAAAGACCTTGATGTGGCTCTGGCATCAGATGCTGGAAAGTTTGGTCCTCGGCTGTGATGGAAGCAGATCAGGTGGTCATTGGGGTTCATTATAACTGTCCACCCCACTCCTCAAATATTGAAGTGGGGGTGTCTCGGGTTACCAGAACTGTGGGGAGAAGGCTGTCCCTCTCAGGTAAGTCCTGCCTTTCCATTACACCCCTTTCATTCCACTTTAAGTTTGATTCCCGTTCTGCTTTGATTTTTCTTTTGTTTTTCCTTCCTTCATATTTCTCTCTCTCTTTTTCTTCCCTCTGTTTGTTTCTTTTTGTGTATCTGCTTTATTTCTGCCTTCCTTTCATTCTGGTGGTGTGACTCCCTTCCCCTCCCTGCCTCATTATGCATATTGCTTTCTCTTCCTGTGAGCTTTTGCCATCTGTGCTTCTCTTCCACTGTGTCCAAACTTTTCCCCTCCTTTTGGAGTGTTTGCGATTCCTATTTGCCTCCTATTCACCCTCCTCCCTGTTTATATCACACTTTCTTTTCTCAATCCATTAAACTCTCCTTTGTGGTTGGGTGGCGTGATGGACATTTGGGTGGGCTCTTTCCCCAATGCCAACGCTGCCTCTGCTGCTAACTGCTGTGTCCCCCGCCCCCCATCCCACTCCATCCTGCTGCCCGCTTGACTCTCTGGCGCCTCTCATAACTCTTGTATCACCTGCCCCATCTGGCTGTCCATGTGTGGGCTTCCCTCCCTCCCTGCTTCCCTTCCCCCAGGCCCCACAGGGAAGAGCGTGCGCCCCAGCACCTCCCGCAGCGTCCACGCCCTCCTGCACCGCTACGCAGGCTCCTTCCGCAGGCCCCGACTGGCCGTCAGCCGCAGCCTGAGCGCCCACCTCAACCGCTCCGCCCGACTAGGTGACTATTGCACCTCCCCCTTGTGTGGGCAGGGGCTTGGCCAGTGCTGGCCAGTCCAAAGGAGAGCCTTTCTGGAGTCCCACCTGAAATCCTTTCAACCTGGGCCTCTCGTCAATAAGCTGGGCTGCATCAGAGCTGGGAATCCCTTGAGCAAGAAGTCTGGGGACCCTGAGCTTTTCATTTCTGTTTCTTGCTTCAGAAGGCGTTTGGGAAGGGTGCTGGGAACCAAGGCTTAGGGGCCTTATTCCCAGGGATCTTGGTTTCAGGTGCTAGCTCCTTATCAACACAGATCTTAAGATTTGTGGCTCAATGTTGCGTCAGTTGCCATTTTTGACCAGAAAGAAGCGTTTCGGTTTCATCTCAGTTTCACAAAGGCTCCTAGGGACAGGGCTGTGGCTCCATGAGGGAGCCTGCCAAAGTCCCTGGCATCTCCAGAAGGACTGGAAGGTCTCCTGTCTGAAAACTGCTGCTTACCTAGATGGACCAGCAGAATGACTTGGTCTGAAGCGGCTTCCTGTCCTTCTAGATCCCCAGGAGTGAAAGCTCCCCAATCTCCACCTTTATGAGAGTCAACCAAAATGTAAAACAAAGTGTGGCAGGCTTTTGCAATCTCCTCAGCTCTTTATCAGGTAAGATGTCACACAGAACAGGGTGGTGTGATGTGAAATGGAAGTGAAACTGACATGAAACCAACACATATCTGTTTAATTTTTTTTATTGAAACAGTTTATTAGACACAGGTTATAAGGTCCCTGTTGGTATTTAAAACATGTTGAGTGCCTAGAGCAGGGATGGGGAACCTCTGGCCCTCCAGATGTTGTTGGACTACAACTCCCATCATCCCTGACCATTGGCCAGGCTGACTGGGGCGGATGGGAGTTTGGAGTGCTGCAATACCTGGAAAGCCACACATTTCCCATCCTTGCTCTATTGCCTTGGCTGTGGACTATCTTGGCCATGAACTCGTTACATGACATTGTGCAAGTTTCTGTTGTATAAACCATAACAATCTATTTAAAAAATGAAAACCACCGGCTACTTTAATACCATACTGGGCTATAGTGGACTTTTCTTAATAAAATATGGTACTTTATAACACACATGGTTAAATTGGATTGGGGTGAGAAAGGGGAAATTTGTGCATGTGGGGCATGTTATTCAAACCAGCTAGGTCTACGTAAGCAGCAGATGGAGGGGGCTGGAGGGAGTGGCTTTTGAATGGTCTAACACTGAAAAATTAACTGAAAAGAGAAACAGGTACATCAGGAAGAAAATTTCTAGCCCAGACTTTTGCCTCCTGCACTGATTTTCTGTTTGCGAGGAGCTTTCAATGTAGATAGGGGAGCATTTCAAAATGTGACAGCCCAATTCAGAAGTCTGCTACATTAAAGACCAGACCCATTTGTTTTTTGCTTGTGGGAGGCCAATTGTAGTGACAGCCTGTCCCACAGAATGGAATTTTTTTTGCAAAGGTGGGGGGCAGTGGGTAGGTGGCCATGAAGGGAAGGTACAATGACATATTGAGAACCACAGGAGATCCTTGAGGGGTATTAGAGGGAGTTGCTTGAGAAGAAGGTTTTTAATTTCCCTGCCTGTGCTGTCTCCATCTCTCCGTGATGCAGAAATTGTCCACGAAGACCTCAAGATGGGTTCAGATGGTGAGAGCGACCAGGCGTCAGGGACATCATCTGATGAGGTGCAATCTCCAGTCCGAGTGCGCATGAGGAACAACCCAGCGCGCAAGATCTCCACCGAGGTGCGAGCATTAAAGATGGGCGTGCAAAGTTCAGAGCAGTTGTCACTGAGGGGCTCTCTCCATCTCCCTTTCACACGAGTCACTTTTTAGAGAGGACCATGGAAGGGATGTCTAGAGATGGCTCTACAGTGGTACCTCGGGTTACAAACACTTTGGGTTACAGACTCCGCTAACCCGGAAGTAGTACCTCGGGTTAGGAACTTTGCCCCAGGACGAGAACAGAAATCTTGCAGCTGTGGCAGCGGGAGACCCCATTAGCTAAAGTGGTACCTCAGTTTAAGAGCGGTTTCAGGTTAAGAACAGACCTCCAGAACGAATTAAATCCGTAACCAGAAGTACCACTGTCTATATGACCCACACTCATTCTCTCTCCCCCCCCCCCCAAAAAGCCAGGAAATAACAAAGTCTGCGCCAAGAAACCTTAAATAAAATAGTGTGAATTGTTCAGTTACCTAGCAATATACAGTGGTGCCTCGCAAGATGAAATTAATCCGTTCCGCGAGTCTCTTCGTCTTGCGGTTTTTTCGTCTTGCGAAGCACGGCTATTAGCGGCTTAGCGGCTATTAACGGCTTAGCGGCTTAGCCGCTATTAACGGCTTAGCGGCTTTAAGAAAAAGGAAACAAACTCGCAAAAACTCGCAAGACTTGCGAAGCAAGCCCATAGGGAAATTCGTCTTGCGGAACGACTCAAAAAACGGAAAACTCTTTTGTCTAGTGAGTTTTTCGTCTTGCGAGGCATTCGTCTTGCGGGGCACCACTGTACTTACTTTTCACAGACCCCTTCAGCTGGCACTCCCCCCCCTGCCAATAATTTTATTTTATTTTCCAAAGGTACACAATATTCAATTAGCAATAACAATACAAAATAATAACCAAACAGAAACAAAGACAAAAACAAAGCATACACCCATGTGGCTTCCCTCCCCCATTACTCATAATCTCTTAATCTTTAGAGTCTTATTAACATTGCATCTTTTGGTCATCCTTAATATCCTTAATATATTACTTTTTTCTAGTTCTACTTTACAGACTTAGTCTATACATATCAACATATTATCCTTAGAACAGGTAATTTTTTCATGTAATCCTCAAAGCATTGCCATTCCGACCTTAAATTCTGATTCGTCTGGTGCCTTATGGTTGCTGTTAACTTCACCAACTCTATAAATTTGCTTAATTTACATATCCAATCTTCCTTTGTGGGGATAATATTTCCATTCCAGTTCCTTGCAAGTCTAGCTGCAGCTGTGGCATATAAGAATAATTTTTTTCTTATCTTGTGGGATATCCTTTCCTAAGATACCCAATACGCTTCTGGGTTTTTTCTCTATAGAAATTTTTAACATCTTTTTTAACTCATTGTGGATACATTCCCAGAATCTTTTAACTTTTTTGCAGCCCCACCATACATGGACCATAGTCCCTCAGCCGGCACTTTTAACCTTCTGTGAAATCAGGCAGGTAAAAGTCACACCGATGCAGCTGAATTATCTCCTAATGCTCTGAGGAATGCCTGTGTGGAAGCCTGATTCATAGAATTGTAGGATTGGAAGGGGCAACAAGGGTCATCTAGTCCAACCCCCTGCAATGCAGGAATCTTGAAGCCCCAACCCTGAGGTTAAGAGTCTCAGGCTCTGCCAGCTGAGACATCCTGAGGCGTGCCCTTCAGAAGGGAATCCTGCAGTGGCCCAACGGCAGAGAAAGCCCTCAGAAGACACCAGTCTTCATTGAGGGTTTACAAGCTCTAGTTCTTCTTCTTTTTTAAATAATGTTTATTAAGAGTTTAAAAGTTACAAAAAGAAGAAAAAAAGAGTTAAACAAAGCAAAACAATACAATACAATACATAAAAAACAAAAAACACTGCTTATCTTAACAAAACAAAAACAAGAACAAAAACAGAATCAATTAAAAACACATCCCATATTTCCATATCTTATCTTTCATTTACTTGTTTCGACGACCTCCTCACACCTCCCTTTTTTGTATTCTAGTTCAGTTAGCTATTTCAGCAAATCCTTTCCATCTTTCTCAGTTTTGGTCCTATAATTTATCTTAACACAATCTAACCTTGTTTTTTTTCCCCCTTTAGCCCATTAACAGTCTATTTTTACTTAATTCTTTATAACATTTCTGCTAAAGCCATATAACTTCATTCCAGCATCCTTCTAACATTCCTTAATTTTACAGTGTTTCTGTAAATAGTCTTTAAATTTTTTCCAATCTTCTTCCACCGACTCTTCTCCCTGGTCTCGGATTCTGCCAGTCATTTCCGCCAGTTCCATGTAGTCCATCAGCTTCATCTGCCATTCTTCCCGGGTGGGTAAATCTTGTGTCTTCCAATACTTTGCAATAAGTATTCTTGCTGCTGTTGTAGCATACATAAAGAAAGTTCTATCCTTCTTCATCACCAATTGGCCGACCATGCCCAGGAGAAAGGCCTCTGGTTTCTTCAGGAAGGTATATTTAAATACCTTTTTCATTTCATTATAGATCATCTCCCAGAATGTCTTAATCCTTGGGCACGTCCACCAAAGGTGAAAGAATGTACCTTCAGTCTCATTACATTTCCAACATTTATTATCAGGCAGATGGTAAATTTTTGCAAGCTTGACTGGTGTCACGTACCACCTATAAATCATTTTCATTAAATTCTCTCTTAAGGCATTACATGCAGTAAACTTCATACCTGTGGTCCATAACTGTTCCCAGTCAGCCATCATGATGTTGTGTCCAACATCTTGTGCCCATTTAATTTTACAAGCTCTAGTTCTGCCCCCAGAATTTGGACCCCATTTTCCTCCCCTCTCCAGGACATTAACAAGCGCCTGTCACTTCCCGCTGATATCCGCCTGCCGGAAGGTTACCTCGAGAAGCTCACTCTAAACAGCCCCCTGTTTGACAAGCCCTTGAGCAGACGGTTACGGAGAGTCTCTTTGGTAAGTCAGATTTAAATGCAATTTGTTCACTTGGGTTTTCTTTATAGTGCCCCTCCCCCATGACATAGTTCTCTGGGTGGTTGGCCAAATAAAACGATAAAACACAATATTAACAGTATCATGAAAACAATGACTGTGTATACATTTTCAGCAGAGGCGGGAATGCTGAAATAAAATTCACAGTAGAACTAAAAATACAAAATATGCAATCACTGGGATCAAAATTCAGGTTGGAATTTGCCATTGTGCTTTGTGGGTCTGCGTGTGTCGAAGGAAGTCTGTGTGCAAAACAGGACTTTTCACCCTCTTCCCTGCCCTGCCCCATTCTGGGGATTCCCCCAACCCTCTACAGCAGATTTAGGGGGTGTGGGGCAGCAGGAGGTGGGGAGTCGCATTGAGCAAGGGGGCCTCATTTTGTGCAAACAGCACCTCCGCTAATCCAGCTTTCAGATCTTTAAAGATCGCAGATTATAAAGGCATGGGAGAATAAAGAAAGGCATTCACCTGGCACCAGAAAGAGCTTAAAGAGCACCACCACTGAAAAGGCCCTTCTCCTAATAGCCATTTCCTTATCTCACTTGCTGGGGGTCTCTAAAGAGGTTTGGGCAGGTGTGTATGGGAGAAGGCAACCTTTTGGTCACCTGGCCCCATGCCATTCAGGGCTTTAAAGGCTAAGACAAGTACTTATAGCCTCCCCCCAGCTGCCTACTCTGTCCTTTCACTGCAGTAGGAACAGTGACCAGGAGCCCCTCCCGACTGTAGGTGGATTCTGCAATGGGTCATTGATGCTGGAATGGTGCTTTAGTGGTAGAGTCACATTCATTCTTTCCCAGAGCTCCCACCTGCTTGCCACCTTCTCTGCAGCACAAAAAAGGTGGGATAAAGTCTCTATCACCTATAACCGTCCTCCTGCTATGACGTTGGAGGGGTGCTAGTGCAGTAGGGCCCATCGGCTGGAGAAGGCAGCCCCTCCCACCCTGTCTCTTTGTGCTTTCTTGTGCAGTCGGAGATTGGCTTTGGGAAGCTGGAGACGTATGTGAAGCTGGACAAGCTGGGAGAAGTGAGTGCCCTGACCGTCCTCCGGAAGGCGGAGCTGAGAACGAATTCCAGTCTAGAACACACTTGGGATGACCACTCAGCTCGGCTTGCTTCATCTCAGGGCACCTGGGATGGGGTCATTCTCACGCTGATTTTAATATATTTCTCTCTCTCTCTTTAATGTATTGATTTCTACTTTGCTCTTCCTTCAAGTCCAAGGAGTGCAGGATGGTGTACCTAATATCCTCACAACAACCCTGTGAGGTAGAATAGGCTACGAAAGGGTGGCTTGCCATAGGTCAGGGAGCAGGGATTTGAACCTGGATCTCCCCAGCACTCAACCCAGGACACCACCCTGGCTTAGCCTGAGAGCAGTGAGCTTGGCCAGTCCAGGGTAGTTGTTCCTTTATCTCCACAAGACTTCCAGCTCATCCCACCTTAGTATCACTTCTCACGGTGGATTTGATCCATTCAGCCTGGGAGGGTTCCTTTAGTTCAGTGGATTTAAGAGGTCCTGGTTCAGATTCCAGAATGGCCTTGGGGAGTTCCATTCAGTCACCCATCCTTTCCAGCACATGCATTCAGAACACGTTAAAGCACACGGAATCTCGTTTTTTCCAGGATTGCCACTAACACCCTTATCCAGAACTCCTTGTTGACCCATATCTCTTGTCAGCCTCAACTCTTTCTTCTGTAAAATGGGCCAATTAATGAATCCATCATAGGGCTCTTGAGAGGATAAATGAGAGAAGGGAATTGCATCAACTGCACCCAAGATTATGAATTCAAGAGTAAATCATGCCTCTCTAGGGCAGAGAACTTTCTTCCCCTGATCAGACCAGCCTGGTGTTGAGAACATCTTTCTGCAATTACATAGACGACGTTTTGCACTCTGGTTTTTTGGTGAAATTTATTCTTTGCTGGCGTGGGGGCATAAGTAAATTGCAGGGCAACTTGGGACTTGGAGGAGAGTTGGGGTGAGAGGCCAGTTGACTAGAGGTTGGGCATTGGGCTGCTAGCCTGAGCTCTGTCTTTGCTGCATTAAGGGGACGTACGCCACAGTCTACAAGGGGAAGAGTAAACTCACCGATAACCTGGTGGCCTTGAAGGAGATCCGTCTTGAGCATGAAGAAGGAGCACCTTGCACAGCCATTCGGGAAGGTACATCAACACTCCCTGAAATCAGAAGGGTCAGCCAGTTTCAGTGGGTTCTGGTCCATTGGGGCACTCTGCCGTCACCAGACCACTTCCTTCCTTGTGCCCAGTCCAAGGGATGGCCCTGGCCGACAGCGTCCCGTACCAGTCTCAGGTTTGCCCTTGTAGAACTCAAGGCAGAGGAAGATGGGGGGAAACTCTGCCTCTCTTTGGCTCTTGCTCCATCTGCGGAGACCCCGCCACCTTCTGCCTGTCTCAGAGAGCAGCTGCAAGGATTCCACAGCCAGTGGAAAGTGGAAATGGCTGCAGACGTTTGGATGAGCCAAACAGCTGCATCCATGAATGGAGGGGGTCCCAGACTGAAAATGCAGGTGAACACAAAGACTCGTCATAAGATATTTGCATTGACCAGAAAAATTACTGTAGCAGCCAGAAGTCCAGAAGAATTCATGTTAGGGCAGTAGAGACTCTTAACCCAGAGTCTCAGATGTGGCCGACAAGAGGAATATCACCTGCAGTGTTCTTATCATTTCCTTCGCTAGTGAAGTTCAGGGGTGCATGCGCAGCCATAAGGACATGTGCACACACACCTTTCCCATGCTCAGGAGGGAGGAGGTATCAGTGGGCTTGGGGGAACAGGTTAGCAGAACTTGATCCATCATCATCATCATCAGTCAGTCAGTCAGTCAGTCAAAGAAGCATAAAAACAAGGCAGCAAATCAAAGGAACCAGTGAGGGTGTGTTGTTAGAACTAGGATACCATTAATCTCCAGTCAAAGTACTGAAAATCCCCTCTTTAACACACAGAGGTATTCCATAGAAATTGCAATTGTAAATAAACTTACTCCACTTTAGAAAAAAAATATTTTCCTTTTAACTGTTTTTATGTTCTTTCTCTAAGTCTAATTAAAACAGGTTAGTTTTTGCCATTGTTACACAATCCCACACCTTATTATGCCATGATTTAATTGCTGGACCTGAAGTTCTCCTTACCCCTTTCCTAGTTCACATGTCCACTACATGTCGGTAAAACCATTTTTAAAAAAACTTAGGGAGCAAAAGAAGAGAGGTCTAGACAGAAAGAGAAGGATGTCTGTGTGGTTCACATGAAGAGGGGAAGGAAGACGGGAGCAAATGTACACACAGCCGAGAGAGGTCATTTTCTGATCTGTGACCAGATCTCTTTGCCCCTCCCAGCTCAGCCAGTTCCCTCTCACAGCTTTACCTGCCTCAGTAGGACTCAGTAGGTGTCTAGAGGGCAGACCCAAAGGGCCCCCCCCCCAAGTCTGCAGAGAGCAGGAGGAAGATGGACTCTGCTGCCCTTGGCGAGGCTGAGAGAGAAGAACAGGAGAGGCAGGGGAGCGGCATACTGGCGCACACTGGCGCAAAATTACCCACCCCAAGCAGCAGCAAGTCCAGAGCAGTGGATCATGCAGGGACACAGCAGATAACCTCCTCCCTGGTGGGTGCTTTAGGCTCCCTGGAGCTTTCTAGCTTTCTCTTTCATGTCGTGTGCTTGCTGTTCTTCTCTCAAAGCCCAGAGTTTAGGAATAGCTCCATTAAACTCTTTAGAGGTGCTTCTGTTGCGCGTCCCACAATGTGCCTCTCTTTCTCTGTTTTCCAGTTTCACTTCTGAAAGATCTGAAACATGCCAACATTGTGACCCTGCATGATATCATCCATACAGAGAAATCCCTCACGCTTGTCTTCGAGTATTTAGTGAGTAAACAGGGGCGGGCATGGTAACTGTAACTTATACTGTTTATGAATGAAAACATCTCAAATTATTTACGACTGAAAGCTGAACATTCAGAAAACCCGTATTTTGAACAGCCTGGCTGGTTTGAAGGAAGATGTTGCCTACAGTGCACATAGAGAGGGTGTTGAAACTGTCATGGCTTCCTCCCAAGGACTCCTGGGAATTGCAGTTTTAAGAATGCTCAAGGGAGCTTTCAATGCCCTCCTGAGGCAGCCACTTCAGTAGGAAATTATTGTCGCATAAGTGGGGGCGAGTTTTTCAAGGATAGTCTCCTGAAACCTAGGAAGTACAGTAAGTGTCAGTTCCCTGCCCCTGAGACCACTACCAGTGCTGGGCCAATATGGAGGTGAGGGCTTGGACGTGACTCCCACATCCCCGTCCAGCCCTCTTGCTCAGCCTGGTGCAAACCATGTAGGCACAGGGGAAAGGATGGGGATGTGGGATGTATGAACCTTCTGTTCACTTTATTGGTCCAGGGCACATTCCTGGGTGGGGGAATTCTGCTGAGTCCTATGGCAAGTCCACTGCATGGGAATGCCATGCCCACTCTGGGTTGAAGGATTCCCATATAGTCTTAACGATAAGGGGTGCCATCCTGCCCATGTTTACTCAGAAGTAAGATTCCCTTGAATTCAGTGGGACTAACTTCCAGGTAGGTGCTCGTAGGATTGCAGACTTGTTTGCACAAATCAGTCATTTTAAATTAATGAAGAGGAAAGTTGTCAATCCTGCGTCTTCTTTCACCCCAGGATAAAGATCTGAAACAGTATCTTGACGACTGCGGCAATGTAATAAATATGCACAATGTGAAGGTAAGTTGCTGACTCCCATCTGAGTCTGTTTCAGTGGATTCTTTTACTGCGTAGCAAGCAACTTTACGGATGTTGCTGGCAAAAGCTCACTTCAGCATGAGATTGCACTGGGGGATTTGATATGTGCTTTGCATGTTCTCCTTCAATGCTCTGGTTATTGGTGGCGCCCCCATCAAACGAACATGGAACTGTCCTGAGAAAATAAAGGCATGTTTCTAAAGAAAATCCCGCTGTTTGAAGAAGTTATATGAATTGGAAACATTTTCCTAAATGCACTCGTTTTGCATCCATGGCTGGTTAGAAGTACTGTATATGGCAGATCTAGCGATGAACTAGAGGGAAAGGCATTGAGATGGCTCTGTTCCCTCCTCCAGCTGTTCCTGTTCCAGCTGCTGCGTGGCCTCGCCTACTGCCACCGTCAGAAGGTGCTGCATCGAGACCTCAAGCCCCAGAACTTGCTCATTAATGAGAGAGGGGAGCTCAAACTAGCAGATTTTGGTGAGTACTAATTATCTCTCTGCCCTTGCTCTGCAACATTTACTAACAAATGTAATGAAATGTAAAATGTAATGCAATGAAACTTAACATTCCCAGGACTGGCCCGGGCAAAATCCATTCCCACCAAGACCTACTCCAATGAAGTGGTGACACTTTGGTACCGACCCCCAGATATACTATTGGGCTCGACAGAATACTCCACCCAGATTGACATGTGGTAAGGATTCAGCAGCCTGTGGCCAGCTCTCCCTCCCTGTGGTTGAAATCCGTAATTTTGATAGTACTTTTCATTTGCCCATCAGTTGTCATCTCCCACAGGGATGGGGGACCTGTGACCCTCCAGATGTTGTTGGACTTTCTCTTTAGCCCAGCTAGCTTGGCCGATGGTCAGGAGAGATGGGAGTTGCAGTCCTGCAACATCTGAAAGGCCACAGGTTCCCCATCTAGGGGTGCAGTCTGTTTTTTGCATGGTTCTTGTATTTTTAAAAGGTGATTTAAGTAAAGAGGAACGCAGATGGCGCTGTGGGTTAAACCACAGAGCCTAGTACTTGCCGATCAGAAGGTTGGCGGTTTGAATCCCCACGATGGGGTGAGCTCCCATTGCTCGGTCCCTGCTCCTGCCAACCTAGCAGTTCGAAAGCACGTCAAAGTGCAAGTAGATAAATAGGTACCTTTCCGGCGGGAAGGTAAACAGAGTTTCCATGTGTTGCTCTGGTTCGCCAGAAGCGGCTTAGTCATGCTGGCCACATGACCCGGAAACTGTATGCCGGCTCCCTCGGCCAGTAAAGCGAGATGAGCGCCGCAACCCCAGAGTTGGTCACGACTGGACCTAATGGTCAGGGGTCCCTTTACCTTTACCGTAAGTAAACATAGGCCATGTAAAGGAAACAGCGGTGAATGCCTAGAGCTGAGCCGCTTGGATCTCAGGAAACTGCAGAGCTAAAAAAGGAGACTGAAGCTAGGGGCAAACAAATGCATGGAGCCAGTAGCTGAGTCACAGTGGCCCGCTAGGAACACAAACTGTGGTAGAGTTCCTTAGATGTTTGTCCCCAATCCCTCCATGTAGAGACCAGGGGTGGCAGACAAGCCATTCTGAAGGACAACTTGCCCACTGCCATGTGACATTCCCCTGTAATGTGCAGGAACAAGAGCATGCAAAGTGTGGTGAACTGGGTGCACATCCTAGAACTGGCATAGCCAACGTTGTGCCCTCCAGCTCTTGCTGGATTCCAGCTCCCATTAGTCAGCCAGCCTGGCCGGAGGTCAGGGAGGATGAGAGTTGTGGTCCATGACATCTAGAGGACATCTGATTGGCTGCCCCTGCCCTGGAATGCCTTCTCTTCTATGCTTCAAAACAAGGATTCTAAGTGTCAGGTGGCCTCCCAAGGGGACGTTTGCCAGGGAAGAGGATAAGATACTAACAGTTAACAAGACTCTCCAACAGCAGCTCCAAAATGGTACCCTCTTCAAACAAAAGGGAGATACCAGAAAGCTTGGGGCACGGTGAGGGGAATCCAAAGGTTTGCAGAAAGAAGTACATGGTACCTTGGTTTTCAAGCGTCTTGGAAGCCGAACATTTCGGAACCGGAATGCCAAAAACCTGGAAGTAATTGCTTCTGTTTTTGAACGCGCCTTGGAAGTCAAACAGCTTCCGCTGCGTTTCCCCCCTTTTTTTCTCCATTGACTTTGCCGACCGCTCTTTGACCCTCGGTTGTTGAACGTTTTGGAAGTCGAACGGTCTTCCAGAATGGATTACATTTGACAACTGAGGTACCACTGTACATTGGGGAGGGGTCAGAAGTGGAACAGAAGGAGAGAAACCCCTCCCCACTAGCCTCATGAAGTCTTGAGAATGCTCACTGGCCATAGATGCTGACTAAGCATTGCCATGGTGCTAGTGAGGACTCTTTGCTGTAACATTTAGTTGCAGGCCCTACTTGTTTCTGAGATATTTCTGGCCCTTCTCAGTGCATGCCAGAATCCTCTGCAATATGCAGGCTAAGGTCCATGGCAGAGATGCAGGGAAGGTCTTTGGCCGACTAGTTCTAAAAAGTATACTCTAAAGGCGGCAAGGTTGAAAATCCCTTACATATATGATAATGAAAACAAACCATGGAAGGGAAGTGGGTGTTAAATGTTTGGTTTGTATTTTGGTAAATGTAAATGTGCAAATTTTGTATGATTAAAAATGATAATTAAGATTTAAAAAGAAAAAGAAAAGTTTAATTCTGCACCCTCTTGAAATTATGTGAATTTTGCATATTTTCTTATATCTTTCTAATTCTGCTTCTGATTTTCATGGGTGGGACAAAGATCTGTGCAGAATCCAGAAGCTGCTCCACCCACTGACTGTGGAAAACCTCTGTTGCTTCTTCTTCACCAGAAAATGGTGCTGCAAAATGAAGAAATAGATACATATTTGGTTAAGTCGCATAGCACATTCAAGTGGCAGAATTTGGATTTTCTTGGAACATAATGTTTTGATCCAGTGGAGAGAATCAGGGTTTTGATTTAAAGCCTAAAGTTCATGGTCCTTGCTTTGAACTTCCTCCCAGTGATGTCCTTGTCTTTCTCCTCACAGGGGTGTGGGCTGCATCTTCTATGAGATGTCCACAGGACGGCCGCTCTTCCCAGGCTCCACAGTTGAGGAGCAGCTGCACTTCATCTTTCGGATATTGGGTATGGTCCTGGGGTGACCTTGCTGGGACTGCTGTGTTGCCGAGAGATCAGTGGGGAGAGGCAGGAGGGCCTTACAGAAGACTAGACTGCTGATTCACAGGAGTCTTCTGAGCTGCTTTGAGGAATCTAGACAAGGAGGGGGATACAACTCAGTTGATCAGTAATCAATTACCATAATAAATCCATAACGATAACCAGTCTGTTATATATTTTAGCAAGTTGCTTGTCTACTTGCTATGAATTTGGATAGCTTTTAGGGTATTGTAACCAAATTTTAGGGACGCGGGTGGCGCTGTAGGGACGCGGGTGGCGCTGTGGGTAAAACCTCAGCGCCTAGGACTTGCCGATCGTCAGGTCAGCGGTTCGAATCCCCGCGGCGGGGTGCGCTCCCGTCGTTCGGTCCCAGTGCCTGACAACCTAGCAGTTCGAAAGCACCCCCGGGTGCAAGTAGATAAATAGGGACTGCTTACTAGCGGCAAGGTAAACGTCGTTTCTGTGAGCTGCGCTGGTGCTGGCTCGCCAGAGCAGCTTCGTCACGCTGGCTACGTGACCCGGAAGTGTCTTCAGACAGCGCTGGCCCCCGGCCTCTTAAGTGAGATGGGCGCACAACCCCAGAGTCGGACACGACTGGCCCATACGGGCAGGGGTACCTTTACCTTTACCTTTAACCAAATTTTGCATGGTGATTTCTGAGATCAAAGAAGATCAAAGATTCAGCTGGATGCCATTTTGGATCAAGATGGCAGGCTGAGCCTTTCAAGACTTCACTGATTTTAACCACTGATTTCTTTGTTTCTTAGAATTCCCAAACAACTCTGCTAGTCAATCAATAAAGGACAACATATACATAAGTAAACATGGCAGAAGTGGTGTGGGTGCTCCTTAAAAGTCCTGTTTCAGGGTCAGCGCCGCTCTCCTGCTCAGGGCAGCAGGGCAACCTGCCTGGGTCCTGAGCTGACTCTTTTCTGGTCTCTCCTTCTCTCTCCTCTGCATCACTAGGGACTCCCAACGAAGAGACATGGCCTGGAATCCAGTCTAATGAAGAATTCCGAGCCTATAATTACCCTAAATACCGTCCCGAGGCCCTCATCAACCATGCCCCAAGGTGAGTGTCAACCTGCCATTCAGGGAATGTTAGGGTGGGTTGAACTTTTCAACTTTCCAATTCCCCAAATGAAGGGTGCTAAAAAGTTGTAACATGACTTGGGAATTCAAAAGATACTTTTGTTAATTAATGTAATTTAGTTTAGCTTAGTAAGTAAAATGTGTGTAAAATTGCATAGAAATCATTAGAAATGATTGCCAAGTACTTACAGGTGGTTCTTCTTCTTCTTCGTCTTCTTCTTCTTCTTCTTCTTCTTCTTCTTCTTCTTCCTCTTCCTCTTCCTCTTCCTCTTCCTCTCGCTGTTTTTCTACTTGGCCCTTGATCCCAGAGACACCCGGCCCCCCTTTTATGCACTGGCTTCCATTGCTTTCTCCTGAGCAGAGGTGCAGATCAAAGGCTTTTTATCCCTCTCCTTTCCAGAACATGGATTTTGTCAGAGATGGCGGCTTGTGCCCTCCTCTGCTGACTGATGCATGAGCCAAAACTGACTCTGGGGGCTTTACAAGGCCTTTGCCTGTGTCTTGGCTCTGAAGGGTCTGGGGACGTTGCTGGCCCTTGAGTCCTGCTCCAGACCTGCCCCTTTTTCAAACCAGTTGCCCACCCGTAGTTGGGATGTACTTTGCTCATTTACAAGCCCCTATTAATGCTGTTAGCGGAGCAGCTGAGCACCTCCACCTGGGAAGCAGGGCCTCCGTTTCCCTTCCAGAGCCTGATCTTCCTTTTCTCCTGGATCTCCACAGGCTGGATAGCGAAGGGGCTGACCTCCTGGGGAAGCTGCTGCAGGTGAGAAGTTGTGGCTCCTCTTTGTCTCTCCCTCCAGCCGGATGCAGACCTTTATTGTCTTTGCAGCTTCAGGTGACAGGAAGGCCTTCTCTGCTGGGGCTGGATGGCCTGGCCTTGCCCTTCTCAGGGAATTGCAGAATGGATTGAGGACTGTGAGCCTTATGTGGCATTGTACTTGTCCATCTTAAGGGCTTGTTGTTTGTGCCAAGAAAAACATAACACAGCTGCCCTTTGAGAACAAAATGGAAACCAGGCTGGGGAAAGCCGGTGTGGGGGTTAGAACATGTGGTGAAGGAGTCCTCTCTATCCAGCCAGGTGACTGCTGGGCATAGCTTACTCCTGGGTAAATGGCTATACATTCCCACTTCTGCTCAGAATGGCATTCCTGGTGGAAGCAGAAGGGCAGGCACCTCTCTTTGCAGCACAGCAGTTGATCTCTCTCGTCTTCTCTTCTTCCCCCTCCCTGTTCTCTCCCGACGCAGTTTGAGGGCAGGAAGCGGATCTCTGCAGACGAGGCCATGCGGCACCTGTTCTTCCACAGTCTGGGCGAACGAGTCCTCAAACTCCCAGACAGTAGGTGCAGGGTGGGGAGGGAGAGAGGGAAGGAGGCCGGCACTATGGGATATGGGGATGGGCATATCGATGTACGGAAAGGCAGGTGGTGTTGACCTCTGAGTGTGGACCAGCAGGGTGAGGGTCTGTGGTATTGATAATGCTCTATGATCTGTTGTCCCTGGAGTGGGAGTGCAGGATCCCCCCCCCCCAATTTCTCAGGTTCCTCTGTTATTTTGTAGGGCTGCCAGATTTGATTTGTTTCAATGGCAGATGAGCTTTGCTTGATTAATTGGTGAAGGCAAGTTTTAATCTGTGAGGCTAAAAGTTAAGGGAACAATAGCTTATTTTGAAGCTGTTTTGCTTCTGATTGGTTGGAAGCCTGAAGGGAAAGGATTGGCTGGCCAGCGCAAGAGGTGGAATTCTGCCCCCACCCGCCAACTGGCTTGTTCTCACTGCTCCCTTGCGATTGTTTCCAGAGCAGCAGTGATGGTAGAAGCAACCAGTTTCTGTGCCACCCTTAAGGGGGCAGGAGCTCTGTCAGGGTCCAGGTGTTGCAACCTGGTGTACCCTTTGGTGCCCTAGGCTCAGCCCTTGAAGCCTTTTCACCCAACTGCCCTCTTACGTGCAGGTATCTCAGCTTATGCTGCTTCTCTCCTTCAGCCTTCTCCTTGTCTCTCCTGCTTTTCCCTCACCACAGGCAGCTTTCTGGTCCTTAACCTCATACAGAGACTTTCATCCCAGACAAGCTGCAAAGTATCTGGTTTCACAGAAATTGGACTGTAGACGTTTTTTGCTGCTGAGAGGTTTAATCCTTATGAAGCTGGAATGTTTATAGGCAATCCATAACATCAACCCAGTTGAGCCAATTAGAGTTAGAGGCAAATACAGTGGTGCCTCGCAAGACGAAAAGAATCCGTTCTGGGAGTCTCTTCGTCTAGCGGTTTTTTCGTCTTGCGAAGCAAGCCCATTGACGGGATTAGCGGATTAGCGCTATTAGCGCTATTAGCGCTATTAGCGGCTTTTAGCGGCTTTTAGCAGCTTAGCAGCTTATCGGATAAGCAGATAAGCGGCTTAGCGACTTAGAAAAAGAGGGGGAAAAGGAAAAAAAAAACCCAGGAACTCGCAAGACATTTTCGTCTTGCGAAGCAAGCCCATAGCAGATTCGTTTTGCGAGGCACCTCCAAAACGGAAAACTCTTTCGTCTAGCGAGTTTTCCGTCTTGCGAGGCATTCGTCTTGCGGGGCACCACTGTAATAATAATAATAATAATAATAATAATAATAATAATTTATTTGTACCCCAGCCACTCTGGGAGGCTTCCAACAAAAATTAAAAATACATTAAATTTAATGTCACACTTTAAAAACTTCCCTAAACAGGGCTGCCTTCAGATGTCTTCTAAATGTCAGGTAGTTGTTTATCGCTTTGACATCTAATGGGAGGGTGTTCCACAGGGCCGGCGCCACTACCAAGCAGGCCCTCTGCCTGGTTCCCCGTAGCTTTGCTTCTCGCAATGAGGGAACCGCCAGAAGGCCCTTGGTGCTGGACCTCAGCGTACGGACTGAACGATGGGGGTGGAGATGCTCCTTCAGGTATACCGAGCTGAGGCCGTTTAGGGCTTTCAAGGTCAGCACCAACACTTTGAATTGTGCTCGGAAACGTACTGGGAGCCAATGTTGGTCTTTCAAGGCCGGTGTTATGTGATCTCGGTGGCTGCTCCTAATCACCAGTCTAACTGCCTCATTCTGGATTAGTTGTAGTTTCTGGGTCACCTTCAAAGGTAGCCCCACGTAGAGCGCATTGCAGTAGTCCAAGTGGGAGATAACCAGAGCATGCATCACTCTGGCGAGACAGTACACAGGCAGGGAGGGTCTCAGCCTGTGTACTAGATGGAGCTGGTAGACAGCTGCCCTGGATACAGAATTTTTTTTTTTTTTTTATTAAATATTTTATTAAGGATTTTCTTGTTTTACAGAAGTAGGTGTACTGCCTCGTATATATATTTTTTTCATGTAACATTTTTACAAATCCCTGTCATTTGTTGAGGCATTAGGGGGAGAAGAAAAAAAGGAAAAAAGAAAGGGGGGGTGGAGAGAGGGAAGATGGATGGGGGTGGGGTCGGGTGGCGGTGTTTCTATTATGTTTAATGTATGTAGAGTTTGGTGTCAGCGTTGCTTGTGTTGTTCACTTGTGTTCCTTTGGTGGTGAGAGAGGTTGGGGTTGGCCTAGGGTGTGATTGTCTGCTTGTGATTGGCTGTGGTGATCTTTGTTTTCGTGTGTGAGTGAGGTGGGTGGGTGTTTTGGATCAGGTTAGCCATATTGATTTGTATGCTGTTGGTGGATTATTGTCATTGTCCTGTTGGGCTGTGTATGTGATAAAGGGAGCCATACCAGGGTGAAGACGTCTTCTTCTGTTTGTCCCCGTGTCAGTTTCAGTTTATTAGTTAATTTTTCTAGTAGGGCTGTTTCCCATACTATTTGGTACCATTGGTCCATGTTTACTCCGACAGGTCTCTCCAGTGTCTGGTTATGGTGTTTCTGGCTGCTGAAAGTAGGTGGGTTATGAGTTCTTTGTGGTGTAAATGGGCATTGTTGTCTTGGAAGATGTTTAGTAGGGCCAATTCTGGGGTGATGTCTATTACTTGCTTAGTTATTTTACATATTTCTTGTATGGCTGTTGTCCAGAATAGTTGGATTTTGGGACACTCCCACCACATGTGGAGGTATGTGCCTGTGGAGGTGCACCCTCTCCAGCATTTTGGTGAGGTTCCTGGGTGTATTAGCGCTAGTTTCCTTGGTGTTAGGTACCACCTGTAGGTGAGTTTCAGTGTGAGTTCTTTTCTTTTCGTTGATATGGATTTAAAGGGGGGGTTTAGACCACATTCTGGTCCATTGAGTGGGGTTAATCTCATAGCCTATGTCATTCTCCCATTGTTTTTTGATTGCATCTAGGGGATTTGCGGGATTTTGGAGTAGTATTTTGTATATTGCGGATACCGTCCCTTTACCGTTTCCTTTTGTTGTTAGGAGGAGGTTTTCAAAGGTTGTCAGGGGCCTAGTTGTTGCTGATTTTACTGTTGGGTTGTTTAAGAGGCCATGTAGTTGGTGTTGTGTTAACCAGGGCATTTGGGTGTCTTCTAGTTTGTCTTGTATTTCTTGTGTTGACAAGGGTTTGTTATTTTTATAAAAGTCTATTAGGCGATATAAGCCTTTGGTTTGCCAGGTTTTTATCTGGAGGTTTTGTGCTGCATGGTGGAATAATGGGTGGTACGCCAGGGGGATTAGTGGGGATGGGGTTGGGGATAGTTTGCCTATTTGTGTTTTCCATGCTTTGAGCATGGTCTGTGTGTACCTGTTAAGTGTTGTGGGAATTTTCTTTAGTTTGTTTGGGAGGAATGGGTATGTTGTGGTGCAGGTATTTTCAATTGTGTCCCTCTCTAGGTGTACCCATTGTTTTGTCTCATCTTCTAGTATATATGGGATTATATGGCGTATTTGGTTGGCATTGTAATATGCTTCTATGTTGGGGATTCCCCATCCTCCTTCTGAGGTGGGGAGGTGCAGGTATTTGAGGCTTATTCTTGGTTTTTATGTGAGAAGATGAAAGAGTGTAGTTTTCTCTGCCAACTGCGAAGTTGGGTTGAGGGGATCCAGATTGGGAGGGTTTGGAATAGGTAGGTTAGTTTTGGGAGTGTGATCATTTTGATCATGGCTATTTTGTCTGAGAGAGTGAAATTCATGTTATTCCATCTCTTTAGGTCTTTGTTAATTTGTCGCCACAGGGGCTTGTAGTTGTGGAGGTACAATTTATTGAGGTTTCTGGTTATTTGTACCCCTAGGTATCTGAATTTGGTGTGGCAAAGTTTTATTTTGGTGACCTTCGTGAGTTCTTTTTGGGTGTGAGGAGGGGTGTTGAAGCACATAGCTTCTGACTTTGTAAAATTTACCTGTAGGCCCGACACCATTGCAAATGTGTTGAGTTCTCTGATTAGGGAGGTTGCTGTGCTTATGGGGTCTGGTGTTGTGACCATTAGGTCATCTGCAAAGAGCCCTAATTTATAGGTTCTGCCTTTTATTTCCACTCCCTTGATGTCTGTGGCTGCTCGGATGCTGATTGCTAAGGGTTCCAGAGCCAGGATAAATAAGAGGGAGACAGTGGGCATCCTTGTTTCGGTGCCTCTTTGGATAGCTATAGTATTAGAATCCATATTGTTAGTTCTGCATTTTGCTGAGGCTTGGGAGTATATTTGTTTGAGAATTTGTAGGAAGTTGGGGCCAAATTTCATGTTAGTTAGTACTGCTAATATGTATTTCCACTCTAAGCAATCAAAGGCTTTGAGGATGTCTAGGGACATAATTGTCAATGGGAGTTTGGTTGCCTTGCTGTGTTCGATCAGGTTCAGTAGTTTCCTGATGGGGTCTGTTATATTGCGGCCAGGGACAAAGCCAGTCTGGTCTGGGGCTACTAACTTGTGTAGGAAGATTTTTAGGCGGTTGGCCAAGATTGATGTGAATATCTTGTAGTCTTGGTTTATTAATGAGATTGGGCGGTATGATTCTACTTTGAGGCTGTCTTTTAGTGGTTTTGGGATGGAGACTATTTTGGAGTGGGTCCAGGTTTTGGGGATGGGGCCCCCTTTTATGATGTCGTTGAATAGGCGGGTCATGTAGGGCATCAAGGGTTCTTTGAATTTCCTATAGAATTCTGCTGTGAAGCCGTCTGGGCCTGGGGCTTTGTGTGGTTTCAGGTTTTTGAGGACCGCATCTATTTCCTCTGGGGTGATAGGGCTGTCCATGAATTCCTGTTCCTCATCAGTTAGGGTAGGCATGGACAGTCCTGCTAGAAATTTTTGATTTCCTTCTCTGGTGGGTTATGGGAGGTGTATAGGTTGGAGTAGAATTCTGCAAATTCTGAGTTTATTTCTTCGGGGAGAATGTTATGTTGCCGTCTTTTTGGTGATGCAGTGTATTCTTGTTTTGAGTGCTTTTTTCCTGCATCTATTTGCTAGTGATCTGGAGTTTTCCCTCCATATTCGTAGAAACGTTGTTTAGAGTATAGAATGTTGATCATTGTTTTGTTAATTTCTAGGAGTCTAGTTCTCTCCTTTTTTGTTCCATAAGTTTGAGGAGTTTTTAGATCCTGTTTGTTTGTAGCGTGATGAGAGGGCTGTGATGTCTTGTTCTATTTTGCTAATTTTTGAGGAGGTTTGTTTTTTAAGGAATGTTTTCTCTTTTATGCAAGCTCCTCTGGTGACCGCTTTCATTGCGTCCCATAGGAGGGTTGTTATATTGTTTACATCGTTTTCCTTGAAGTAGTTTTGGAGGGTTTTTGTGAGACTCTCTCTAATTTGTTTGTTTGTAGTTAGGATGGGACTGAAGGACCATGATGGGGTGGTTTGTGTTCCTTCTCCTATTTTAACGATGACTTCTACTGGGCGTGATCTGTGATTTTAATGTTACCTATGTTTGTTGATTCCACTGAGGGATCAGACCCTGTGTGAGTAGAATGCTGTCCAGTCTGGATACTGTATCATGGCGTCCCGATTGGAATGTATGGCTGATGTCTCCGGGTTTTGCTCACCCCAAATGTCGTAGAGACCCCTGCTTTTTAGCATTTTTAGTAACTTGTAAGGGTTCCTAGTTGTTGGGGGTTTCCTTCGGAGGAAGGTTGCCCATGGGGTTGTAGGGTGGATATCTTTCAGGGCTATGCCTTTCATATTTAGATTGAGGTCCCCTCCTAGGATTGCTTCCCTTCAGAGAAGGAGAGGAATTTGTTTAGTGTCTTCTGGAAGAATTCTAATTGTTTCGTGTTTGGGGCATATATGGAGCCAATTGTCAGTTTGATTTTGCCATCTACTGTCCCTTTAGCGAAAATGAATCTGCCTTTTTGTCCTTGAGGACTGTTGTGGCAGTGAAGTTCAGGTCTCTACTGAGTATTATGGCTACACCACGAGCTTTCCCTGAGCCTCGTGCGACCCACGGTTGACTGAAGCGGGGGTCGCTCAGGAGTGTGCTGCCTTTGGGTGGGTTGTGTATTTCTTGTAGGAAGGTGATGTGTGGTTTCATGGTGTTTATGTATGAGGTGATGCGTTTTCTTTTGATGGGGTTTCCCAGCCCCCTCACGTTTAATGTAATTGCTTTTAGGTTAGCCATCTTGCTTATCTATTATGTGGGGCGATTCCCTGCCAACCCGTTTGGGTTGTCTTGTATCTCTCTCTTCGTGTTGTTTAAAGTACCAGTGGGGTTGCGCTGACCTAGGGTGTGGCGGGTGGGGAGCTAATGGGATTAGAGTAAGATTTGGGTTAAAGAGTAGGGGTAAGTTGTAGAGAGTTTGCTATATGTAGTCAGATAGTTGTTTGTTTTGGGTATTTTAGGCCATCTGGCATTTAGCCGGTTGGTCCTAGGTCTCAGCTGGTGTGGAAGGCCGTGTTCAAGGACAGGCCATCCCCCCTGTTGTTTGCGATAGGGGGTGATCAGTGAGACAGTGTGAAGTGACTTTGTAACGTCGCTGTCAGGTATAAGGTTCGTAAGCAATGTTGCCAATGTTATGAGCAACATTGTTGGTGTGTTGGGGTGGGGATGTGGGTGCTGGTACGCTCTGGTGCCACCATAGTGCTGGTTGGGTATCAGATTTTAGCCTGACTGTGGGTTGTGTTATTAAGGTTGGAGTTGTTTTTCTTAGTATGGGGTTTGGGGATGTTGAAGGTGTGGGTGATGTGGAATGTGGTTGCGGTCGTCTGGACTGGTGTTGGGGCGGGGATTTCTGTGGGGGTGCGGGGCTGGGGAAGGATGTTGATGGTGTTAACGAAATCTATGTTTTTGGGGGAGAGAGGGGAAAAGGGGGGAATCACCAGTCCTTCAGTTTGTGGTTTTTCCTGGTTGCTTCATTCAGCTGGGGTTGTTGTTGTTGTAGGGTTGTCCATCTGCGATGAGTTGGTTTGGTTAATCTTGGTCTGGTTTCTTGTGTCATATGGCCGGCGGGACGATTCTGAGCGTGATGCTTCTCTGTATTGGTTTGCACTGTTGTGCCGCTTCTGTTTCTTTTTCTTCTGTACCGTCGTCCAGTTGTTTGCTGTTGTTTCCTCATGGTTGGGGCTGTCACTTGGTGGGTTTGTCGGTTGCCATTCCGGTGGGAGGTCGAGTTCAAGGTTCTTTAGTAGTTGCAGGGCCTCAGGTATGTTGGTAGCCATGTGTTGTGTTGTATTGGTTGTTACAATGAGGCGGAGGGGAAGCCCCATCGGTATTTGATCCCTGCTTGTTGGAGACGCTGGGTGCATGGGCGCAAGCTTTTCCTTCGGTTTAGGGTATCCTGAGATAAGTCCTGTAAGGCCAGTATGGGGATTTCTCCATATCGAAGGTTGGTTGAGTTTCTGAGGTGGTACCATACCTCTTCCTTCTTTTTGTAGCGTGTGAAGCATACAATGATGTCTCTTGGGGGGGCGCTGGGTTTTGGCATAGGTTTTAGGGCTCTGTGAGCCCTCTCCAAGTCATCTGCCTCAAGTTTCAGGCTTGGGATTGTGTTTTTCAGCCAGCGTATAATTAGGTCTGCTGGGCTTTTCTCCTCTGTTTTTCAGGAAAGTTGCGGAAGCGGATGTTACAACGTCTATTGCGGTCTTCAAGGTCGGCTTGCTTAATTTTCATCTCTCTGTGTTCTGCTTCAATTTGGTTTACCAGTTCGTCCAGTTTCTTGTTCACACGTGCGTTCTCCTCCCGGTATTGCTCTATTATTCTTTCTTGCATTTGGTTCTTGTTCTCTAGAGCTTCCACTTTGGAGGTTAGGTTGTTGATTAGTACCTGCATGGGAGCCATTGTGGCCTTCAGTGTTTCTTCTAATCGTGCTTCTAATCTTGCTTCCATTTCCCTCAAATCTCGTTTCGTTATTGGGTGGTCATCATCTTGAAGGGAGTTACCGTCTTAGCATTGTTTGTCATCTCCCTGGTTGGTGTCATCTCAGTCTCCCTGATGGTTTTGGTTTGAGGTTGGCTTGGCGTCCTCTTGGAGTAGGGCGTGTGGTGGTTAGGAGTTGTGGCAGTGGTGATTCCTGGGTATTGTTGGGTTGCTGAGCTGATCAGGCGTTCTTTCTTGGTGGCTTAAACAGAGCGTTTGAATTAGGTGGTCATTTGTGTCACTTCTAGCCTGTGTTTTGAGAACTTCTCTAGGGTTTCTGTAGTTGCCTCAGCGGTGCCGCCAAAGCGGGGGGGGGCAGGTAAGCAGAGATGGGTAGACTAACGGGCAGACAGTTCATATAAAGGGGGGGTTAGCAGGTAGAGATGCAAAAGATTAGAGGGGTGGGGCCAGGGGAAATATGTGTTTAGGAGGGGGTTGTATATACCCAAAGGGGTACTGGGGTCCAGCTAAGGTGGGAGTTGGGGTTGGGAGTGCGCTCAGAAACAGAGACAGACAAATAGGCTCTATGTAAAGGGTGGAGGGAGAAAAAGGGAAGAAGAAGAAAGAAAGAAGAAGGGGGGGAGGTGGGGGGAGAGGGGAGATTGGAGTAAAAGAGAAGAGAGAGAGAGACAAAAAGAGAGTTGAAATAGAGAGGAGAGATAGTACAGTAATATCAGCGGTCTTAGATTGCAGCAGTAGTTTTAGCTATAGTATGAGGGGGCCCAAAGTATGATATGGTGATATGGATGTGTGTGTGTGTTTCCTTTAGGGGAAGGGGGGATGGAGAGAGGGAGGAGGGAGAGAAAAGGAGAGGAGGAGGGGGAAGGGTGGGGAAAGGAAGGAGAAGAAAAGAGGGGTGAGGGAGGGAGGGTGAGCTGTGGCAATGGTAAGGGGAGAAAGGGCTCCCCCCTCAGAAACAAACTGACAAACAGGCTAAAAGGGGGGGGTTGATTTTAAAAAATAAAGGGGATAGAAAACAATGTTGGGGATGGAAGGGTGGGATAATAGGAAAAAATAAGGAAGGGTGGAGAGAGAGGAGAGCAAAAAGGGGGGGAAGGGGTTAAAAAGAAAAGGATTAACAAAACAAACAAACAAAAAAACAAACAAAAAAAAAAAGAAGGAAAAAAGAAGGGGGTAGTTTCTTCCTTTCTGCGATCTCCTTTGTTATGCGGCTTTCCTGTTTTCCTTGCCGCTGGAGCTCCGGTCGGCTCAGCCACGTGTTTTTTCGGAGCCTCTTTTGCCTTCCCTACCTCTCCTCTTCTTTCCCGTCGGCAGAGATGGGGGCAGCAGCGGTAAAGTTGGGGCTCCTTTTGCTTTTTCTTCTTTTTCTTCCTCTCTCCCCCTTTCTTTCTCCCTCTTTGCGTTAGCTCCACTGTCCTCCTGGTTTTGGAGCTCCTCTCGGCTGTTGGGGGGGTGGTCGGGTGCCTTTCCGGCTCAATCAAGGTCGTGGGGGGGTGTTTTGGCTCCTTTGATAGAGGCCCCGGGCACCCCCCAATTCCTCTCCGCTGGCAGTGCTGGCGGCAGCAGTCCTGGGAGCCCGGGAGTCGGCCAGACAGAGCCTTTTACTCTGGCTGGCTTCAGGAGCTCTTTTCTGCTGTTGCAGCCGCCATGCTGCCTTGCCGGAACTCCCCCCCTGGATACAGAATTGACCTGTGCCTCCATGGACAGCTGTGAGTCCAAAATGACTCCCAGGCTGTGCACCTGGTCCTTCAGGGGCACAGTTACCCCATTCAAGACCGGGGAGTCCTCCACACCAGCCCGCCCCCTGTCCCCCTAAAAGAGTACTTCTGTCTTGTCAGGATTCAACCTGAATCTGTTAGCCACCATCCATCCTCCAACCACCTCCAGGCACTCACACAGGACCTTCACCGCCTTCACTGGTTCTGATTTGAAAGAAAGGTAGAGCTGGGTATCATCTGCATATTGATGAACACCCAGTCCAAACTCCCTGATGATCTCTCCCAGCGGCTGCATGTAGATGTTAAAAAGCATGGGGGAGAGGACAGAACCCTGAGGCACCCCACAAGTGAGAGCCCAGGAGTCTGAACACTCATTCCTTAAGACCACTTTCTGAACGCAGCCCAGGAGAAAGGAGCGGAACCACTGTATAACAGTGCCCCCAGCTCCCAGCCCCTCTAGACGGTCCAGAAGGATGTTATGGTCAATGGTATCAAACGCCGCTGAGAGATCCAGCAGAACTAGGAAACAGCTTTCACCTTTGTCCCTAGCCCGCCTCCGGAGATCATCGACCAGCGCGACCAAGGCAGTTTCAGTCCCGTGATGAGACCTGAATCCCGATTGGAAGGGATCCAAATGGTCCGCTTCTTCCAGGCGTGCCTGGAGTTGTTCAGCAACCACTTGCTCAATCACTTTGCCCAAGAATGGAAGATTTGAGAGTGGGTGATAGTTGGCCATATTGGCCGGGTCTAGAGTTGTTTTTTTAAGAAGCGGTTTAATGACCGCCTCTTTCAGCGGGTCTGGGAAGGCTCCCTCACAGAGGGAAGCATTCACCACCCCACAGAACCCATCGCCCAACCCTTCCCGGCTTGCTTTTATTAGCCAGGATGGGCAAGGATCAAGGAGACAGGTGGTTGGTTTCACTCCTCCAAGTAACCTGTCTACATCCTCGGGGGTAATGGATTGAAATTGATTCCATGCAACTCGACCAGACAGGACTCTAGCACTTTCCCACCCTGGCCCTGCTCCCACAGTGGAGTCTACCTCCTTCCGAATATGAGTGACTTTATCTGCAAACAACTTTGCAAAATCATTGCAGGAGATTAGGTGGCATTTCCTACTACTAATTGGGAAAGGTTATTTAAATTTAATCAGTTAATCATTTAACTTATGTAAGCAGTTAATAAAAAAAATCATTTGATCACCGTATTATTTTTTCCTCTTAACGCTGAAGGTTGGTGAAGAATGTATAGTTTGAGCCTAAGCTGCAATAAGATTTAACACACTTTCAAAATTGAACTGAATTTTTAATATATTAAGTGTCATTGTTGAGGGGCAACCTGCCCCGTCCCTAATTGAAGAATGTGTTTAAAAAATGTGGATCTAGAGATCTAATTATTTATTTATTAAATTTATATCCCACCTCCCCAAAGGAGCCCAGTAGGGAAAACCCACAATTTTTAGAAGAGTTCCCACACAAATGGATTTTAGCTGCAGTTCAGATGCTTTCTCCCCTTATTTTTGCAGACTAGCAGCTCCTGTAAAAGGCTCTCACGTGCTCTTGTGTTTCTTCCTTTCCATCTCCTCCTCTTGCAGCAACGTCAATATTTGCACTAAAGGAGATTCAGTTACAGAAAGAGACGGGCCTGAGATCGGCTTCCCTGCCTGAATCAGGTGAGAGGCTACGGCCTAAGCAATGAGAGCCCCGCCCACTGGGAATCAAGCCCCACCCACTTTTACTCCAGCACTTTCCCCAAACGTTCCTCCCCATCCTTTCCTACTCAGAAGTCACCCAAGCCAGAGTCAGTCCTTGGATGAGGCCAAGGCGAGGCAGCTGCAGTTGCCAGAGCAGGAAGCAGAGAGACCCCACCACAGACTTGTGCAGGAGAACTTCCCCGCAGATTATGCCCCTGGGTGTTAATGCATGAGAGGGGAATGGGTGCTGCTTAGATTCTCTGCCTTGGCTCCGGATGGAAGCTCTCTCCATCCTCCCTCTTGTGAACAGGTAGTCCTGCCACTCAGCATTGTAAGGGGCAAGCTGGTCCTTGACAGCCTCTTCCTTGCCTCTTGTCCCTCTCCTCCCCCCAAGGCCATCTCCTGGTGGGGGAGAGCTCTGGTCCCACCTTCCAGGTTAGAGATGCAGCTGTACAGTCCCTGTAGCAATTGTCTACAACTGTGCGGTGAACGGTCTCTCCTCTCCCACAGGCAGCGCCGCGTTCCGGGTAGTGGACACTGAATTTTAGCCACCAGGTCAGGTATATGTGCCGCCTCTCTTCCATCAGTACCCCCTCCTGTTCTCAGCATGACAAGGTGGCTCCCCCCTCTCTCATCAGCATATGGTTGTGGTCCTTTCTGCATCCCTGATCCCACCAACCCCGATACACACCAGCTCGTGGGCGCTGTATCACTTGGGATCAGAAGCAGGGAGAAGAGAGGTCAGGCGCTGGAGGTGCGGGGAGGGAGCCAGGGTGCAAAGAGCACACGGAGCAGAGCGCGGAGGCCTAGAGGCTGAGCTGTGAGCCAGGACGGCCCTCCACCACGAACTCAGTACCAAGAGGGCCTCAGGCATGCCGCCCTGAGTCTCAATCTCTCATCTGCATTGTGGGAATATGGTGCTCATCTACCTTGTAGAGTGATTGCAAGGATGACCGAGATAACCTATGGAAAACATGCATTTACAGAGAGCTGCTCCCTACGTAGTTGTAAGAATCACTGGGAAACACTTCAGGGAGGTCAAAGCCTTCTAGAAAGCTTGGAGCTGGAATAGATCCAGAAATATCATCTAGTCCAGCCCCCCTGCCAATGCAGGAAATCTGCCCAACCTTTTCTTAGATGCATAGATGCTTAGATTTCTTAGATGCCCATAACCCTTTGCTGTTTTCCTGCAGTGAATGGGCAGAACGGACGACCAAGCCTGCTGCTTTGAAACCTGTGGATTGGGGTTGGTGGGGGCAGGAGCTAAGACAGCTCCCCCACCCGCGGACACTCCCACTGCCGGCTTCTCCATATCAGACGGTGGAGCAAGGACTTGTGCTGGGATTTCGTAGGGGTGAGGGCTGGGGGCAACGATGCCAAGTAGAAGTGCAGCCTGCCCCAGCACCCGACAGCCAGGCACGGATGCCCTCTGCTGCTGTGGAATGGACTGCCCCCCCCCCACGTGGTGTTTCATTTTATTTTTTAAGTTTTATTTTTTCAATGCAATACTATAAATATTATATTTGCAAATATCTATAGAGAGACACCCCTGCCCTCGCTTCTCCATTTCTGGGGAGTGTACAGTATTAACTACAAGGGAGCCCACCCCCCTCCCCACTTGGTTGGACCAGGGGAGAGAAGCATGGAGGAGGAGGGAGGAGAAGCATGGGGCCCACTGTGTCTGGGTCCTAATCCGCTGCATATCTTGGAGCTGTGAACAACGTCTGTGATTTGGAAGAAGGGAAGCTCTTTTTTTCCATGTGAATTTTCTCTCCCCCCCACCCCCAAGTCTCAATCACCTTTCTGTGGACTTGGGGCAAGATCTTTTCCCGTTGCGGATACTTGTTTAGGAGTCCAAGTGTTGAACAGGCAAGCAGGTATCCTCAAGGAACAGAACACAATCCCATCTTTTCCTAGCCAACTCGATCCCTATCAAGATTATTCATCTGTCTGGCTTTTCTGCTACAGCAAGCCCCCCCCCCCCCCCGCTTCCAATTAGATCTGCCACTTACTTGCTCCTCCCGATTTTCTCCTCACACCAAAGCCAAGTCCCATGTTTTCTTCTCTTGCTTGTGTCTTCCTTTGGTCTTGATTTGTGCCTCACTCGGGCTCTCCCCACACCCTCAGCCAACGCTGTCGGTCTCGGCTGAGTTACTCCTGTCGACCGGTCACGCCTCTTGCATTACTTGCTTATACTCAGGGTTTGATCTTCTTCCTTTGCCTTTGCTGGCCCTGTCCACCAGGAACTGAAACACAGGTGCCATTTATTTCAACCAGGCATGTGTAGGAGAAGTCCCTGGTGGGTTGGGCCTCATCCATCCCCCACCCTCCGTTTCATACTTACTTGTCCTGCAGTGCATAGATGATCACTCTTCGTTGCTTGTTCCATGTTTCCTGAACCCAAACAGCTCTGTTTTTAATGGTACCACCCAAACTCTTTACTGATATAATGACACTGAGGTGCCCTCCAGATGTTACTGAACCCCAGCTCCCATCAGCCCTGGCTAGAATGGCCAGTGGTCAGGGACAATGGGAGTTGTAGTCCGGCAGCATCTGCAGATCACCATGTTGGACACTCCTTAGATGGTCTTCGTGAAGAGAACCCTTGTCTTGGCCCCTATTCCACTGTATTTTCTTTCACAGAAGTCTGTGTCAGTCTCTGCAAGCTTAACACCTTCCCCCTTCTGTGTCACCTTTACTTAGTTGCTTCTTAGACTGTAATCCAGTGACCAGGTCCTACTCTGTCCCACATGAAAAGTAAACCAGTAGCTCTTCTGAGGCTCACCAACTTCCACTCCTTCACTCACAGGCAAGCCACTCAAGGGTTAATGGGCCCTTGGCTCAGCTCTTTATGCAGTGATCTCAGAAGTCACTCAGTTCCTGCCCAAGGGCTAAGCCCAGCTTGTATCATCAGACACTGCTTGGCCTCATGCTAAGTCTTGACTCCAAAGACTTACTCATCTCAGCTTCTCCTCTTGTTTTTTGCAACACAGAAGCAAGTGGTGCAGAACTGGTGGCCCTCTGGAAGCTGCTGGACTCCAGCTCTCATCAGTCCCAGCCAGTGTGGCAAATGATGATGGATGATGGGAGTTGTAGTCCAGGAAGATCTAGAGGGCCACAGGTTCTCCATCCCTGAAGCAAGCTATCAGTTCCTGAAAGGCCAGTCAACCCCATATCTCTCCTTACACTAAATCTTCCTTTAAGCAAAGGAAACATTGGAGATTCCTGCCTGCCTGAGGGATCTCCAAAGATTTCGGCTCACTATGCTTCCTACTCTGCTGCCGAGAGGTGCCTCAAGGGAAGAGGGAAATGTCAACCACACTTGTCCCCAGCTTACAAACCCCAACTGTATTGCAGCTTCCCAGGTGGCTAGGACTGTTCTTTCCAGCTCAGGACAGAGGCCTGGGTGTGAAGAACTAAAGGGAGCAGATCCAAGGCTGCCCATTTGCTCTCTGCATGTTTCTGGACAAAGTGGCACCCGGCCTTCTCCCTTTGATCACAGCATAGAGAGAGTGAGTGAGTGTGTTTGTGTGTGTTTATATGTACATATGTAACCATTTTTATATACAGCATGAAGCACTTGTAAGTTTCACAAATCTCCACCCTCCCACAATGAGAGCCATAATATTATTATTATTATTCTGATGATGATGATTACAACTATTATAACCCTCAGGCAACATAAAAGATATTGGGAAGGAGTCTCTTCCATAGAGGATATGCCTTGGGCTGGAATTCAAGGACTCCACAGCACAGGGGAAATTCTGCTTGGCACCTGCCTGGGAGGGCAGACAGATCTGAGAGCCCCCAGCATGCAAGGCATGGTCACCTGATGCCAAAGGACAGCTGCTGTGAATAGGCCAAGGCCAAGGGTGTCTTTACAAAGGGGACCCAATAAGCAGGAAATGCCAGCCCTTCGGATCAGAGAACAGCAACGAAGGGTCTTTGTTTAGCCCAATAATCTGCCTGCATGACCCCCCCCCCCCCCGTTCCTTGCTTGTTCCAGTTTAGACTCCCATTTCCATTTAGTCTCTTCCATCGGGTGCACCATAATTGTGCTAGGTGGGCCTGTTTCTGAAGCCCGTCCAATCACAGTTGCCCTCTTCTTACCTGTTTCTTCCTTAAGAGCTGTGGTGATGCAAAAAGCTCTTTCGACCTCTGAATTCTCCATCCATCTCTGGGGTATCCATCCCATTTCCCATGGGAACTTCCATTCAAGGTGCATGTGTTCTGTTGCACCTTTACTATTACACAGTGAAGGCAGAATGCTTTCCTGTGGTTTAGCCCTGGCCGTGGTTTGCTGCCTTAATGCTGATTAAGGTTCCAGGTATCCAATGAAACCTCTGTTGAATTTGCCAAGCTAAATCCTTCTCCCACAGGGTGCATCTCAGTAATATGGAAAGAAAGGGGCAGGGAAACTGCCTTGAGTGTTCACTCAATTCAGATGTAATGGTTAGCTACTAATAGCATAAACTGTTTTATGAGCCCCACTACAAACCATGGTTTCAGATCTTGGTTTGCAGCCTATCCCTAGCCATGGTTTAGGTACTGAGACTTAAACACTTAATTGTGGTTGAGGACAATGGACCATGGTTAATTAAGTGTTGGGTCTGCATTGGGCCTGTGGGAGCTCCTTTTTCAGTGCAGCCTGGGTAGAATAGTGGGGAGACGCTGGCCAAAATACATGGTGCCACTTTTTTGAGGGGGGTCCAAAATCCAATCTGATTTGGTTCATGGAACTGCTTTCCGTTTTGTCTGCTGTTGGCAGATAAGGAGTGGGATTCTAGAGTTCAGGGAACTGTAGCAAAAGGGGGACATAGCTGTGGTGCACCCATCCACTGGTCCCCCCCCCCAAATAAGTGCCAGGGTTCTGATTGGGCTAAAATGCAAAGCCCCTCCCCCACCCCTGATTGAGAATTCTCAGAGGTGAACAGGGGGGACAAATGCCACAAGAATTCAACCAGCATGGATTTCCTCTTGGGGCACATCTGGGTAAGAACATCTGGATTGGATCTCTGCGTGTGAGAGGGAAACCCAAAACGATGTATTGGACAATGAATGTACAGAGGATCTGGACTTTGCTTTTTTGTGTGTAGCGGGGGTAGGGGAGTTCCCCAGAATTTGTTTCTGGGCTGGAGGTGATAAACCAACCCTTCCTTGGAGCAAACTGAAACCCTGGAGCAGATAATCATTCACATTTGGAGCGGACTTATCTTCATGTGCTTCCCTGCCCCCTTTGACAGAGTAGATACGGAGATCAGTTGTCCTGGTACGGAAAAGGGAATTCTTGTTCTTGTACATAACTTGAATTGAGGGAGCAGCCTTCTATTTATCAAATAAGAAATTTATCATTGCAGAAGAAAACTCCCTGCGGAAGGACATGGGCAGACTTCTCTTTCCCAGGTGCTCCCTCTGCCCCTGTTCAGGGTGAACAAATGCGCCATATTCAAATGTACGGAACTGAATAAAAAGTCTCCAACAATTCTGGGTGTTTGATGCTTCTCACTGGGACCCACGTGGCAGGAGCACTCTCTGGCTTGGTTGGGTTATGGAGTGGGTCTTGGGGAAAAGGAAAGAGTTCACCTTCAGCCTTGGGGGTACACTTGGACCAGGCTGGCCTTTACAAGGAGCAAGAGGGGGGAAATCCCCCTCCCTAGCCTTCTGCTGGCAGTGCTGTTTCTTCCAGGTGTTTTGCCCCTGTTGCAAAAGTTACAAAAGCTTCACAGCTGGGCTTTTACTGAAATCAGATGTAACATTTAGCCTTCAGAAGTATAACCTGTGGTTTATGAGCACCAATTCAAACAGTGGTTTCAGATCTTGGGTTCTGGCCAATCCTTCAGGGCTGCACTTTCTGCATTCAAACTTCACACTCGCCATTGCCTGAAGAGCTCATTGACATCTCTTTCTTAGTATTACACAACTTCTCAGAGGCAGTTTGTGTTCTTGGTAGAGTTCTTGCTTGGCATGCAAAAGATCTCAAGCTCAATATCCCTGCATCGCCTGGCTGCTCATTTGGTGAGAGCATGGTGCTGATAATACTGTTTTGCTGTGCTCTGCTGTCTAATGGTTAGAGCAAGCAGGGATTTCTTTTGGATCCCAGCAGATGGAAGACTGGTGGACTGATAGATAAAGGAGGAAGTGGTTTATTGATTGGCAAATACTAACAATATTAATAGGCATGAGCTCAACTGCACATCCTGCCCACCACTAAGAGACTGCTCCGACACTTCAGGCTGGTGGGCAGGTCACACACCTGGGTGGTAAAAGAGGTCGGTCCCTGCACTGCTGATTCTTCTGTTCCTTCTAGTTTCTCAGCTCTTCGGTGCTTCTTCAGAGACTAAACTCATCTCCTCAGGTCGGTGCTTTTATAGGCAAAGAAAGGACTACATGCCAGGTTGTACAGGTGCTCGCATGATATCATCTTTCCTCCCCTCTGTTTTCAGCAGCAAGCCGAAGTTCATGTCTAAGTGCCAGTTCAGTGGCTGGGTCAAGGTAGCCCTGTCCGCTAGTTGACTCCTCTGCTTATCAGGCCAGCTGGCTAGACCTGCGCTTGACGCCAACTAACTCATTGTACAGGTAGATTTATAGCAAAGCTGCATTGGAAGCAGATGCACCATCTAACGACAGATTTCTGCCACAGCCACTACATTAGAGAGATAGATAAAGATTTACTGCTGCAATTACCTTGAGATCAAGAAACGCCACTTTCGGGCATTTTTTGAGCAATACAAATGCCAAGGTTGCAGGTTTGATCCCCATATTCAGGGGTGAGGAAACTTGTTTTAGGAGGGGGCTTGTTCACTGCCCCTCAGACGTTGTGGTGGGCTGGACTGCGCGCGCGCACACACACACACACGCACGTGGTGGAGGGGGCTTCTTTCTCTCCCCCAGCCCCTCCCCCCCGCTTTCCTACCTCCTCTGCCACTCTGCCTGTGGTTGGGAGCCAGTGGTGGTGGTGGCACCTCTCCTTTCTAGGCCAGCTTTCCCTGGCGCCAGGCATGGGGCCAACAGGCGTGCCAAGCTCCAGCCGAAGCCCCGCAACGTGCCCATCATGATGCCCACAGCATGGCCATGGACGGAGAGGCCGGTGGGCGGGTGGCGAGTCTGGGCCGCACCTCAGCACACGGGTGGCGAGGCTTCGGATTGGCTGGCACCAATCAAAGCCCAGCTCCCTTCCTCTGCAGGGTGGGGAGAAGCCAGGAGGGAGGAGGCACCGCAATGGTGTGTGGGGGTAGATGGCGCCTAAAAAAAATTGCAAAAATAAAATAAAATGGTGCCGCCCAAATGATCACGTCGATCCAAGCAGCAATTCCAGGACAGTCTGCGGGCCAGATCCAGAGGGCAATTGGCCCTGATCCGGCCTGCAGGCCTTAGTTTGCCGACCCAAGCCCATATGGGACTGCTGCATATCCCTGCATTGCAGGGGGTTGGACTATATGATCCTCAGGATCCCTTCCAACTCTATGATTCTATGATCTCCAGGTGGAGCTAATGGAGACTCCTTCCCAAATACCATTTCAACACAACATCTTATGCAGAATATGGTGGTTTATGTGTACAGATGCAGATGCATAACATTAAGATTTCAGACAAACCAGATTTGCAAAATGCAAGCATTTGTGGGGTTGTGAGGCTTGTAATTCAATCCAGCTTCCCCTGTGTCACAAAGTCACACAAACAAAACCTGAAAAGGGCTCTGCTAGTGAAAGAAAATAGGCAGGAAAATTGCCCAGAAGAGGTACATTGTGAGATTAAACCAATTATACAAAATGTTTCCCCTTTTAAAATGGTGACGATGATGATGATGATAATAATTTATTATTTATACCCCGCCCATCTGGCTGGGTTTCCCCAGCCACTCTGGGCGGCTTCCAACAATGATTAAAAATACATGAGGCTGTGTTTTTGCACAAGGAAGTCAGGAAGCGCAGCACCAAAGAATTTGCCAGGTGTGTCCTGGACTTTGGGCATTTTACAGCAACTTGTGTAAAAACTGCTGATCTAGGCACAGTCTTGATGACGGAGGGACATCTGGTATGCTAAAGAAACTTGCAGGTAAAAACCCCCCAAATCCTATAATTAAGCACCACAGTATGTCTTTAAAAGGGGCCTAGTCCAGCATAAAGTTCTCCCTCTGCCGTTCGCAGGGGGATTTGCTTGAAATTATAATGGTGTATTCATGGGGGGGGGGGGCTCAGTCCCACGGCTCAATATAGCCCCCCAGGCCTCTGTCTCTCTGGCCCTCATAACTCTCCAAGGGCCACACCCTTCCCTGACATTGGTTCCCACCCCAAGAGTTTTTGCCTGCCTGGGATGTGCCCTTCAGCACGGATGCGGCTTTCTTCTTATCTGGATGGATGGAAAGGGGCGAGTGTGGGGCACAAATCAGCCTCCTGTACAAAGGTAAAATACATTTGTTGCTCCACCCACATTCCCCTCTGGCTCTGCCCACCAAAGGCGCCTGGCCCACAGAGGGCTCCACACTAGTGGGGGGCTCAGATTTGGGCCAGTCCTACTCCTGGAGAGATTATTATTATTAATACCAGCCTTCATCAGAAGACACTGAACACACTTCTCTCTCTCTCTCAACTTATCCTGCGCACTCCAGTTCTCCGATTGCCACAGAAATAGAAAGCAGGAAATCTGCATTTCATGCAGGGTTTTCTTTGATATCTCCATACTTACCCAAAAGTACTTGCTCCGCAATCCTTTTCAAAAGAGCAAGAAATTGGTGAGGGTCCCCCCCGCTTAAAAATGGTTTTATTTGCATAGCAAATGCAAAGAGCCAGCCTCCTCCATCTCTGTCTAAGCTCCGCCTTTCTCCGCCCAGGGTCGCCATTTGCCGTTGGACTGCAACGTCCGTCATCCTTAGATAGCAGGACCAGTGGTCAGGGATGATGGGAGTTGTAGTCCAGCTTGGAGTTCAAAATGAAGCAGGGCAAAGGCTAATAGAGTTCTGTCAAGAGAACAAGCTGGTCATCACAGACACTCTTTTCCAACAATACAACACATGGACATCACCAGATGGGCAGCATCAAAATCAGATTGATTATATTCTCTGCAGCTAAAGATGGAGAAGCTCTATACAGTCAGCAAAAACAAGACCTGGAGCTCAGATCATCAGCTTCTTATAGCAAAATTCAAGCTTAAACTGAAGAAAGTAGGGCAAACCACTGGGCCAGTAAGATACAATCTAAATCAAATCCCTTATGAATACACGGTGGAAGTGAGGAGCAGTTTTAAGGATTTAGATTTGGACAGAGTACCTGAAGAACTATAGATGGAGGCTTGTAACATTATACAGGAGGCAGCAACGAAAACCATCCCAATGAAAAGGAAATGCAAGAAAGCAAAGTGGCTGTCCAACGAGGCCTTACAAATAGCGGGGGAGAGAAGGCAAGCAAAATGCGAGGGAGATAGCGAAAGATACAGGAAATTGAATGCAGATTTCAAAAAAATAGCAAGGAGAGACAAGAAGGCCTTCTTAAACGAGCAGTGCAAAGAAATACAGGGAAACAATAGAATGGGAAGAACCAGAGATCTGTTCAAGAAAATTGGAGATATGAAAGGCACATTTCGTACAAAGATTACCATAATAAAGGACAAAAGTGGTAAGGACCTAACAGAAGCAGAAGACATCAAGAAGAGGTGGCAAGAATACACAGAGGAATTATACCAGAAAGATATGGATGACTCGTACACCCCAGGTAGTGTGGTTGCTGACCTTGAGCCAGACATCCTGGAGAGTGAAGTCAAATGGGCCTTAGAAAGCACTGCAAATAACAGTGGAAGTGATGGTATTCCAGCTGAACTATTTAAAATTTTAAACGATGATGCTGTTAAGGTGCTATACTCAATATGCCGGCAAGTTTGGAAAACTCAGCAGTGGCCAGAGGATTGGAGAAGATCAGTCTACATCCCAATCCCAAAGAAGGGTAGTGCCAAAGTATGCTCCAACTACCGCACAATTGCACTCATTTCACACGCTAGCAAGGTTATGCTTAAAATTCTACAAGGCAGGCTTAAGCAGTATGTGGACCGAGAACTCCCAGAAGTGCAAGCTGGATTTAGAAGAGGCAGAGGAACCAGAGACCAAATTGCAAACATGTGCTGGATTATGGAGAAAGCTAGAGAGTTCCAGAAAGACATCTGCTTCATTGACTATGCAAAAGCCTTTGACTGTGTCGACCGCAGCAAACTATGGCAAGTTCTTAAAGAAATGGAAGTGCCTGATCACCTCATCTGTCTCCTGAGAAATCTCTATGAGGGACAAGAAGCTACAGTTAGAACTGGATATGGAACAACTGATTGGTTCAAAATTGGGAAAGGAGTACGACAAGGCTGTATATTGTCTCCCTGCTTATTTAACTTTTCATCATGCGAAAGACTGGGCTGGATGAATCCCAAGCCGGAATTAAGATTGCCAGAAGAAATATCAACAACCTCAGATATGCAGATGACACAACCTTGATGGCAGAAAGTGAGGAGGAATTAAAGAATCTTTTAATGAGGGTGAAAGAGGAGAGCGCAAAATATGGTTTGAAGCTCAACATCAAAAAAACGAAGATCATGGCCACTGGGCCCATCACCTCCTGGCAAATAGAAGGGGAAGAAATGGAGGCAGTGAGAGATTTTACTTTCTTGGGTTCCATGATCACTGCAGAGGGTGACAGCAGTCACAAAATTAAAAGACGCCTGCTTCTTGGGAGAAAAGCAATGATAAACCTAGACAACATCTTAAAAAGCAGAGACATCACCTTGCCAACAAAGGTCCGTATAGTTAAAAGCCATGGTTTCCCAGTAGTGATGCATGGAAGTGAGAGCTGGACCATTAAGAAGGCTGATCGCCAAAGAATGGATGCTTTTGAATTCTGGTGCTGGAGGAGACTCTTGAGAGTCCCATGGACTTCAAGAAGATCAAACCTCTCCATTCTGAAGGAAATCAGCCCTGAGTGCTCACTGGAAGGACAGATCCTAAAGCTGAGGCTCCAATACTTTGGCCACCTCATGAGAATAGAAGACTCCCTGGAAAAGACCCTGATGCTGGGAAAGATGGAGGGCACAAGGAGAAGGGGACGACAGAGGATGAGATGGTGGGACAGTGTTCTCGAAGCTGCAAACATGAGTTTGACCAAACTGCGGGAGGCAGTGGAAGACAGGAGGGCCTGGCGTGCTCTGGTCCAGGGGGTCACGAAGAGTCGGACAAGATTAAACGACTAAACAGATGAGGACCTAAGGTTTGGAAAGGGGGGGGGGGGAATCACACATGCCACTCTCAAGATGGCGTCTCTGTCCGCCCCGCACATTGACCAGCACCAAAGATGGTTGACTTCAGACGGGCTAGCGCAGGGAACATGCCCTCAACAAACATGGCAGCAAAAGCTTCCGCCCTGAGACACGGGCCTGGTTTTGCGGAAGAGAATGCATCGCGTCCCCTTTACTTTCTCTCTGACGGCACCCGGCACCCGGAGAAAAAGAGGCCGCGTCCATTTTCGGCTAGAGACGGGGCAGCCAAGAGGCCGGGCCCGAGTCCCCGCCCCGCTCGTCACGGAGGCCGCCCTCAAGATGGCGCCGGCCAGCTCCCCTTCCCCGCCACACCTCTCGGGGCCGGCGGAAGCGGGGGGCGGGGCGGCGGGAGCCGGGCGCCTCCTCGACGGGCTTCCGGGCGGCAGGCGGCGATGGCTGCGGAGCGGGGGCTGCCGGCGGCGGCGCTGCCGGGGCTGGAGGCCCAGAGGCGGCAGGTGGAGGGCGAGGGGCCCGAGCAGCCCGGGAGGGAGCGCCCGCTGCGCGCCGGAGAGAAGTGGTGAGCGGGGCGGGCGGGCGGAGGCTCCTCGCGAGGAGACCCCTCCGGGAAGCGGCGCTGAGTCCCCTCCCTCGGACGGGGGTCGCGAGCTCCTTCCTCGGAGGCCTCCCTCCTCGGGGCGGGACGGGGCTGCGCGGCCGGCGGGCTCGGCGGAGCATTTCCTCTCCCTGGAAGCTGGCGGGATTTACTCCCTTCAGAGGCGCTGCTTCGGCTCCCTTAGTCTCCGGTGGAAGCAAAAGCCTCAAGTTCTTCTGGAGCACATTTCTCATACTGCTGACATGTTCACTTCCGGAATGAAAATGCTATTCCCCTTTTCCTTTTGGGAGGCAATAGCTGCTCTGAATCAGCTTGGCATCTTCTTGCCTTTGGTTGTTTAATTCACTTTCTTCTGTTCCTTCCTGTGTCTTGGGTAGACACTCCAACTACATCAGTGGATTTCGTGAATGCGACCCACTCTTCCTACATGGTTTTTTTTCCCTTTAAAAAAAAAGAATTCGTGGTTCTAAACTCTTTGCCAAAATATGTGTGCTTTGCTGTAGCATTCAAATATTTCTAAACAACTATGTGATTGAAAACCAGTCACCTCCCTCCCCCCCTTTGTTTTTTCTTGCGTAGCAGGATTATTGAGGTGACCTTGGTGATCCCCACCCCAAGAAAAGACTTCTGTGTCTGTATCAGAAAGAATTTCAATAAGTACTTAGAATGGAGTTACTGTTGGAGAGAGCTGCTCCTGCCCCCCCCCCCCGGAGCAAAACTAAGGGCTGCCTTAGTTTTGGAGGTGGGTGATCCCCCATAGACATGCTGTGGGCTTGGTTCTAAAGCTTTCTTACCCCCCCTCTGCCCTCTTAGTGGCTTCATCCAAGTGCAGTGAAGTTTCGGTTTCTCAGCTGCCCCACCTACAAGGCCAGCCTCATTTGGTAGCAGCCCCTGTCTCTCTTGCATGAGCGCTTGGCGGTCTTCTGTATCCTTGTGTGGCTTTACTTTCTGTGGAATGAGTTTTAGTTTCACTCTCGATAAACTGGCAAACTTCCTGTTTTTGTCACTGAACCTAGACTCCCTGTGTCAGCTACATCTACTTTTCTCCTAGATAGGGTTTAGAGAAATCTTACCTCTCCAACCTGTTTTGTGCCAACTAACATGCAGTTGTGTCTTGGGGAAGACAGTTGGGGAACCACAGCCCCAGTAGTGAAACAAACCACCTCCGTTGTCACAGAGCAGAAAGGCAGAGCTTCCTCATTTCATTGCAGGGGGTTGTAGAGGATCTTCGGGTCCCTTCAAACTCTACAGTTCCATGAGGTGCGTAGTCCAATCTCACACTCCTTTATTTGGAAGCCAGTCATCCCACTGAGTTCAAAAGAGCTTGTTTCCTAGTAAATGTGTGTATAGGATTGCAGCGTAAATGAGATAAGTTTGGTAATAAGTGTGGGACAAGTAAGTCGGTTCACATTGCATACCAGCTTCAAGCTTCTGGTCCATTGGTTTTTGACCAGTGTGCTGTGGCACCCTGGGGTGACATGAGGAACATTCAGGGGAGCCCGGGGGGGCATTCTTTCATTAACTTGCAGCCCATATCTTCCTGCATTATTTTTCTCTCTGAGGAACATTCGGGGGAGTCGACACCTTTAACTTGCAGCCCATTATCTTCCTGAAATAAAACAATGGCAAAAAAAGTGGGGAAACATTTTTGCCTGACTGTTGATCTTCTTAAAATCTCCCCCTCCCTACACACAAACAAGAATCCTCCTCAGCTTCAGTAACGATAACAGTTCCTTAGTTTTACACGTTTGCTTGGGTTCTCATTGACACTTGTATTCCCCCTTGCACATGTCCAAAAGTGGCTCCAAAAAGGGGCAGGGCAGAACGGGGAAGTCCCCACTTAATACACGTTCTGTAATGGAACCCCAGGTAAGTGGCTTCCACAGGGGAGCTGCAGAAAGAATGTGGTTGGTCGAGGGAGCTGTGGACCCCACAAGGTTGAAAACCACTGTTCTAGTCCTTGTTTTTTAAAGCTCTCTACGCCTCTCCTGTGCCCTTCATTCTGCACAGGCTCCCCTGCTGTTTCTCCCCTCTGCTCCTGCTCACACAATGGGCTGAGACAAGAAAGCTGCTGCAGTTACTGCTTGCACAGATCCAGTTTGGCCCCCCATTTAATTTCCTCCCCATGACTCACTAGTGGGAGGAGCCAGCCTTGCATGGCAGTGAATGAGTGTCATGATCAATATGTAGCTCCCTGGAAAGCTGGTGCAGACTCTCACCCGGGGGGGGGGGTTTGAAATGCTTTCAACAAGCTGTTCTGCCCTTTCCTTCCTAAGATTTGTCCCACTGTGGTAGCCCTGAGGGATTCCCCAGCCACTGGTTTCCCCAGCCTGAGAAGAACTTAGAACTTTTTCCTAGCATTAAAAATGTTTCCCAGCCAATTAATGGTCTTCATTGATCCTGAGTTAGAACTAGTCTGGGCCTGAAATCGTGAGCAAAGGAAAGAGAGACCATATATTAGACTTGGCAGGCTTTTTAGCTACATAGAACTCTTTGCTGGGCTGATGTCTGTCTAACTAAAAGGCATGCTTTCATTTCATGTGTTGCTTCTCCTTGCGGGTCAAAGCCTTGAGGAATTTCAAGGATGCTGGCTTTATCAGATGGTGTCGCTCCCAGGTTCTCAGTGGGACTGTGCCATTGGATGCTGAGCCAGCGTAACACCTGCAAGCTGTGATCTTGCCTTTGGGTTCCCCCTCCTCAGCCCTTCCCATTCCTCCTGGCCCCATAGAGCTTGCCTGGATGGAGGAACCACCCAGGGCTGAGCTCAGTCGGTGAGAGTGTGCCATTGGATGTAGGGAAGAGGAGAGGGGGGTCTTCCCCTTACCCCACCTGCTTTCCTTAATGTCCAGAGACCCCTGCACAGTCACAAAAGGACGGAAGCTGAGCATTCTGTACTTGAACTTACATTAATGTCCAAGGCAGTATTACGAGGAAGGGATCCAAACCTTGATGCTGCTGCTAGAACAAAGTTTCCTCCGTGAAAAGGGTGGAAACTTCGAGGTGGTCTGCTTACAACGCACCAAATATGTATTTAAGATTGTGCCGACCCCTTTTACGGCCCTGTGGTTTGTGTCAAGCCGCCAGAGATGTGACTGGAAGATCAGGCGGAGGCTCTGCTGCCGTCAGGTTGCTCCTTGCCATTGTGCGGCTGGTGTTAAGGTGACAGCCTGTTCCCTTCTGAGGACTTCTTAATATAGTGCCCCAGGGCAATAGGAGAGGGAACTGTTTTTCAGGATGGGACACATATTTCATGGTTTGAGCTGACCCTATGGTGGTATAAAGGGGTAATATAAAATCAACCACCTTGGGGGTGGAATGCAGGTTTTTCTGCCCATGGAAATCCAGGCTGTTGACTAAGAAGGAAGGAGATTATGGGCAGGGATCTTGGTTCACTGCCAAGCAGAAAATTAAAACTGACTTTTGTAGACAATCCACATCTGCAAGTTGAATGCAATAATAAATTATGCAAATAATTGAGGCTACGTGATTTAATCCATTTAATAGAAAGACTCTTACTTCGAACGTCCCAAGTATTTCTTATACATTGCACAATACTCTGCGTGTCTAAGGAGGAAGTCCTGCTGAGTTCAGTGGGGCTTATTCCCAGGTAGGTGAGTGTTGGATTGCAGTCTAATTCTTACACAGTGACCCTGCAAAATGGGATGAGGAAATGTGTGCCCTCCGGGTCTTGCCTGGGCTAAAATTCCAGTTTTTGCAGGGCATTGGCCATGCTGGTCAGGGTGATGGCAGCTGATGTCTGGAGGGACCGACGTTGCCCTGCCCCTGGTGTGAGGAATGGTCATTTCTATCCAGTAGTTGCAAATTGTAGGATTGGGGTTGAGACTGAATGGCAGGGGCTTGCCTGGTAAATTCTTGGCTAACTTGATATTTGAACCAGGAGCAACTGGAAAGGGTTCTTTTATTCTGTGGGGCTGCAAGTGAGGGCCTTTCCTTCTAATGATGTGGCAATTCACAATTTAATAAGCAAAAGTTACCTTGTGTATTCTTTCACATTGCAACAAAACACATAGATTGAAGTGTGGGTAATATGTATATATATATATATATATATATATATATATTTAAGTTAAGCCATAGTTTGGTTCAAGGTGTTTACTTAACTAAATATTTTTAGATGATGGGCCTAGAAATAACTTACAGTTTCTTAGGCACACCTGTTTGCTTTCAGTCGAAGCTGTGACTGTGTTGCCCATCTTTACTGCCATAGTCTAGGGAGAGGAGGACTTTGGATATTAGCAGACCTGGGCGAGCTGGTACTGGGTCTGTGACAGGAAGCTGCAAAGAGCGGTTGCAGCTGAAGGGAGCCATGACCTGCCTCCTCCTTATCTGAGCCTTTGGATGGTGTGATCGTTACCTTTTTAAAGCTTATCTCTGTGGTCAAGAGGACTAGAAATTTGCTATTTCAGTCAAAATAGTGGGAATTCTCAGTTGTCTGGACTGATAAGCTGCAAGCAGATGTATGCAGTATTTGGCACAGTTGCAAGGCCTTGGATTGAGACCTTAGCTTTCCTTGTGGAGGAGGCATCCTTCCTGACCCTGTTTGGGCTGGAGGATGGAGGGAGACTTGCCTGCTTATGTTTATGCACACTGGTGTGGTTCTGGATTTGAACTTGCTGTTTCTTTGCCCACAGGTATTTGCTGGAGAATCATTGGTACAAACAGTGGAGAGCATACGTGGAATCTGGAGATCAAAACTCCATCTCTTTCCCTGGACGGATCAACAATGCTGAGCTCTTTGAAGGTACAGCTTCCTCTGTCCTATTATTTTATTTTGAGATTCTTTCCTTCTTCCCTTGACATACATTCCCAGGGCAGCACAGCTAGATGAAAACCAGCACTATGTCATTTTTACCCCCATCCTCCAAGGAGCCCAGAATGTCATTCATTTTATCCAGACAACAACCCTGTGAGGTAGAGTGGGCTAAGATGTAGCAACAGATCCAAAGATGCCCAGTCAGCTGTTCATCTGGTTTTCCATCCCAGAGCTGGCTCCTTGATGCAGTTGCTGTATCATGGAAGGGGAAATGTGTTGGAAGTTGAGAAATAGCTTTCCCGTCTTACAGCAGGGAGTTCTGCTGATGAAGGTCCTGTGCCAGCCTTTCTCCTTCTCCACAGACAGATGGCCCTGTTGGATTTCAAGCCCTTTTCCTTCCTTCCATCCTCCCAGATACAGAGTCGTACCGGTTGAAGGATAGACTGGTGGAGCATGAGGAATACGTTCTGGTGCCAGAGGAGGTCTGGAACAAGCTGGTGACCTGGTATGGCCTTGAGCATGACCAGCCAGCCATTGAACGCAAGGTGAGAAATTTGTAGCTTAGAGAGCATGGACTGTTGAGGAATCTGTGCTCCTGATATTGGGATTCCCAGCTGCCATCACATCCCTGAGCAATTGGTTGTGTGTTGGGATTCCTACAATGTCTGGGTGGCCACAGGTTGTTCTGCCCCCCCCCCCCCCGCCCAGAGCTTCAGCACTGGCATATTCTGCTGTGACAAATGGAGAGGAGGAGAGATGGAGCTTTTGAGAATGAGGTAGAGAATTGGGAGGAGGAGAGGCTCCCCCCCCCCGCCCCGTTCAAACCTGATGTGCATATTGTGTGTGAGAGAGGTTATCTATCTAGAAGCCAGTTTCCTCCATACTGGCTGGGACTTCCCTTGGTTCTCAGTGGAGAGAGGGCTGCCCAAGAGTGTTGGTGGTTCAGCAACTGGCAGAGTCCCCACGCCAAAGGTATCCCTGAGGTCAGCCTTTATTTTCACCTGTGCAGCCAAGTGCTTTCCATTCACTCTTATGCAGAAAAGTCCCTGGAGACCCTCTTTGAGGTTAATGGACCCTCAGCCCTGGCCCCCCCTGTCTGGCATCTCCACCCTTAGCTCAGGTTGCTCCCAACGCAGAAGCTCTCATTCTTTGCCCGCTTTCCAGCCATTGTAATGGCCAGCACTTGCCAGGATGTAAGAACAGGCCATTTAGCTTAGGTTATAGACAGTGCTCTTTTTCTGGGGGAACGCAGGAGTATGCATACCCTTAAACATTTTGTGAATCCAAGTTTGGCCTCATTGAGGGGCAGTATGTCAATATGAGTAGGAAAATGAGAAAACCCCTAAACATTTATTTAGAGGGGGGGAGCACTGGTTATAGAATACAGTGGTACCTCGGGTTAAGAACTGAATTCGTTCTGGAGGTCCGTTCTTAACCTGAGGTTCCACTTTAGCTAATGGGGTCTCCCGCTGCCGCTGCACGATTTCTGTTCTCATCCTGAAGCAAAGTTCTTAACCCGAGATAATATTTCTGGATTAGCGGAGTCTGTAACCTGAAGCGTCTGTAACCTGAGGCGTCTGTAACCCGAGGTACCAAGAGTGTGACAGGAATGTGAGGAGAGGCTGCAGGACTTTCAGTGTGAAACTCCTCGTGTCAGTGACAGCAGCTGTCTTGTGTGGAATAAGAAGAATTTTAACTGGAAGTGTGCTTTATCATTGATCCCCAGTACAGTGCCTGCAGGTGCACATGGGCCGCAGAGGCTTGCCCCGGCACCCGGAAGGTCCCATGCCCTCCCCTTGCTGGAACTAGACCCAGAGGGAGCCTTTGGCCAGCTGGTGGCTTTTTGCAAACCTAACTCTGGCCCAGGGGCAAGGGCGTTTCCCGCACGCGGAACTCATGTCACTTCTGGTGCTTTGCAGGTGCCCCAATGGGAGCCAAAAGGTTGGCAACCCCTGGGCAGCATAGGTTCCTGCGGCATCCTTCATAAACGTTCTCTCAGAAATTTTTACCACGTCCCTGCAATCTAGGCCAGCGGCCCTGTTTTGCAGGGGGCGCTGAAAAGATTGGTGGGCCTGTTGAGGTCATGGCTGGAGAGAGACTAACTGGACACATCCCCCTCTGGAGCCATTCCTGCTCTCTGGTGGAGCCCAGTATCCTAGCAAGTGCTCTGCTTGTTCCCTTTTGGTGCACATTGGGCTCTCTCTCTCTCTCTCTCTCTCTCTCTCCCTCCCTCCCTCTCCCTCTCCGGACCTTAGCTCCCCTTGCTTTAAAGGCTGCAGTCCTGTGCTTACCTCAGCTCAGATTGCGGGGCAGTATCACCTCTGAGCAAAAAGGCACATGGAGTTGGGCTGTGAAGTTTTATTGAGCTTTTAGCAGAAACTCCCTGCACAGTTTCAGTCTTTTGCCCCACAGCCATGAGAACTAGAAACTCACTGTGGAGACACGTGCTTTTCCTGTCGTAGAGTCCAACAGAACAACGTATTCCACATTGCTCAGAAATACTGATGAAATGCATTGCTTCAGGTTCCCCCCACCCCCTTTAATGGTACACGGTCTCTTACTGACGGATGCAGTTCTGATTCTTCCTTCTCAGGTGGTGGATCTTTCCAGCATGCAGAAAGTGGAGGTTTACCTGGTGGAACTTTACCTTTGCCAGCACAGTGACATGGACAACCCTGTCACTGCCCAGTTTAGCCGAATGGACGTTATCGGTAAGGACCCAGATGGTGGAGACAAGTTGAAGACGGACTGTGAGGAGAAGGAATAAGGCCCAGGATTCTCACAGAGGGACCATTTCTCCTTTGGTCACGTACAGTGCTTTTCCCCCTAAAAAAAATGTTTAGGGGTACACTCATTTTCACTCAAGAAAATCCATTTTGTGGTTCAAATTGGGAAAAATTAATACATTAAATTGGACAAAAGTACAAAGAACATGCATTACCTCATATTACACAGCTGACAGCTCACAGTAACTTCCACATTGCCATGAGGTGCTAGATTCCAACTCCTGCTTCACACATTAAACGCTCGCTTCCCTCTGAGACTCAGGAAACACCATGACAGGAAATGAGGCTGCCATCGGGGTGGCAACAGAACTGATGATTCACTGTGCTAGAGAAGAAACTAGAAAATTTAATTTTTAGTTTCTTCTCCTGTTAGATTCACAAAATGTTTAGGGGTATGTACCTCCAGAAAAAAGCACTGGTCACATATCTATTTTAAACATAAATAAATAAAACAACCTCTTTCCCTCCCCTAGAAACGGTGCTGAAGGAAGCACGACGCCAGTTTTCCGTTCCAGCAGAGGCTGAGACAAGGTTGTGGGTGAAAAACTCAGACGGCTCATGTGAGCGGCTACGGAACTTGCAGATGACGGTGTTGGATGCCTGCCTCAGTTCAGGGCAGGTAACGCTCCTATCGCCAGGGTCTGGGGCTACTTTGTGGGCAGAAGATGTCAGGATCCATCCCTGGCGTGTCCATTCAAAGCAGGTGTGAGGAACCTCTGCCCAGATGTTGCTGAACCAGAACTGCCACCAGCCACTGCCAGGAGGGCCAAGAGGGATGGGCATTGCAGTTCAGCAAGATCTGGAGGGCCAACGGTTTTCCACACCTGAGTCCAAGGGTTTGAGTTGGCCTTGGAGAGCTACGGCCAGTTGGCCTAGTCTGCTCTGAGCTCATTGGTCAGCTTGGGCTAGAGGGAAAAATAGCCTGGTGGGATAGGCAGGATGGGTTCATATCCTCTTGGGGTCCCCAGCGTGGAGCCTCTGTGTGAGGCTTTGACACCATAATGAGGAGCATTTGTGTTTAAGCTCACCCTTCCAGAATCTCTAGCCAGTTCCCCTCCTGCACAAGCCACAGGCTAGCCTGACCTGGACTTGGATCCTGGGTTGTCTTCCCCTTTACTACACTGAATGCTAATAAAGAACTGAGAAGAGTCTATCGCATAAGCTTGATTTAAAACCAGCCCATACCTCTTGCTGTTCCTGCCATTACAAACCAACAACACAAAACTGGGAGGAGTGATGGAGGGAGGTGAGGCTGAGGGGGCAAAAAAAGAAGAATCAGTTGCCTTCAGACAGACACCTGCGCTAGCACCTCTCCCTCACTGCCCCATTTTCCTTTTTTAAAAACAAAGTGTGCTGGAGTTAGTTAAACAGTTTTAAAGTGTATACGAGTGCGTTGAGATGCTTTGCCACCAGTTGGCTTTTTCTGGGCCCGTCTGTTTTGGACTGAAGGAATGGCAGCTTCTATTATGAGCCCCTCGGAGACGCTTGTCCAGATACATGGCAGTTAATCCAGCCCTTCTTTCCTTCCTTCCTTCCTTCCTTCCTTCCTTCCTTCCTTCCTTTGTCCCTTCTCCCCTCCCCCTGCTGGCACCTGCACTCTGCCAGGTGGTGGTAATGGAGACCAGGAGTAAGGACGGCACTTGGCCCAGCTCTAGACCACATATCATGTGAGTACCTGCATGTGGTGTTTGCACAGCTCCAAAGTGGGGCACCTGGCTTTCCTCAATGCTTTCAGAGTCTGCCTCCCTGCCTGAGAGGCTGCTGTGTCTCAGGAGCAGATTGAGCCTGAACTGTGGGAGGCTGCAGGTGCTGCTGTTCTCTGGCTGTTGTTTGTTCCAGCAGATAGTCGGGTGTCATGGATGTCGAGGAATGGTGGGAGGAACCAGCTGGAGAGCCCCCAAGGGAAGAAGGCTCATAGCCCAGAGATTTGTGGTGGGACGACAATGCGTGGTCAGAGGAAGGAGACTGGGAAGAGGAGGTGGTGGAAGCTGAAGGGGTAACAGGTCTTAGTGAACAGGGAGAGTCTGTGGCAGAGAGCAGTCCAGACTCGGAGGCAGAGCAGAGTCCAGCTGGTGAAGAATCCAGGGGGTCTCAAAATTTCTTTGTGTACACAACTACAGCAGCGCCCTTGGTGTCTGCACAGAAATTGAAAGAGGGCACGACACCAACAAAGGAAGAATGGCAGATGAAATTGGCAGAATATATAGAAATAAGAGATCAGGATGAAAGAATTTTTAAGGAAGATTGGAAAAGATATTTGAAAAAATATATAAACATATTAAAATGTTAACAGCATTAGAATAAATTCAGCAGTAAGAAATATATTGATACAAAATTGGAAAAATGAGAATGAGGGGGAGGTGGTGGAATAGAATATGTAGTAGAAAAGAAAATGAACCACGGATGGGGGTGGGAGGGAAATCAGCGATAAATGTATGTTTTGTATTTGGACTTAAAGTTATCTGTTTAAAGTTGTAAAAAAATGAAAATGATAAAAAAAGTAATAAAAAGGAACCTGGGGGGGTCTCCTCCTCCTGGTGCAGCCCCTCCCCCTGGTGTTCCAGAACCAGAAGAGGCATGAAGAGGGTGGAGGAGAGGTTGGCTTCACGCCGGCACAGTTTCCAATTGCTTGGGGGAAACCCTGGAGAGGAGGGGGCTTAGGCAGCTGAGGTGGGGACCTTCCGTCTCAGTATTGGCTTCATGCAGGCAAAACCTACTGGAGATGCGCTGCTGTGCTCCTTAGGCCTGACACTCCTGTGCCAAATGTGTTTTTGCAATTAAAGAGTTAACTGCAACTTGTGCTGTGGGATTCACTGTGGTCTGGCTCCTGACCCTGGGCCTCATCCTCCCGCTGCCCTTCTTCACAGTCTCCCTCTCCCCCCCCCCCCCAGGAAGAACTCCCTCGAGGACGAGGAACTCTATCAGGGCCAGCCTGGCGTCTGCGGTCTCACCAACTTAGGCAACACCTGCTTCATGAACTCTGCTTTGCAGGTATGAGGTGCAGGCTGTGGCAGGTGCAGAGCTGAGAGCCAGGACAGCGTAGCTGGTTAAGTGGGTGGACTATGGCCAGGGAGACCCGGGTTCAAATTCCCCACTCGACCGTGGCGCTCGCCAGGTGGTCTTGGACCAGTCATTGTCTCTTTAACGCCTAACCCACCTCACTCCGGTTGCTGTGGGAATAAAAATGGAGGCTGGTGGGGAGAAGAGCAGCAGACTCTGCCTTGAGCTCCTTGTAGGACATGAGCGCAGTAAATAAAAATGGAAGCTGGGGGGGGGGCTGTTGCTTGGAGGCTGAGCCCCTCTGCCAAAAGGAGGGTTTTGCTTGAGCTCTCTAGCAGGGTGCACTGTTGCAGTTCTCTGCCCACTAGTGGGGAGTAAAATAGCAAAACTTGCTGTCTGCTGGAAAGACTTGAAGCAGTTCTCCAGTTATTATTGCTATTACCATTTATTAAATTTGTCTCCTGCCCTACACCGGGAGATCTCGGCTTAGGTGTTGGTGGGTTAATGGGTGGGAACTAGATCCTCCTAAGGCAGAGAAGCCAAGTGGTCATCTTCTTTCTGCAGGTCCCCCCCCCCCCCCGACTGGTGAGCCGCTTAATATTGTGCCCTTACCACGTGCTCTCTGAGCTGCTTGAGGAGCCGCCAGGAAGCAAAGGGGCAAAGAACTGCCAGGATAAATATCCTGGCTTGGGGGAATGAGTCTTCTGTGCAGGTCTCAGTGCATACTTGGAAGTTTATTTTCACTCTCTTGTATCTAAAGACTTTCTTGGAATACACAAGCAGCTGAGGTTCTTGGGATATGCAAGACCTGTTCCATTCTGGAATTGCTGAGCTCCTCCTTCTATGGACTATGGTCCTCTTTCTCTCTCTCAGTGTCTCAGCAATGTGCCCCCTCTTACTGAGTATTTCCTCAACAACCGCTACCTGGACGAGCTGAACTTCAACAACCCCCTGGGCATGAAGGGTGAGATTGCAGAGGCCTACGCTGACCTCATCAAGCAGCAGTGGTCCGGCCACCACCGCTCCATCGTGCCTCGCATGTTCAAGGTGGGCTTCCTTTTCCTCGCCATTGCGCTTTCTCTTGCCATCTTCCTTGGTGCTCAAGGCCACCCTCTTGGTGTTCCTCTTCCCTGCAGACCAAAGTGGGCCATTTTGCCTCCCAGTTCCTTGGCTACCAGCAGCACGACTCCCAGGAGCTGCTCTCCTTTCTGCTTGACGGGCTGCATGAGGACCTCAACCGGGTCAAGAAGAAAGAGTACATCGAGCTGAAGGATGCAGCAGGGAGGCCAGACGAGGTGAGCAGGGTGTACAGGGCCTGGCAGCGTTGGGGATTTCAACTCTGGGGCCCAGCCACTTTTGCGTTGTTTTTTTAAATGAATGTGGCACATTGGGAGTAAACCCGGGCAAACTCGCAACCTTCTCAGTTGTGATTTCCATGCTCTTTGTGTGTTGCTTCCATAGGAAGTTCAGTGATGTGCTGAGTCTTTGGTAGTCTTGATCCTCAGTGTAGCCTCACGGAGCAGGTCACTAGCTCCCTGTAACATGCGGTGGAAAACAGAGGTGCTGACTCGGCCAAAGCTTTTTCACTGGCAAATGATGGAATTTGGAGGCTGTTTGAGGCAGTGCCCTGAGCAGGGATGGGGAGCCTGTGGTCCTTGAGATTTCTGGTGGACAGCAATTCCTGAGCCATTGACCACATGGACAGTGGCTGATGGGACTTGGGGGTCTGACAGTAACTGGGAGGCCGCAGGTCCCCTACTGCTGCCGTAGAAGGTGGGATGCAGGAAATACTCTGTCATTGTATGTTCAATTCAGTTCATAATCTTAATGAATTTCTGGAGCCTTCTACCACTGTACAATATCTCAGGTGACAGCACATCCCACCTTCGCCTCCACAGCCGGCAAAGAGGATCTTAGCTTTGCTCTTGGGCTTCCAAGCCTACCGAGAGGAGTGAGGCAAGAGGGAAGCTGGAGGAGAGCTCTGTCCTTGAGGGGGTTTGCAGGAGGTTTCTGTGCTTTGCAGGCAGCTCAGTGCAGTTTCTAAGGCAGCCTTCCTCCCTCTGGAAGCTTGGCCTGCAATCCCATCCGCCCTGACCAGCACAGAGCTGTAGCCCCAAACCCCTGGAGGGCAGCAGTAGGACAAAGGTCTCGACTGCCAGCCTTGCGTCCTAGAAACTGATTTATCAGCTAGGCATGTGCCTGGGTTTTGGGTGTATGTATTTTGGAACCCCTTGGCAGTGATGTGCCCCTTGCTAGAGGGAAGCCCTGTCCTTCTTTCAGCTCTTCCGTCTCCCTCCCAGGAAGTAGCGGAGGAAGCGTGGCGGAACCACAAGCGCCGCAACCACTCCATCATTGTCGACATCTTCCACGGGCTCTTCAAGTCGACGCTGGTGTGCCCCGAATGTGGCAAGGTTTCGGTGACCTTTGATCCCTTCTGCTACCTCAGTGCTCCCCTGCCCATCAGCAAGGACCGGGTGATGGAGGTTTTCTTTGTGTCCATGGACCCCAGCAAGAAACCCGAACAGGTAAGGAACTAGTCAGGGAAGGTGCCTGGCAAGAGGAGCAGGGCTTCTGCATGAACCAGGATTGAGTCGCTGGGATTTGCAGCAAGGACCAGAAAGCCAATGCCTTGCTCGCCTGCCTGGAGTCTGGTTCAATCCCCAGCACCTTCAGGTGGGGCTTCAAATGTCTCCTGTTTGCAACCCTGGAGAGCTGCTGGCAGTGCTGAGCTAGAGGGAACCAATGGTGTGGTTTGGTACCCAGCAGTTTCCTGTATATACTCTTCCTGCCTGGGGACAATGAACAGAGGCGGGGGCAGGACTTGCCCATACCTGGCAGGGAGCTGAAGGGAGCCTGGGGAGAGCCATGGGAGGCGGTCCCCAAGGAGACAGCGTGGGCTGGAGACAGGTCACCTCACGGCAACTTGTCTTGGGTTTGGGCTTCTGGCTTTGTTCCAGGTGAACTTCCTCTTTTCCTTTCTTTTCCTTACAGCACAGACTGATTGTCCCAAAGGCCGGGAAAGTGCTAGATCTCTGCCACAGCCTCTCCAGGCATACAGAGGTGCCTGCTGAGCGGGTGAGTTTGGGGGCAGAGAAAAACATCTGATTTTTTTAATCAGTAAGTTTAGTGCATATGTTAAGTAAACTGCTTAGAGATTTTGATTGAATCTGGTTAAATAAATAATCAGTAAAAGAGTTCCCTTAGTTCCTTCTTCCCTCTGTGGTGACTCGGGGTGTCTCTCTTTCTCAGATGATGGTGGCTGACGTGTTCAGTCACCGCTTCTACAAGATCTACCAGATGGAAGAATCCCTCAGCTGCATCCTGGACCGGGACGACATCTTCATGTGAGTGCGTGAGCTGCAGGGGGGGCAGCGGAGGAGGGTTGGAGTAGATCCATTGGAGAAGGAAGATGGCTAGGTCTGCAAGAAGGTGTATCTGAAGAAGTGTGCATGCACACAAAAGCTTATACCCAGAACAAACTTAGTTGGTCTCTGAGGTGCTACTGGACAATTTTTTATATTTTTTTATTTATTTTGACTGTGTCAGACCAACACGGCTACCTACCTGAATTTGCAAGAATGGGTTTGTCTGCACCTGAAGACCAGCAGGGAGGAGCTCTCTTTGAGGAGGGGGGCATCTTTGCAGTCCCTCTGTGGAACCTGATGTTGGCCAGAGTTGGAGAAATGGGCTCGTGTACAAAGAGCGCCTTATGGAAGGCATCTAGGAGTTAGTGACATAATTGAAACTGGCCCTAGAAATAGCACATCTGGGCAGGGACAGAAGTGGCTCTTTGTAGCATACAGCCAGCTGCAGAACGCTGCATTGCCCTTGGGGTCCTTTCCAACGCTGCAATTCTGTTATTCTTTCTGCCTGCTGCTGAAATGTATCTGGAGGCCTGGTGGGGCCTGCCCTCTGGATATTTATTAGATTTCTTACCCATCCTTTACTGTAATGCCCCAAGGTGTGTTAGAACAATGAAATATACCACTGTAAAATGAAACAAAGAACAGTTATGAACATAAAACAAGAAAAGTGTAGAAGGAAAAATGGTTCCATATATATAAAGGTAAAGGTACCCCTGCCCGTACGGGCCAGTCTTGACAGACTCTAGGGTTGTGCGCCCATCTCACTCTATAGGCCGGGAGCCAGCGCTGTCCGCAGACACTTCCGGGTCACGTGGCCAGCGTGACAAGCTGCATCTGGCGAGCCAGCGCAGCACACGGAACGCCGTTTACCTTCCCGCTGGAGCGGTACCTATTTATCTACTTGCACTTTGACGTGCTTTCGAACTGCTAGGTTGGCAGGCGCTGGGACCGAACGACGGGAGCGTACCCCGCCGCGGGGATTCGAACCGCCGACCATGCGATCGGCAAGTCCTAAGTGCTGAGGTTTTACCCACAGTGCCACCCGCATCCCTGCCATATATATATATATATATACAATGCCAAAACAATTCTGTTTATAAAACTGGTTAAAAATAGCTCCAATGCAGACTCAGCCTGAGAGAAAGATCTCCACTTCAATAACAATAACACCACACCCATTTACACCACACTCATCTGGCTGGGTCTCCCCAGTCACTTTGGGCAGCTTACAGCATATCTAATACACTTGTTGAAAGAGGGAGGTCTTGTGGGTGCCAAAAAGACAATGGAGGCGGCACCTGTCTAATATGTCAAGGGAGGGGGCAGGCGCCACCACACTCAAAGCCTTACTCCAACTTCCTGGTAATATGCATGTCTCATCTTTTGGGGGAGGGCAAGGGGGGCATTGCTTGTTTCCCGCCCCCTCTGGATCTTTGTCTCCTTCTCTCTCCAGATACGAGGTGTCTGTGTCCACACTGGAGGATCCGGCCACGGCAGATGCAGTGGTGCTCCCCGTGTACCTCCGCGAGCGCACCCAGGGCCGGGACTACAGCAACACCTACTATGGGGTGGTTCTCTTTGGTCACCCACTCCTGGTGTCTGTGCCCCGGGACCAGCTCTCCTGGGACTCGCTCTATCAGCTCTTGCTGCACCGGCTCTCGTGAGTTCCTGGCAGCAGCCTTGGCCCTCCAGTTCCTCCCGGACCGAGTGCCCTTCCTGCTTTTGCCTGCCTTGCTTTGAAGAGGGTGGGAGCGGAGGGGACAGAAGTGCCTTGCCTAGGGCCTGCCTTGTAGGATGTGCCTGCAGCCCAAAGGCAGTGGGGAGACTTAGAGTTTTGCCCTAGGTTATTTTCCCTTTGTTTTCCTTTTTGCATCAGGTAGGCCAGTAGTCTTCAACTTTTGTCTAGACCTGAGACCCACCCTTAGCCCAAACATATGTATTTGGGGACCTTGGGAATGTTTGTGTTGCGTTTTGTATGGTGCTGGTGCTATTGCGGCTCACCTGTGGTCAGGCTGCTGTCCACTCCTGGATCCCAACTTTCAAGTTGAAGGCCAGAAGGTGAGATCCAGGTGGTTCAGTGTCCATCTCTTGATTTTACTCCATATTGGAGGGCCAGCAGCTTGTGTGTCTGAACAGTCTCTTGTTTTATAAACCTTGGAGGGGACATGGAAGCCTTGGTTCTGGGGGCCTCATTCATGCTTGATGGTAGGCCTCAAAGATGTTTCTGCGCATGGGTCAACCAGCCCTGGGTGACTTTCACAGACAAGATCACACAGTGAGCATTCAAAGCTGAGGATGCATTTGAACCTCAATCCCCCATTGTCCCCTGCAAGTAAATGGCTCCTTCTATCCCACAGGTTTGTGGGATGGGAATCTCCTTTCCTTACTCTAAGGTGCTTTCCCCTTGGGGCTGTACTGTTTCCTAGGAATTCCTTGCTGGGGTCTGCTCCCTTTCTGGTACTTTTCCATATCTGTAGCATATCTGCCTTCCCCTATGCTGTGCTTCCTCCTACCCCACCCCTTTTTTTCCTTACGTCCCTCAAGATCGACATCTTTGGCAGGGCACTTCCTGAACGGCTTCAGCCGCACTTTGTGGTTTGCAGCACAGAATTCAGTAGAAACAAAGGAACATGGGGAACGGCCTTACCCTCAGCTGGACCACTGGACTGTCTTGCTTGGTATTGTCAGCACTGGCTGGCAGCAGCTCTCCAGGGGTTCAGGCAGGGCTCTTTTCCCAGCCCTCCCTGGAGATGCCAGGGGTTGGATCTGGGGACACTCCTGCATGCCCCTAAAAACTGGTTTGGGTTCAGCAATCCAGGTTCTCTTCTTGTGTGCGAGAAGATATAAAAGTCTAGCTGGGTTGTTGGTTCCAGTTTGAGTTTGAACTCCCCATTCAGGCCCTTCCAAAGCAGGGAGGCCACTCCCTCTAGGTCTGCTGCTTGCAGGGGAGAGAAATCTTCACAGGGAGCTGCGTTTGCAGTTATGGCAGATGGAAGAACTGCCCTGGGGCCGGCAGGTGTGTTGTATTGGACTTGCCTGCCATCTCCCTGCAGCAGCCTTGGGCTTGCTGCTGCACTTGGCAGTGCAGGGCACCATAGTTGCACCCTGTTGGTCTCCAGATGCTCAGAGGGATATTCCTATTACCAAAAAGCGAGAAGCGTTCAGTGCATGATCTGGGGCACTTTGCTCCCGAGGGGGAGGGGGGAGATGTGGCCCATTCATGCTCAAACGCTCTGCTCTCTATTAAACCTGGTAAACCTTGGTTCATGCCTGAAGCAAAAACTTTACGGAATCTTTTAACATTGTTTTTCTGCAAAGTAGCTTTGCCCCTGCTCTCCCTCCAGCCCTGTGCCTCTCCTAGTTGACAAGCATGTCTCCTGCTTTCTTCACTCGAATCTTCATCCAGCAGCGCCCTTCATTGCACAGTGCTGCCACGGGGGGAGCTGTGGAGCTTGCCCATGACAGTGGTTCCCCCTAGTGGCTAAGGGTGTGACTTGCTTCCTCCCCCCCCCCCCATTTTGGCAGCCGCTACGTGACACAACCAGACTCTGAGGAAGAGGAGGATCCGAGTGAGGAGGATGAGGAGGACCTCTACAACAAGAGGCCCAATGGGCTGAGCGAAGGTGAGGGGTTGGTGCGAGGGCAGAGTGTTGATGGGGTGGGGCAGGCCAGGTTTTTAATTTGGCCGCTGCCTGTCCTTTCCTCTCCAAATGCACAACAGGGGAGGACGAGGAGGAGGAAGAGACGACGGCAGAAGGCTCCACGAGCCAGGAGCCCAGCTCGGAGGCGGAGGAAAACCCCTCGGACGCCTCTGTGGGGGAGGAAGGGGCTGGCGTGGAGGGGAGGCCCAGCCCCAGCCCCAGCCCAGCTCCTCAGCAGCCCCCTCAGTCCCCCCAGACACCCTCTTCCAGCCCCAGCCCCCCGACGGCCAACCAGGCCAAACGCAAATGCTGCCAGAAGCGCCGCAAGCTACTCTTCACCCTCCAGGCCGTCAATTCCAACGGGACCAGTGACCGGACGGCTGCCCAGGATGAGGGCAGCACCGTCTCCTTCAACTGTGAGTCTTCCCTCTGGCTCCTGGTCCATGCAAGCTCCCAATATTGGGGGGGCGGGAGAGTCTCTGGGATTCCCTTGCGGTTGTTGCAGCGACAGGTGGGGGTGGGGAGGCCCTCTTCGGAGCCTTTCTCCCAGCCTGGCTGCACACGTGTCCGTGGGCTATTCCAGCCCCCTTCTCTGAAATTCTCAGGTTCACCTTTTTTGTTTAACGGCCTCCAGCTCAGATATGCAAACACTCATCTACTAGAATGTTGATTAAGGCTTGTGTCCCGGGTCAGTCCTAACCAGAGTGGACCCGTTGACACGAATGAACACGACTCGCTTAGGTCCACTAATTTTGGTGGTCCTGTCAGTTGCTGAAATTTGCAGGAGGGGAGAGTGCTGCTGCCCTCAGGTCCTGCCTGGGGTCTCCCCCTGTGAGAACAGGATGCCAGACCAGGTGGGGCCTTGGCCTGATCTCTCAGGGCTCTTGTGCTCTTAAGGATACAGCCCTAAGAAGTGAGCGTGTTCTCACCTTTTCATCTTCTGGTCAGTGAGTGTCAAGGCTCCGTGTAGAGTCTTAATGGCTGCATTGCTGGAGTAATTGCAGCCACCAGTGACATGTGCCCTACAAAAGATTACCAGGAAGGGAAGATGGCCCTTTGGCTAGAAACCCTTTTCTGCTCCAGTGGCAAAATTCCTCATTGTTTGGCCCCTTTCCTTCTGACGCACTGCCCTCTGGATACTTCTGTAGGGGGTGGGACTAGTGGGTGTGGCAGTGGTGACTGGAGAGCAGCAGGATTAGTCCTGTTCAGGGTCCTTCTAGCCTGGCGTTTCATGAATGACTTCCCCCTGCACTGCCTTGAGAGATGCTCGGGGTTCCTGCCACTTTAACCACAGTTTCTCCCCTTGGCACAGCCCAACCGTACATTGCCATGGACTGGGACTCCAACATGAGGAAACGCTACTACAATGAGGCGGAGGCGGAGGTGAGGGCGAGGCATTTTGCTGCCCCCAGTCGTCCTCCTTTCTCTTTCCCTTGCCCTCCTCCAGCTCAGCCACAGGGACCTGGCAGACCTCCTGAGGGTTCTGGACTCCCAGTTCCTGCCAGCCTGGCTCTCATGGTCAGGGACAACAGGCAAAAAACTGGAGGGTGATGGGCGCCCCCTCCCCACTTCCGCTCACCTCTCCCCCCCCCCCACTGTGTGTGCACTGCCAGGGCTACATCAAGCACGACTGCATGGACTTCACGCCAAGGAAGAATCCAGTGAGGCTGCAGGAGTGCCTCGAACTCTTCACCACTGTGGAGACCCTGGAGGAGGAGAATCCCTGGTGAGAGCCCTGGTGGGTCTCTTGCTTCCAGAGGTAGAAAGGAAGGGAAGGAGCTACCGGTGGAGCAGAGTCGAATCCTGGAGGCAGTTGGCTCTGACCTTCCAGTCGTGGGTTGGCAAAGCTGCAGCGCCTCAGATTCTCTTATGGCTCAAACTGTTCAGGCCTGGTATTGCTTGCTGTGCAGATGGCCCTATTCGACTCTGGCCTGGTAGTGGCAGCCAAGGGGCCTTACAGCTGGAACTCTCTTGCCTAGCCTGACTGGAGAGCCTTCGGGGGATCTTGAGAAGGAGGGAGTCCCCCCCCCCATGCAATGTGACCCCGTGCACTTTTGTTATGTAAGAGGGGAAGACAACCCCCACCCCTCCGCACACACAAGATGTGCATAGGTTTCATCATGGACAACATGCCTTCATGTGCAGCGGGCATCAATGGCAGAGTCTTCTGGTCCATCACAGCTGATGACACCAGACTTCCAGACTTCTCACTTCAAAGAGATGATGAACCATGGGGCTGGTGGTAAATATGCCAGTCTCTTTGAAGATCCTCCTGATGACCCTCTTTTTCACCTAGTGTTTGGCTAGGCATTTTTCAGTTTTCAGAATTGGTGTGTGTTGCAGGATTTTGGGTGCCCTGACCAAATCATTTTCACGTTTGTTCTCCTACCCCCAACCCAGATACCCGTCTCAGGATTCCTCCTTTGTGTCTTAAGATGGGTTGCCTGCTAGTCCTCATGCAAACACCTGTGGCTTTTCTGCTGTTCTGAGTGCTGTGCTCACCCCCAGCTCCTCTCGTGCAGGTACTGCCCCACCTGCAAGAAGCACCAGTTGGCCACCAAGAAGCTGGACTTGTGGTCGCTGCCAGAGATCCTGATCATCCACCTCAAGCGCTTTTCCTACACCAAGTTCTCCAGGGAGAAGCTCGACACCCTGGTGGAGTTCCCTGTCCAGTAAGCCACTTGGTCCAAATCATTAGACAACTTGTAGGGGTGAGAAGAGACATGGGGGCAGCTTATTTGGGGTGGCTCATGCCTCTGAAATCATTCCACTGGGGAGAAATCTTTCAGAGGAAACAGGCATGCTTGTTAAATTTTCAGGATTCCACGGGCCAAAGAGTTACCTCCTCCTTTCAAACCCAGTATCAATAAAGGTTTTTCAGAAGGCATGTTGACTTCCCACTGGAGCTGGCTTATGCAGCTTGCAGAGAGCACTTCCCCAGTTCTGAAGATACCTGATAAAATGGAGCACATTTGCTTTTTTAAAAAATGACTTTAATGCAGGACTGGGGAACTTGTGGCCCTCCGGGCACTGTGGGCTCTCAACACCCATCAGCCCAAGTCAGGGTGGCCCAAAGGTGGAGATGATGAGAGTCAAGAGTCCAGCATGGGTTCCCCCCATGTCTGACTTCACGGCACCCAGAGGGCACTCTAGAAATGTGTGGTGCTTGGGAGCCCGAGCCAGCCTGGCATTTGTTTGTTCGTGGCATTTATAGATCACCTGATCACTAGCATGTCTAAGCATTCCTCCTACACCAACCCAACTGGTAGAAGACATTTGTTTTTACTAGCGTGCTCGGAGGTTAGTTGTCTGCATTTTCCTGCTTTACGAAAAGCAAAGGGTTTCTCTCCCACCACAACCTGCTGGGAAACAGAGGTTAGAAGTCACTTGTTGGCATCCGTCTGTCTCAAGAGACAGTGGAGTGGGCAGTCAAACCACTGTGTTAGCAACACCAAAGTGACCTCTCCGGGGCGCAAGCCTGGGCAGCCAGTGTGGAAGTTCTGGGCTGCCCAGAGACAAGACCTGCCCCCTTTTGGCCTCCAAAGGAAGCAGAACAATACATTTGTCCCTAGCTTGCCTGCAGGAGTTGCCGGAAGAAGGCGTTCAAGGTGCCATTTGGCCATCTGCAGGACTCCACTCAAAAATTTTGTGGGGTTTACTCCTTAGCCTTTTCTTCTCCCTCTTAGCAGTCTAGTAAAAACAACTGAAAGCTAGCAACTTTCTATGGGCTGATTCACAAGACTGTCCTCAGCTGTCAGCAGGAAGTAACGGGCCTTACGGGGGGTGGGGAGAATTTCTGAGCGGGTGTTTGTGTTTCAAGGTGTTCTTGAAAACACTTCAGGAAAGTGCAGCCTTAAACCCCAGAAGTTAGCATGATGCTTAGGAATATGCTTAGGAATAGGGTGGCTGTGACTTTTGATGCCAGTGCTGGTTCTGCCCCAAAACTATGTGGAGGGTGTTGCTGAGGGGATCCCTCTCTGGCCCTAGGAAACAGCAGATTATCATCTCTGTCCTGTAGGGATCTCGATTTCTCAGAGTTCGTCATCAAGCCACAGAAAGACACTGACCCCACACTGTACAAATATGACCTCATCGCCGTGTCGAACCACTACGGGGGTCTCCGAGATGGGCACTGTATGTATTATTTTGGGGCTGTATGTATTCCTTTTGTGTTGAAGGGAATGAATGCAAGGTGGGGAAGAGACACTTGGAGTTGAAATGAAATGGTTAACAGCAAAATTAGAGCCAGCTCTTTGTTGGGCAGCCAAAGACTTAGGACTTTGGTTCATTTATCCTTCCTACAAAGTGAAAATGCACAACAGGTAAATCTGAGATCTAATGGGTGGCTTTCCAGTAATTCTGTCTGCGCAAGCATTTCAGCTTGCCAGATGGAACGATCCCTCCCCTCCTCCCCGTGTGCTGTTCTGGCGAGTTCTCTCAATTTCCACATACCCCCAGAGCCAATTTCAGGGGAGCTCAGAGAGGGGAGAGGGAAGGAAAGCCCCATTGTGGAAGTCCCTGGGCAGGGCTTCTGCTGACCGGGGCTTATTAGGTGAATCCCACCCCATGTAGTACCATATTTTTGCATGTATAAGACGACCCTTATTTTTTTTGAACCTCAAACTAAGAAATTAAGAAGTTGCTCAGCTTTTGGGGGGCAATTGCCCTCAAAGCTGTTGAGATAATTTTGACCGCAACCCCCGTTCTCCTGGCGGTGGCACTGAAGGGACATTGTGCTTTACTGCTGGAGAGCCTGAAGTCTCCATAGGCAGCCGCTGGCACTCGGTTTCTTTCTCCAGGGCACACACGCCAAGCAAAGGAGAGGAGCGGGCACTTGCCTTTCAGTGCTCCAGTTGCTGCCCGTAATTTTGCCTGGTTTGCAGCGCAGCCCATGACCCGGCACATATGTGTGTGCATGTGAGAAAGAGCGGCATGTGTGGAAGCATTCTCTGGCGGCTGCGGGAAGATCAAGGAAATGCCACATTTTTCCATGTATAAGATGACCCCCAATTTTTCACTAACAAAATTTAGCAAAAAAATCATCTTAAACACAGAAAAATACGGTAAACTGAATTTAAATCTGTATTGTTATTATCACCATCTTGTAATACTTATATGATACCCTCTAGTTACAAAGAACCCCTCCCGGGGGTGGGGGGTTCACATCAAACAGTAGAATAATAAAACTCAGCATTAAAAACTGTACAAACCAACGGAGCAGAGAACATTTGCGGAGTCAGTAGAAGCAACTAAATGAAACTAGCATTGGTGACATGCTGTACAGATACAACAGAGCAGATGCTTTAATTAAATGAGACATGGGGTAAAACTCCATGAGGAAGGGGGTAACCTCAGCTTGTTGTGACATCCACAGTTTGTGTCAGTTCAATTAGTCTTAGCCATAGTTAGTGAAAACCAGCCAACTTCAAACCATGGTTTATGAAGCCAGTTTGTTTTCTGTAACCATAGTTATGATTAAGTTCAGTTTAGGACATCACACTGAACTCTGGCTAATTAGGACAGAAACTGAAGTGTCTTGCAGCTCCCCTGCCAAAAACACAAGCTCACGGCCTGCTGTGGCCTATCCGGATGCTAAACCATTCTTTAGCACTGCAGGTGAATGTGGCCTGTGTGTCTGTGCGAGAGCTATTTCTTTTTGGGGGAACAAAACAGTAAGGAACAGAAATGACCATGAGAACAGTCTAGAAATGAACAATTCATTGTTGCAGAATTTCACATGGGGAGTAAACTGCTGCTATTAGAAAAGGCTAAGTGCAAACAAATGTTGGCTATTGGTAGATGAAAGAGGGGCGAGTAGGAAGTGGTGTCCCTGAGGGGAGGGGAAAAGCTCAGTGCGGAATGAAAATCCCTTCTCCAACTGTTAAGACCTCACCAGCCCTTTTGTAGTTTCAGAGATCTTAGTGGACACTAGTTCAGCTTAGAACTTGCTGGGTTCCGCTTTAAATGTAAACTGAGGCCCTGCTGATGGATGCCTCAGCTAGCGGCAGGATTCATGCAGCAGAGGAGCAGTGCAGGTAGCCCACCCCGCAGATTCCCTCCCCAGAGGACTGGGTGCGCGACGCAAAAGGCTGTTTGTGCAGAAGCTCCAGCTGGCCCGATTCTTCTCTCTTCAAATGGGAGGAAGGTTCCACAAGTGGAGGACCAAAGTGCTGACTAGGTAGTGGCTGACAGGTGATGTGATTGTGAAGCACCTGAAGGGGCACAATGGGTGTCAGAAGGCAAAGCAGCACTTTGGTGAGTCTGACTGGTCTTTGTGCCCTCTAGACACGACTTTTGCCCGGAACAAAGACAGCGGAACGTGGTTCTACTTTGATGACAGCAGTGTCTCTGCAGTTTCCAAAGTCCAGATTGAGGTGAGTCAGGCAGGGCAGCCCTGGATGGGCTCAGCTTCTTGGCACTTGCTGGCAGGTGTCTTGGATGGCAATGCCATCCCACCCTCTTGGCTGGCAGGCTGGCAAAATCTCCCTCTCGATGGCCTGTGCATCTCTTTACAAAAATACTTCCATCGCATCTCAGCAAGGCATGTCTCTAAGCAGACTGGGCTTTTCATTTGCAAGGAAGAAGCAGAACTTGGTTGTCCTCCAGTCTCTTTTCTCAAGCAGACTGATACTTATCCCTTTTTCCTGCTTTAGAAGCCCCCTGGTGTTATCCTGAACAAGTTGAGGGGTGCAGTGGGGGCAGAAAGGAGGTCTTGGCACTGCGGTCTGTCTGCTTCATTGGTCTTTCCAGGGACTAAGAATGGAGGGTCAGGAACTTGAATCTCTCACGTTGGCACTCTGCCCTTCCTCCAGTGAGCTCAGGGTAGCAGTTATGCAGCCCTCAAGCAATGGATCTCGAGATCTGACTGCTCTCCTTCCCCCCTCCAACCCAGCAATATCCTCACAACTCTGAGAATGACTTGCTCTATCAGCTTCATGGCCTGGAGATGTGGGGCAAGGAGAACTCAAACACAAACCCCCCTTCTTGGTTATGTGATCTACTCTACCCCATTGATTCTTTGTGAACTGAGTTTCCTGTAGTGCAAGTTGCTTTGATCCTCTTTGAAAAAGCGGCACAGGACATTTTAACTCAACGGTGTGGACCTTTGCATGTCTCCTGACTCTCCCTCGCCCCATCCTATGCCACTTGAACTCCCCCTGTGACCCCCCTTCCCCTGATCTGCATCTCAGGCTCCCAAGCATCTCTTTTGCCCTCACCTGCTGCCTCTTATGCTTCTTTTCTCCCCCAACAGTCCAAAGCTGCCTATGTGCTCTTCTACCAGCGCCAGGACAAAATCCGGCACCCTGTCCTCCTTGCTGCGCCGAGTGCCGCAGGTTCCAGAGACCAGGACGGCGGTGGTGGCGGCGGGGCCTGCTGCGAGCCCCACCCCAGAGAGCAAGCCAGTAGGGACTTTATGGATGTGGACTGACCTTGACCCCCACCCTCCCTCCTCCATCTGCAGCCGGGGAGGGCAGCTGCATGCCCTGCCTCTTCCCTTCCTCAGACTGAAGCTAGCAGTGGATTCTCCAAGGGCAGCAGCTCTTTACTCAGGCTATGGAATAGGGGGGAGGGGGCATGGATCCCCTCTGCTGTGCCCCAAAGCGCAGGGCCCTTTGCTTTGCACATAGTTCCCCTGCTCTGAAGGGGGTGGTTTTGTGTGTGTGTGTGTGTGTGTGTGTGTGTGTGTGTGTCCTGCCCCCTTGACAGGGCCACTGTCTTGCACCAGCATTTTTATAAGATGCAAAGGGGGAGGGGGGAAGTGTCCCTCTTCTCCATCTCACATGGGGGAGGGGATGTGTGCATCATTCGTGTGATCCCTTGTGGGTGCTGCCCCCTCCCCTTTTACTCTCTAGCATCAGGGGGAGTTGCCCTTATTCTGCTGCTCCTGGTTTTAGGGCCTCTTCTCTAGACAGCCCTGCAGGACTTTGCAAAGGTATTCAAACCCCGCTGTGGTTCTGCAGCCAGTTGGGACACTTCCCCCACCCAAAAAAACCCCTCCCATTGGTCACTGGCTGGATAAACAGACCCTTGTTTTCTCCCCCCTCACCTCCCAAGTGCCTCCTCTTCCCCTCAACGAGAGCAATAATTCCAGCCATTGCCCCACCGCCACCTTCCTCTCACAGCCAACGGCTCCCCTTGACCTGCATTTCATGGACCTCCTTCTCCGACAGCCGGCTGCTTCCAAAGCCCCTCTCTAGCTACAGGGGTGGTGGTCGAGCTGCTGGGCTGAGGTGCCGCTTCAGAGTCTAGCAGCAAAGCCTGTGGCAAGGCCACGGAGGGGTTTGGGGCCTGCACCGTGTCACAGCTGCTGCTGCTGCTGCTGCTGCTGCTGCCGCTGCCACTGCCACCCGCCCCCCTGGCAGAGGAGGAGTGTCTCCAACACCCGCCACCACCAGCACTGAATGCCCCCTTCCTTCTCTGCCCTGGCACCTGGTGCCTGGGGTGGTGCGCCTGCCCTGGGCCCACAGAAGTGCATGGAAGTTCTCTCCCCTCTGCCGAGTGTCTCTGGTGCCACTGCTACTGCTTCCAGGCTCAGGGATTGCACTGGCTTGTAAATAGGTTTCTGTGTGCAATGTTTGGGGAGAGCAGGGACAGGACACCCACGGAGGCAGGGTTGGCCTGCAGAAGCACATCGGGTATTTTCTTAAGGAGTTTGGGAAGAATATTCCTTCACTTGACTCTGGGGGCTTCTTTCTTTTCTTTTGAAGGTGTGTTTTTTTTCCAGAAGAAAATATTTTTGGCATGTGGCAAAACTTGTACATAAAGTAACTTCTTTCAAATGGCATGTGGCCTTCTTTTGCCCCCATTTCCCTCCTGAGCGCTTCATTCCTCTCTTTGGATCCAGGACTCTTCCACAAACAGGGCAAGCCAACTGGATGCCCCCCAACACCCCCATGGCCTTATAGGACTTTGTAATCCCAGCAACATCTGGAGGGCACCGTGTTGGCGACTTCTACACTGCTTCAGATTGTGATGCAGTCATGGTAGTGCTTTGACTCACTTCCAGCCTCCTCAGGCACTGGCATCTCCAGCCTCAAGCTGCCACTGCATGTCCCATCATAGTTATGCCCACGTGTGGGAACAGAGAGAATTCATGGTGCCACTCGTGGGGACTTCTCTTGCAAATGTTCCTGGCCATTGTAGCAAGCCAGAAGAGAGCGGTAGACTTGCACTTCCTTCTGCTGCTTTTGCCATCGGCTCTGCAGAGGGATGGGTAAGGAAAACCAATGTCTGGTAGCGAGATGCCACACCAATGAATTCAAATATGGTCAGCAGCAGCAGGGAGGTGCACGCTTCCCTGGTCGCCTTCAAGCTGTTCCATGCTCTTTGGTGCTGGATAGCTTAGAAGTGGACTGACCTCTGGGGAGGAAGACAGTTGGCAAGCTTCAATGATACATTTACCCCTAAGTAGAGGAGGATCGTGTTCTCCAAACCATCGGTTTCTGCCAGCCAAGACAGAGGCAACCACAACATGACTCTTCCAACTTCTGGACAGCAACCTCCAATGTGGAGGCCATGATTCTCTCTCGGAAGGAGGAAAGAACTCGACTGGATGGGCAGAGTACACCCCGCATTGCAGGATGGGATTCAACTTGGGTGTTTGGAGAGGCTGGAGGTGGAGGCCTTTGACAGTGCTAAGTAGCCTGTTCAACTTGGCAGAAGCATTACTGGAGTTCTCAGTTAATACATTGTGTGCCCCCCTGCTCAAAACTGGTGCCTTATATTTCAAGTTACACTGGCCCTGAGCTTCCACTCAGTCCTCCCTTTCCCTGCAAAGGTTAAGGAGGTGCTGCTTTTCTCAAAAACTCTTTCAAGGTGCAGCCTGGAAGAACCTAGGCAGTGTTTATGCACCAGCCACCAGGGGCAGGCCAGACACGGAGACTGCAAATAAGGAGAGTAAAGTAGGGTTTGTTGCAGCTACCTTGCTTTTAATAGCCAAACTTGTACACACACTTGGGACTGGCATCCCATAAAGCTGTCTGCCACACTGGGCTTCTCTCTCTGCAAGCAGAACAAGAAAAGGAGCTTTTTGACATTAACTTGCTGGCTCCAGCTACACCTGCAAGACTTCAGGCACCCAGAGCCAGTTCCACAGAGGCTATTTGCCCACTGCTCAGACTGACTGATGGGGGGTGGGTCATGCTACAGACTTCAAGCTCTCTTCTGCAACCTTCCTGCTTCTAAGATGAAAAGCCGTTCCACACTGATTATGCAGGGAGGGTCAGCCTCTTCCACCTCCCAAGGAGGTGAAAGGGTCTCTTGCACACACATTTGTCCCATAGGACAGAAGTAGCCTGCAGCAGTCACAGGATGGGATCAGTCGGGCCCAGGCAGCCCTGCCAGCTTGAGGTCCTGTGACATCAACTGCTCTTCCACATCCTGCAGAGCCCAGTGGTGAGAAACCAACTCCAAAGCTTCCCACTCGGCCTGGATGGAGAAAAAGAGTCTGTCAGCCTTGAGCAGCGTATCGCTGCAGAAACTCTCACATACAAGCTCTGCATCAAGCTGCAATCGAAGGGTGGGATCCAGCAGCACCAAGACCATCGTTCCGTCAGCGTAAGGACTTCTAGTTGTGCAACGGAATGTTCTCCCATGTGCCCCTTAAATCTGGTCCATATGGTTCCCCCAGCCCTCTGGGATACTTTTTTTTGGGGGGGAAGAAGGAAGTCCCATTGCACAAACAGAAATTATTGTGCTGAACAGGATGTGTGTGGCTGTGTGTGCAAACACCAGTGCCATCAGAGATGTTTGCTAGGTGACAGCCCTGGCAAGCACAAAGCTCTAAGCTTCAAAATGAGCAGCACTGACTGTTCCCGAGGTGTTTGTATGGCCCTTAACTTCCAAAGTGTTCTGATGCTCACTCACAATACAGTTTTACAATGATCCCATAGGAAAGGTCAGCACTGTCTCCTTGTTGGGGGTGGGGGGGAGGATAGCTGAGAGGGTTCTCCTAAGACCACCCAAGGAGGCCATGGCAATGATTTAAGGTAGGAGGGGAAACTGGCTCACATCACCTCTGACCAACTGCCGTGCTGTCTGGGGCCTGATGGGAGTTGCAAGTCCAACCATATGTTGAGCCCCCCTCCTGTCATTTCTTTAAAAAGATATTGTCTAGCGCACATATTGGGCCACAGCACCAGCTCTTGGGATATGTGGGGCTGCCTACGCCCACAAGTCTCACTGTGGCACAGCAGAGACCCTGTGCATGCACAGCAGCTGGAGTGGCACAGCTGTCGCCCTGCAGATAAGATGCCATCCAGCCTATTAGTCTTGCATCAAATGGACTGCATTTAATCTTATCAGCTACGTGGTCTCACCTAAGTGAAACCATTGAAACAAACTAGGGCAGTACCTTGAAAGCCTTGTTGGGATCAGGTGGGGTGGGGACAGCTGGGCTGAGGAACTGGTCCTGCAGGAGCAGCTGGTTCTGCTCTGCAGCTGTGGAGAGAACGTCAGGGAAGCTTGTGAGGGAGGCATGTAAACATTGCAAGTTGACAACAAGGCAAGGGATAACCGTCAGCTACTAACAGTCTGGCTGCCTTTGATTAGGTGTAAACTCTCAGCAGAAATGGGGTTTTTTTGACACTTGTTCCTCTGCATTGACCTATAGAGCAATAGTGGAGTTTCAAAGAGTAGTCCAAATGGAGGAGTGAGTGGCTGTACAGAGCAAGTTCCAACATGTGACCGCTACAACCCTGAGAGGTTGGGCGCTGCCCCCAATGGTTTCAAACTGGTTCCCCAAAGTATCAGACCACTTCATGCAGCCGTCAAAGTAGTCTCTAGTTCATGAAAGCTCGTGCCGCAATAAGCACTCAAACGTCCACCCTCCACGTTGCAATCTGAAGAGGTACATCCCACGTAAGACACCAACCCCACCTTTAAACCCAACACTCCCTGTCCCCAAGCTGCCTCTCACCAGTCTCCTCTCCCAGGATGAGGCTGTACACTCGGCGGAGGCCAAAAACGTTGAGGAAGTACCAGGAGGCCGAACTCACCCTGGGAAGTGAAAACATCTCTCAGTGACTATCTCAGGGAGCCTTCCTGGCCCCCAGTCCCCCAGGGTGGGAACCCAGGCCAGAAGCCATCCCCACCCCAAACCCATGGAAGGGCTGGCTGGGCCTGGGGGCAGGCAGGTGCTTACCAAGAGGGGTCCAAGGAAGGCAAGCTAATTCCACGCTGCAGCATGGGCTTGAACCGCAGGGTCAGGGGGAAGGGAACCTTGGCTGGGAGGGAGGGAGGTTGGGAGGGAGAGGTGTTAGAGCTGGACCCGCCTACCCCAAGCTCTAGGGCTGCTGCCCCGCAGCCACCCTCCTCCTCAGTGATTTACAGCTCCCAGCTGTCTTGCGCATAGTGCCACCCCCCATCAGCTCAGATCCCAAGCTAAAGCCCCCCCCTTGCAAGCAAAGGAGCAACTTAAGGGGCCTACAATCCCTTCTTACCAAATCTTCTCATGCAGGTCACAGAATCCCAGTAAATTACTGGGCTGGGTGGGTGGCAGGAAGGGAAAGAGGTTGAGAGGGGTGATAACTTTCCTAAGAGTTTAGGGCAGAGGGCAGATTTGGATGGGGGCCTTCCTGATTCATAACTACACCTAATTTAGCTAGACGCAACCTGCCCTCAGCCCAAGCTCTCTGGTCTGGAATAAAAGGATGACTAGGGGTGGTGGTCTGCTTTACAGGCAAGCTGAGCCAAAGGCTATGAAACACACCGGATGCTGGAAGAGTGCATCTTGGCGGCATAGGCAAACTCCGGCCCTCCAGATGTTTGGGACTACAGTTCCCATCATCCCTGACCACTGGTCCTGTTAGCTAGGGATGGTGGGAATTGTAGTTCCAAACATCTGGAGGGCTGGAGGTTGCCAATGCCTGCCTTAAATGATCTCTTTAAATATTGTTATTTTAAAATATTTCTATACTGCTCTTCCTAGCAAAACAAAAACAAAACAGCAGCAGATTTAGAAACAAAATACAGTGGTACCTAGGTTTACAAACTTAATCCGTTCCGGAAGTCTGTTCTAATAATAATAATAATAATAATAATAATAATAATAAATTTTATTTATATCCCGCCCTCCCCAGCCGAAGCTGGGCTCAGGGCGGCTAACAACAATCAAAATAATCCAGCATTCTTAAACTGAAACTGTTCTTAAAACAAGGTGCACTTTCCCTAATGAGGCCTCCCTCCGCCGGTGCCCTTCCACCGTTCAGATTCCATTCTTAAACCAAGGTAAAGTTCTCAAACCAAGACACTATTTCCGGTTTTGCGGAGTTTGTAAACCAAATCATTGTTAAACCGGACTGTTCTTAAACTGAGGTACCACTGTAATCAAATAGCACATACAGCAATACTAAAATTGTCCACCAGGGGGAGGGGCCCTCTGTTGCCCTGCAGGGGCTATTGGGCTCCCTGTTAGAATTCCTGCTCCAAGATTGCAGTCATGGGATTTTTGTCTATCACATGACGGTGTATGTTTTGACTGCACAGAGTGGGAAGTGACGGAGACAGGATGTTTGTGTTACTGTGTTCCATGAAGTGGGACTATTGTCCTTTGTTCTTTTTCTCTTTGCTGTCTGATGCTAGAGAGAGGGGGAGCCATGTTGTAGTGCTCTGTCTGTGTTTATATGTAAATAAAGTAGATTAGCCAAAGTGCTGAGTTGCAAGCTGTGAAGACTCTGCAGATCCCTAAGTGTGCCAGTGTCTGTTGGCATCAGTCACTGTGATGTTCGGGCTGAAGAAAGCTTTTGAAGCTCCCAAACGATTGACCAGGAGGGAGGGAACATGCCAGTTGGGCATGTGTCTCTGCTAGGGTCCTACTCGAGTGTAGGACGAGCTCCTGACACTCCCAACTCCCATCAATCCTAGCCAGCATGGCCAACTGTGAGGGATGATGGGAATTGTAGTCCAGCAACCAGCTAGAGGGCCACTGTTTCCCTTCATCCTCTGCTGCACAAGGAATGGGTCTCCACGAGGGCACGAGGGCAGCTTCCAGGCCTGTGTTAAATCCCCGCATCACTCACTGGCCACAAAGCCAGAGAAGGCCCAATTGATCCAGCCTCCAACTAGGATCATGGGCAGGACATGGACCAAGTTGCCCTTCATCATCTCCATAACCAGGCTGGGATCTGCAAGAGAGAGAGAGGTGTGTGTCAAACAGGGTACTGTGCAGCCTGGGATTCCACAAGGACACATGGAAACCAAAGAAGGAAGTGCCAGGAACAAAATTTGGTTTTATGTGAATATCAGCATCTTACAAAAACAAAAACAAAAGCAAGTTCTAGCTCCTTGGGGTTTGTGGGCGTGTGGGGACGTATGATAGCTGCAGAAATCTCAAACACAAGCAGGGGTCTACTCAAACAAAATGTACAAAATAAGGGAAGGGTGCTTAAATAGCATAATTTATATACAGACCACAGAATCCAACCGCTCATTTTCTTGCAGATTTTGCACCACGTTGGTCCAGAATAAACTTGAGCACAGAGCGCTCACAGCCCTGCCTTAAAAAACTGGTTTGTTTGTTGGTTTGATATCCCGAGGCAGCCAATGTCTGTTAAATTGAGCTGGTGACTCTGGAGGGCAAATCAGGTTCTGTCCACAGGCACCAGCCCCAGGACACACAGAACCAGGCCCCCTCATGGTTGGCAGCTCATCTCCCCCCCTTATTCCACTGCTGCCGCCAAAGCCTCACCTGCCAATTGTAGGGTCCAAGGTGGTTTATACTGGAGAACAAAGTGCTTGGTCCCCGAGCCATTTAGGGCTTTTTACGCTAGTGCTAACACCTTGAATTGGGTCCAGTGCAGGAGCACCTTCAGAACCAGTGCCGCATGGTGCCCCCACTTACCAGCCTAGCATTCTGCACTAGCTGCAGCCTCTGGGCCGCCTTCAAGGGCCGTCTCACACATAGGCTGTTATGGTAGTCCAGATGGGCAGTCCGCTGAGGTGAGGCTATCATGGCCCAGGAGAGGCTGTGGCTGGCAGGTTGCCCAAAGCTGGGCTGAAGGCACATAGTCACAGAAGCCCCCCGAGACTCCTGTGGCAAGTTGGAATCCCAGAGTATTCCCACAGTACAAAGCTGCTCCTTCAAGGGGAGTCCCACCACTCCAAGAAGAAGGCGGGACACAGAAGGAACCCACTCACAGGACCTCCACCTTATCAGCTTCAGCTTATTGGGCCCCATCAAGTCTAACACTGCTTCCAGGCAGCAGTCCCACGGTTGGACAGCAGCACTGATTGAGCAAGCGGGACGAGGGGGGGGGGATGAGACAGCAGAACCCTTCCACTGCCCCTTGTACTCCCATGCCCGTTCCCATGGTTACCTGTCAGCAGGTTTCTGGGCTGCACTTTACGCTTTGTTTGGCGGAAGAAGCCACTTTCAGGGTTATTGAAGTGATGCTTACGCATGAGGAAGCCCTGGGGAAAGAGGAAGGGCCTCAGAAATCCAGATGATCTGAAGGTGTTTTCAACAAGGAAGATTATCATTGCATTTGAGATGGTTTGAAGGGCTTCATATGCATTATCTTTGACCGCCTTACATCTTCAACCAGGGAAAAGGAACCTGTGGCCTCCAATGCTGGACTAACTCCTCTCATCCCTGACTGCTAGGACCCAAGGGAGCTGGGAGGGCAGTGGCGGCAGCATCTACAGGTTCCCTGATAGGACCTTAGAATTGCCTCATGTCACATACTAAATTCATGGAAGAGGAAAGATTTGAACCAGGGCATCCAGTTTCTTATGTTAATGCTATGCATATGTGCTCGGAAGTTAAATAAATAAGTTAAATCTTCAGTGGGGCTTCCTTCCAGGTAAAAGCACACAGGTGCGAAGTCTTGGTCACCTGCCTTTTTGAGGGTGCCATTCCCGGCTTTGGAGCAGGATGGGTGAAGGCAGGAGACGTTCAAAGGCCTGCCCTTCAATATATTTACATTGCAAAGATGTATTTAAAAAACCCCATTTGTTATAGTTATGGTCTCAAGCAATGATACAGGCATTCTTGAGAATAGCCACATGGCAGGGATGCTCCCAACCCCTCCCCAAAGAAGCTCCCTTGTGCTCTTCCCCTCCTTTTCAAGAATGATAAGACAGAATTACAAAGGAAATTCAGAGAGGGGAATAAAGTTTCACTTCTGCTATTCAAACCCTCATATCAATTCTTTTTAGGCCAGCAGCCTAAGTAAAACAAAAACCCCTCTGACTTGCATCAATCAAGTAGTTCCAGTATTAATCCAGAACCACTGTGGGGAATAGATCACATTTGGGTCACAAGCCAAAGGAGGTTGTGTGTGGACCATGAAATTTCCTAGCTTTTTGTACCCTTGCTGAGGCCTGTCCCTTGAGGCCTCTCTCTATGCAAGGAGGCAAGTGGCTTTTCAGAAGCAGCTGCACCCACACTCGCCCTTACCTGATGAGTTAGGAAGCGTCCATTTTCTCTCAGGAGGCGACTACGAGCCAGAATCTGCCTGACAGACAAAGAACACTCAACTCAGCTGTAGGTCCAACATAATTTGCAAACAAAAGTAATGGGATCAGATCATCAAACCAAATGCGGCAGTAAAAGACTGGCCCGCTCACATCTACTCATGCAATCTACATGACTACATACAAACAGCTGCTTGGAGCAATATGTTCAGGGGTGCGAACAAAGCAGTTGTGCAATTCTAGAATTCCACACTTAAGAACACAGTATGATTTGGACACATTTCACAGGACCTGTCATCTATGCATCTGATTTCAATATTGTGAACCACGTTGAGAAATTGTATTCATTTATTGCATTCCTATCCCTCCTGTTCTCCAAGGAGCTCCATGGTTCCGTTCCCCTCATTTAATCCCTACAACAACCCTGTGAGGTAGGTCAGGCTGAGAGGCAGTGCCTGGCCCAAGGTCACCCAATGAGCTTCATGGCTGAGCCAGGATTTGAGCCCTGGTTCTCCCAGGTCCTAGTCCGACACTCGACCCACTGCATCACACCAGCTCTCCTTACGGTTAAAGTTAAATACTGCAAGGAAGAAAACTGTTTTCAATGGAGGATTTTGGTTTTTAAAGCCTTAAATGTGCTGGTCCAGGGCTCCATGCTCCTGGCATCCATCCTCTGAGGCCATACTGTTGTTATAAGAATTCTAAGGTCTCAAAAATAAAATAAATGTTCATAAATGTACAAGGCAAACACATACATTAGAAACCACATGTCTGTAATAGTACAGGAGAGCAATCCTGAAGCCATTTTGAGACTCCCAGTGACCTCAAATATTCCTCTGCAGTATGGGAGGAAAATGGGGAAAGCCTTCCCATTGTCTTTTTGCTTACAAATCCTGTCTTAAGGGCATATTTGTGTATGAATAGGGTGAGCCTGTGACCTGGATTCAGAAACTAAAGTATTTACCATCACAAAAGAATGGCCAGGCTGCCCAGGTAATGCAATCATCAAGTATCCTGGCAAACAGGATTTCTGCTGTAGACCACCTCCACTGCTGCAGACAGCCTCCTTGGGGGGGGGGGGTACTTTCAAAAGTCTATATAAGGACTTGTGCACCATTGTTTTGGGTTCTCTCCTCCCTCCTGTGTGTGGGGAGTGGGGACCTGTTGCAACAGTACTTTTCTATTGCAATAAAGATCAGACTTACTAGCCGATTTGCTTCTCAATATACTCTGGTTGGCCTCCATTATTTTCTCCTACCGATAGGGAACCTACTTAAGGACTCTATATGGGCTCTTGGATACTGCATAAGGGGAAAAGAGCAGGGGTTTTTTCTTTCTTATAACACTGTATCATCTGTGATCAAGAAATATTAAAAACCTGCTTCTTTCCCTGTAGGAGGTACGCAAGAAGTCTGTATAGAGGTCTCTCAGTTGGAGAATGAACAGAGACCAACCTGAGATATGCTGAAGCAAGGTGGCAAGTAAGCCTGATCTTTATTGTCAAGAAAACAGACTGTTGCAACAGGGTCCTCACTCACACATGCAGGATGGAGGAGAAACCCTGAACAAAAGGGCAAAACACACTTATATACAAAAATAATAATTTTTTAAAATTGTCCAAACTTAGACCAACTACCGTAAGTTTGTTCTGGTATAAGCAAAAGTCACCAGACCCTTATATATAGTGGGAGGGTGGGGTGGGGTTTTTCTCAGAAGGGTAGTAGAGATGGGTGATTGGCTCAATATGTATGGTAAACCTGTTGACGACTGTTAACGACTGCAATTAGTCCTACAGGAAAAAGCAAGGAATAGTATGCAGATGACCAAAAATAGCTTTAGCATGTGCAATGAGATAAGAATCCAATATCTCTATTCAGACCAGGGCTCCCCATAGTTTTCAGTTTGGTTTCAAGTCTATTTCTGAAATTCTTTTGGAATAAGACAGCTGCTTTGAGATCTCGTATTGAATGTCCTACTGGTTTCTCTGTCTTGTGATTCCTGATGTCAGATTTATGTCCATTTATCCTTTGGCGTAGGGTTTGGCCTGTTTGTCCAATATAGAGAGCTGAAGGGCACTGCTGGCATTTGATGGCATACACAATGTTAGAAGATGAGCAATTAAATAGGCCTGAGATGGTATGTTTGATGTTGTTGGGGCCAGTAATGGTGTTGTCTGGGTGTATGTGGCAGCAAAGTTGGCATCTGGGTTTACTGCAGTCTCTGGTCCATGTTAAGTCTGGTTGTTGTATTATTGTGGGTGAGGAGTTGTTTAAGATTGGGTGGCTGTCTGTAGGTGATGAAAGGTCTTCCTCCCAGAGCTTGAGAAAGTGAACTGTCGTTGTTTAGGAGAGGTTGTAAATATCTGATGATGTGCTGAACTGTTTTAACTTGGGGGCTGTATGTGATTACTAGTGGTGTTCTGTTATTTTTTGGGTCTGTCTTGCAGCAAGTTCTCTCTGGGTATCAGTCTGGCTTTGTTGATCTGTTGTTTAACTTCATCGGACAGATATTTTAGTTCCAAAAAGGTTTGCTATAGATCTCTTAGGTAAGAATCCCTGTCTGTAGAGTTCGAACAGATGCGGTTGTAATGTGTTGCTGTTGTTGTTGTTCAGTTGTTTAGTTGTGTCTAACTCTTTGCGACCCCATGAACCAGAGCACGCCAGGCACTCCTGTCTTCCACTGCCTCCTGCCTCCCTCCTACGGCTGTAATGTAGAGCCTGGCTATATATACTTATATACAGTTTCATTTCAAATGGAGTCGCTGGTTCCCACGCCTCGGGATATGCGAGGAGGAAGGAAAAACACATATTGGGGAGATTACAGGTAAGTGTTTGTTAGACAAAAGCAGCTTGCTAGAATGTTGACGTTTTGGTGATAGTACAAAAGCATGAGCACATATGTAGATGGCTGAGTGTTTGAGAGTCCCATACTGCCCACCCTGGTGCTAAGGATCACTCTTTTGTTTATGATTGCAGGGACGGTGACGCTGGGGGTAATGCTTGGCGGGCAAAAGGATTCTGAGGTTATTGATAAAGATTGGGGGTTCCCAGATCCTGCCGTTAACAATTGACAGCTATTGTTCAAGGGGAAAGGAAGGATTTGTGAATGGGCTATTGACATTTCTGAATGGTGTATCTGCTTTTTATGAATGACCCATTCAATAAAGAGTGTTTTAGTTTATGGATTCATGTGGTTCTTTGCAGACCCAGAAGGTGGCACTGAGGACCTGTCAAAGTCGTCGAGGCGGTTAGACAGAGCATATTCATTTGACAATCCTAGGTACCAACATTATTTTACTTAAGTTACGTTTTATCATTCAAGGATATAGTAAAAGTAAAGGTACCCCTGACCATTAGGTCCAGTTGCAGACGACTCTGGGGTTGCGGTGCTCATTTCGCTTTACTAGCCGAGGGAGCTGGCGTTTGTCTGCAGACAGTTTTTCCAGGTCATGTGGCCAGCATGACTAAGCCGCTTCTGGCAAACCAGAGCAGTGCACGGAAACGCAGTTTACCTTCCCGCTGGAGCGGTACCTATTTATCTACTTGCACTTGACATGCTTTTGAACTGCTAGATGGGCAGGAGCTAGGACCGAACAACAGGAGCTCACCCCATCGCAGGGATTCGAACTGACGACCTTCCGATCGGCAAGCCCTAGGCTCTGTGGTTTAGACCACAGTGCCACCCGCGTCCCTTAAGGATATAGTAGTAGTAGCATATAGTCAGATGGAGTGGAGACATGCACAAATGAGAGATATAGTATTAATTTCCCTTTCCCTGTTCCATTCTACACCATCTGCTTCTCCTTGGGGGTTAGTGGCCAGCAGGTATTTGCAGCAGTCCTGGAACACCTCCACAACAAAGCCTGTCTAGCGGCCTCTTTCCTCTTCGTCAGAAAACCTAAGGCCCATGGGCCACAAGCGGCACAAGGGGGTCATTCAACCGGCCCACAAGCCGCCCCGAACCAAGCCACCCGCTTGGCGAGTCCCCACGCTGCGCTAAATCAGCGCAGCGCGGTGCAGGGACTTACGTCCACGGTGCCAGAAATCACTTCTGCACAAACGCAGATGCTGGAAATTGTGGGTGCACGCACTCACACGTGCACGCAATTCGGCCCGCAGAGGGATCTCTGATGGAGTGAACCAGACCAGGCAAGGTAAACCTTGCCAACCCCTGGGTTAAAGCATCCCTGCTCCAGATTGCTTTTGGAGGGAGGCAGGGTTTCAATATTTTAAGCAGCTGTGCTTTTTCATTATTTGGCACCTTGTTCTCACAACCTTCTGGAAGCCATCAATACCAGGGAAGATTCTGGAGCAGATCATTAAGCAAACAGTCTGTGAGCACCTAGAAAGGAATGCTGTGATCACCAATAGTCAGCATGGATTTCTGAAAAATAAGTCATGTCAGACTAACCTGATCTCATTTTTTGACAGAATTACAAGCCTGGTAGATGAAGGGAACGCAGTGGATGTAGCCTACCTTGATTTCAGCAAGGCATTTGACAAGTTGCCCCATGATATTCTTGTAAAGAAGCTGGTAAAATGCGGTCTTGACTATGCTACCACTCAGTGGATTTGTAACTGGCTGACTGACCAAACCCAAAGGGTGCTCATCAATGGTTCCTCTTCATCCTGGAGAAGAGTGACTAGTGGGGTGCCACAGGGTTCTGTCTTGGGCCCAGTCTTATTCAACATCTTTATCAACGACTTGGATGATGGACTCAAGGGCATCCTGATCAAATTTGCAGATGACACCAAACTGGGAGGGGTGGCTAACACCCCAGAGGACAGGATCACACTTCAAAACGACCTTGACAGATTAGAGAACTGGGCCAAAACAAACAAGATGAATTTTAACAGGGAGAAATGTAAAGTATTGCACTTGGGCAAAAAAAATGAGAGGCACAAATACAAGATGGGGGACACCTGGCTTGAGAGCAGTACATGCAAAAAGGATCTAGGAGTCTTGGATGACCACAAGCTTGACATGAGCCAACAGTGTGACGTGGCAGCTAAAAAAGCCAATGCAATTCTGGGCTGCATCAATAGGAGTATAGCATCTAGATCAAGGGAAGTAATAGTGCCACTGTATTCTGCTCTGGTCAGACCTCACCTGGAGTACTGTGTCCAGTTCTGAGCACCACAGTTCAAGAAGGACACTGACAAACTGGAACGTGTCCAGAGGAGGGCAACCAAAATGGTCAAAGGCCTGGAAACGATGCCTTATGAGGAACGGCTAAGGGAGCTGGGCATGTTTAGCCTGGAGAAGAGGAGGTTAAGGGGTGATATGATAGCCATGTTCAAATATATAAAAGGATGTCACATAGAGGAGGGAGAAAGGTTGTTTTCTGCTGCTCCAGAGAAGCGGACACGGAGCAATGGATCCAAACTACAAGAAAGAAGATTCCACCTAAACATTAGGAAGAACTTCCTGACAGTAAGAGCTGTTCGACAGTGGAATTTGCTGCCAAGGAGTGTGGTGGAGTCTCCTTCTTTGGAGGTCTTTAAGCAGAGGCTTGACAACCATATGTCAGGAGTGCTCTGATGGTGTTTCCTGCTTGGCAGGGGGTTGGACTCGATGGCCCTTGTGGTCTCTTCCAACTCTATGATTCTATGATTCTATGCCTGCGAGCTGGACATGAACACACAGTACTCTGTCCACCTGTGATCGGGGTGGAGGAAGGGGGGTGCGGTGGGGGCGAACCGTCCTGGGTGTCCTCACTGAGGGAGGGGACATTTGGCAGTTGTGGGTGGGCAGTGCGCCCAATGTCCGCCATCGGCGGCTCGCTCCGCCCCAGGCTGCAAGGCGCGTGTGCAACTCCATGCACCTGAGTGGCTATCCCATGCCCAGAAGGGCACCCGCCACACCACGCCCCCCCCGGGAGCGTGCCAGCCCAGCATGGGCATATGCTCTGCCGCTGCCTGCGATTCCCAGCAAGTGGTATTCAGAAGTGTGACGCCTCTGACAATGGAAGGAGAACGTAGCCCTTGTGGCTACGAGACACGGCCAGCCCAGCAGCACAACGGGTCAGGGTGTCTGGGTGTTAACTGGAAGGGGCAGTTGTGGGCAGGATTCCTGCACTGCAGGGGGCTGGACTAGATGACCCTTGATGTCCCTTCCAACTCTACAATTCTATGATTCTATTATTGGAGGAAGATGGCATGTGGAAGGTTGTCATTTATTATGGTGGTTTGTGCTTTTTTATTCCAAGTGTGCATATTTTTCTGGATTGTCAGCAAGGTGCTGTTACACTTGATTGTAGCAGAAACACTATTTTAAACTGACCAATACATAAAGAAAACAAACATGCAGGCTGCAAAGTGTCACAGGACTCTTGGTCATGTGTAGCTTAAGGTTACCAGACGTCCCGATTCCGGGCACAGTCCCCGGACTTACAAATCACTCCCCTGGTAAAATCCACCTATTTAGTTGAAAAGTGTCCAGATTCGTTGAAAGAAATCTGGTAACCTTAGCGTAGCTCAGACTTCTGTGAAACTTAAAAGCTTGCGAAGACGCGCGCGCGCCCAGAAACCCCCGTCCCGGGAAACAGGAAGGCGTCCCTTTCGCGTCCTCTTCCCTGACTCCACCTTCAGGGGCCCGGCATGTGGGCGTGGCCTCCCGCAGCCCCGCCCCCGCCGCTCACGTGTCCTGCCGTTGCTCGAGCCAGCCCAGCGCGCGCTCGCCGCGCAGCAGGCCCGCTATGCGCAGGCGCAGAACCCCTATGGCGAGCGCGATCCAAGCCACGGGCAGCAGAACCCAGAAGCGGATGGAGCCGTCCAGGCGCAGCTCCGGAGCCGCCATGGCGTCTGAGAGAAGAGGCTCCTGGGGCCGGAAACGCACAAATAGGGCGCCGGAAGTGGCGCCATTGACTCAACGCCGACTTCCGGCCGCCTTTCTCTCGCGCCCGCCAAGGTTTCCACCTTTGTGGCGATAATGGAGATGATGTGTCTCTATATCAGGAGAAAGGGGGTCGGAGGTTGACCCTGCGGAAACGACGTCATTTCCTGTACCGTATTTGCGGGCTCAGAACACAGTTTTGTTTACCAAAAGAAACGTCTCTTGCATTACGTAGACGGGCGAGCAGTCTCTAACGAGAGGAATCATTTTTGAGGCCTAAAAGAGGCACGTTTTCTTTAAGTTACAAGATTCAGGGGGTTGGACTCGATGGCCCTTGTGGTCTATGATTCCCCCTCTGAAGGGAACCCGGATGTAGCAGCCGGAAGTCACCTTCCGCACCTGCGCATTCTGCGCCCCGCCTGCGAGCGCGCGTGGGCCATAGAGTCTGCCGAGCAGAGCGCCCCCGCGCCTTGTCTTCCCTCGGCTCCCGGCCATGAGCTGAGAGACGCTCCGGGCGAGGGGCGGGCGGGCGGGCGGGCGGGGCTGGGTGGCGGAGCGCCGCGCGTCTCCTGGTTTCCGCGGGCGGGCGCAGAGTTGCCGCGCTTGGCGGTGGCGCCGATCTCCCCCCCCCCCGCGGGCAGCTGGCCGGGATGCCGGGCGAGCGGCAGGTGCAGGAGAAGGTGCTTCAGTACGAGGCCTTCGTCAGCGAGGTTCTGCAGAGGGACCTCCGGTGAGTGTCTCCTTCCCGGGCGCCTCTCCCGCCGCCACCCCCGGCTGTGAGATAGAGCGCCTCGGTTTCTTTTGCTCCGCTTTCTGCTCGCGCTTCCAGACCGTTGTTGGTGTTTCTCCCCAGGAAGGTTCTGGAGCAGCGGGATCAGGTCTATGAAAAGATGGCTCAGTACCTGCAGCTCAAGAATATTATTGAGCGGTTGCAGGTAACTAAAAACTTCTTTAAGTTGTTTACAGCACTTTACACAGAAAGATCTGCAGCAGTGTTCTGCGGGGGTTTAGATGTAGGAGACAGCAGGGTTACTTACTATAACAGCTGTTTTACTCCAGAGAGCAGAGATCGGTAAACGTTTCTTCCTTTTCTCCCAGGAGACAGGAAGCCAGGAGCTGACAACTCAAGTGGATCTAGGCTGCAATTTCTATGTCAATGCAGAAGTGTGAGTAGCACAAAGACAGAGCTCATCTGTATCCATTTTCACATGTATTCTTGCCCCTTGACTTCCTGTCTGCTCCAGTGACAGGAGAGACCTGTCTTTGATACAAAAAGTAAGGATTATGCCTAGGGCTGGGTGATATATAAATATATTGTCCAAAACTGGTTTGAAATCCATATTGTGATAACTGGCAATATATCATGAATCATGGTGTGTCTGCTATGCAAAAATCACACGGGGGGGGGGGGGGATGTGAAGCCAGCCAGTGCGTCTCTTGATTCCTGGAGCCCCTGTTAACTCTTAACGGCTCAGCTCTCCCCTGCCTCCTGCATTGGGCGGTGAATCACAATGTGGGAAAAACCTTGAAGTCAGGCAGTTCCTCTACATAACTCCATCCTTGTTTCAGATATCATGATATATTGCTGATATATCATGATGCTGAAAACCAGATACTGCCTGGCCCTATTTATGGCAGGGATGGGGAGCCACAGTGCCAAATGGATTTTCCAGGCCTCTTTGTTTATTGCATTTGTATACCACCCTTCATCCGTCGCTCTCAGAACAGTTCACAACATAAAAACACAATATACATAATAAAAACAAGAACAGAACAAACCAATAACTCCCCTTCCCCCACCCCCTCCCACAACTTATTTAAATGGGTATTGGATGTTAAATCAGCCAAGGCCTGGTTGAAGAGGAATGTTTTCACCTGGCTCCTAAAGGTGCATAATGAAGATATCAGCTGAACCTCCCTGGGGAGAGCATTCCACAAATGGGGAGCCACTGCAGAAAAGGCCCCTTCTCATGTTGTCACCCCCTGGACCTCACGTGGAGGAGGAAAACAAAGAAGGGCCTCAGAAGATGATCTCAGGGTCTATCTGTCCTAAGGATTCTCCCCAGACCACACCCATCACCTGACCTTCTTCACACTGTGAAGGGGCTCCGTTTCTCCTCCCGCTTCGCTGAAGGGGCACTGACCAGAGAGGGAAAGCTGCGCAGCACCTCTCCAGCGAAGCGAAGCCAGGAGAGCAAGAGGGATCGATCCCTCTTGCTCTCTTGGCTTCAGCGCAAGCAATACGAAGCCTCCTGAGCACAGCGGGAGGCTCCCGCTGCGCTCAGGAGGCTTCGGGCGGCTATCCCTGAAGCCAGGAGAGCAAGAGGGATCGGTGTGCACCGATCCATCTTGCTCTCCTGGCTTCAGCAAAAGCTGCGCAGCCTGCATTTGCTCCATAAGACGCACACACATTTCCCCTTACTTTTTAGGTGGGGAAAAGGGTGTCTTATAGAGCGAAAAATACGGTAGTTCTCCATTGAAAAAGGTTCTGCACATCTCCTTCATGGCATCCTTGTGTGTAAGGAAAGTGTGACACTAGGATCCTAAAAGTTGAGAAAGGGCAGAAGGCCAGTTAATCCAGCTCCCTCTAACAAAGCAGGCATCTCTGGATAATCCTACTCAATCCAGATTATGTGCCACAATCAGAAAGCAGATGTGTTGTGTATGTGTATGTGTATGATGTTTTTCAAGCTTCAGATGCCTCAGGCAGGCAGACAAATTGTGCTTCTTGCTGAGGGAAGCTGAGGAATCTACTATGGAGGGGGAAGTAGATAGCTTTCCTCATTATTGGAACATCTGTCAGTCATTGAAGGCATATTTTACCTTTGCCACAAGCTAACCAGGTAACCCAGCATATCTCAGTCTCAGTCTCCCATCGGCAGCATGGGGATAGTAACACGGCCTGCTTTTCAGAGTTATTGTAAGATTTAGTGGAACAAGCTGTGTGAAATACTTTGGACACTTTCACTGCTCTATAAATGTTATTCATGAGAATGTGAGTAGCATTTAAGGAGGAGAAATCCTTTAAGGAGGATTTCAGCTAACTGAATCAGGCTGGGCTAACTGGATCAGGCAGTGGTGTGTGGTACCAAACAGTGAAAAAGTTCCTGAAGTTCTGTAAATGCCATCTTGGTAGTCAAGATAACAACAGGATTAATGGTTGGACTACGCAGAATTAGATAAATTAACAGGAAGGATTTGAAACCTGCGGGACCAGAAATTCTCAGAAGACTGGAATAAATTTACGAACTATTTGAAAAGCAGTTGTGATGAACAGATTATGCTAGTAGGTTTGCAAGAAGTTTTGTAAGGGGAATTATTTGAAATATTGCAAGAAAGACAATGAGGAGAAATATTAGTTAAGGATAATTAAAGGTAATACGAAATTAAATGCATAATAAGTGATAAAAACGGAAAATAATCAGAGGTGTTGACGGAAGTCTAAAAATATTGTATAAGATGAGAAGTTATGTTCTATGACTGTTGGAATTGATATGTTAAAAATTAATAAAAATGTGTGTGTATGTGTGTGTGTGTGTGTGTGTATGTATATATATATATATATATATATATATATATATATATATATATATAAAATTGTTATTTGCTGCAAGAATGAGCTCATATGTACCTATCTGCTTGCTTAGAAGTTTTGAGCCTTAGTTTTGATTTAGCTAGTCAGGAGACTAGCTGCCTGCCTGTCCGCTACTTCCTTTTCTGAGAGATGGGTGAGAGTTGGGAAGGAGCCTCTAAATTAGGGGTGAGTTAATTGGGCTGTTGAGGCCATCTAACGTAGCTTGCATTTTGTATATTAGCCTCTTGCGTACAAATTATGAGGAGGGCTTGCCATTTTCACTTTTTTCTAATAAAGCACTAGAATTGATCACTCTAGCATTTTTGGTGGCCCTGGATCAAACCACTCACACAGAGACTCCTTTGGGCTTGTGGATCAGGACAAGTGGAAAAGGGAGATCGGCTCAATCTGTGCAGAAGAAACTAGGAAACTCTTTCAAGGAGGAATGGCAGGGTAGCTGCTGTAGCTCAGGCTCAACCTTTGCAAGGCCAAACACCTCTCTACCCAGCTGGTATAAGTATTTTGCCCTTGGGAAAACAGTTGTTTTCTCTTTCAAGAAAAAAAATAAACGTTCATTAAACATATTCGTTAATTTCACCATGCACCCAATATCCCGTATTTTTAGTAATCCATTCTTCCAAAGTAAGTGTTCCCATTTATACTCAGTGGTATAAATTCATGCCATTTTAAATACCTTTTCTTCCTGCAGGCCTGATGCCTCCACCATATTTGTAGCACTGGGTTATGGGTTCTTTGTGGAGTTGACTCTTCCTGAGGCGCTTGCCTTCATTGAGAAGAAGAACAAGCTACTAACAGAGTGAGTAGAAGGAATTCAGTTGTCCCACTGTGCCCCCCATGCTATCCAAGGAATCTTAGTTGGCAGGCCTCACAAGAGCACTCTTCAATAGCTTACGGTGACGATCTCTTGCAACCAATTATCTGGCTAATGCAAGCAGACCATGCTTTGGGAATGCAGATGGCAGGAGCCCCCCAAAGCAATGAGAAGAGCCAGAAAAGCACAGGTGAGATCTCTTAGATGGAAACAAGCAAACTCTGCCCTCTCTCTCCTTGTGCCACTTAGTCTGGAGCATGTTTGTTTGAAAGTAAAGTTCCACTGTGTTCAGTGGGCTCAGGCAAATTCCTCGCGGTATAGCATGTTGCCCTAATTTGTGAATGGTCTAAGAGTCTTTAGATCAGGCTTCTTCAACCTCGGCCCTCCAGATGTTTTGAGACTACAATTCCCATCATCCCGACCACTGGTCCTGCTAGCTAAGGATCATGGGAGTTGTAGGCCAAAAACATATGGAGGGCTGAGGTTGAGGAAGCCTGCTTTAGAGTTTCAGGCTGCATCCACCCTCCTTCCTTACCCCCAATTTCTTCTGTCTCCAACAGACTCAGTGAAGCCCTTACCAAAGACTCTGCCAAGATCAAAGCCAATATTCGGATGGTTTTAGAGGTAATGATGGGTGTTCCTTGCTCCAAGCAGACAGATTCCTATTGGGCAGGAATCCAGCAAGGGAATGAGGAAAGCAGCAGAAAGTTGCAGCCTGCTTTTCCTTGGAGTGCTGCCTATGGTGTGGGAAGCATGTTTACTTCTGGTGCATAGGACTGGCTGGTGGCGCTGGGATCTAAACCACTAAGCCGCTTGGGCTTGCTGATCGGAAGGTCGGCAGTTTGAATCTGCGCAACAGGGTGAGCTCCCTTTGCTCTCCCAGCTCCTGCCAACCTAGCAGTTTGAAAGCATACCAGCATGAGTAGATAAATGGGTACCGCTGCTGTGGGTAGGTAAATGGCATTTCCATGTGCTCTGGCACTTGCTGTGGTGTTCTGTTGTGCCAGAAGCAGTTAGTCATGCTAGCCACATGACTTGGAAAGCTGTCTGTGGGCAAATGCCAGCTCCCTCAGCCTGAAAAGCAAGATGTGCTGCACCCCATAGCACTTAACTTATGGTGCAGTATGAAAGAGATGCTCTAGGAAATCAGTAGACAATCCTAGGCTCAGACTGTCTTTCTCCCACTCCCAACTCCTCTCTGCAGGGCTTGCATGAACTCCAAGGTCTCCAAGATTTGCCTGAGGAGACCAGAAGGGACATCTTCCTTTAGGCACCAGCCCTTCCTAGAGGGGACGTTTTCATTGTGATATGCTGGAAGAAGAGTTAGTCTCTTGGGCATTTTGGTGGTGGCAGCAGGAACTGCGTTTGTAACTGAGGAAACCCTTATGAGTTGGGTAGGGTGAATGTACTTACAGGGACAGCAGATTGGAGAGTTTGAGAGAGAACAGTTTCTCTTGGGGTGGTTGATTTCACTGCTCCAAATATTCAACCCTTCTCTGCCTCTGTTTCCCCAGGAACTGTGTCTTAGTATAAGTTCATCTCAATTTGCAAAAGTAATAAATAAAGATGATTATTCCACTTGGTTGTCTTTTTGCCCCATTCTTCCACCCACCTTCCCATTGGTTCGCGTCTCCGCTCCTCCACATGCAGCTGCTGGGTGACCTTGGGCCAGTCACACTTCTCTGAAGTCTCTCAGCCCCACTTACTTCACAGAGTGTTTGTTGTGGAGGAGGAAGGGAAAGGAGAATGTTAGCCACTTTGAGACTTCTTCGGGTAGCGATAAAGCGGGATATCAAATCCAAACCCTTCTTCTGTCATTTAGTCTTAGAGAACATTGGCCCATATTTGTTTTTACCTTGCTGAGTATTAAACCACCGAAAGGCAATTGTGAGGAGAAAGTGGGTATACTCAGGGAGATTGTCCACTGACTGGAGGCCTCACCTCAATAAATTAGTTTCCAAACAAGGATAGCTTTCAGTTTTCTATTATCCTGTTCAAAAACTGATACCTTTTCATGTTGGCAGAAATTTTCAGCATTGCAGAAATTCTGCTTTGTAAGTGACATTTTCCTTAGAAGCCAAATCAAATGGATTGGAGCTCTGTGGAGTTTTTTCCTCACTAGTGGAGGAAATGTGTCCCCCTCCCTGCATAGATCCAGCTGGTTTACAATTTAATTGACAAGCTATTGTAAACAATTCTATCCCTTGTTTTGAGATTTCAGCAGCATTATAGCCATTACATTTCTGAGCTTTTCCATACTACAGTATAAGTAAATTCAAAAATCATTACTGTTATTTGCCTTGTTTTGAACTTTGTAGATGGTACTGTTGTTTTGTGAAAGTTAAAAAAATAAAAAGCAGTGGACAATCTAGGGTACTAAGACTTGCAAATGTCTGACCCCTTGAATTAGCAATACACTTGATGCCCCCAAGCCACTTGACAACCACAGTGCTGACGGAAAGGCCAAATGGCATTCCAACGCTAAGCATCTGATATGAGAAAATATATGTTAGGCAGATCTTCATTTGGACTGTGTCCCTGAGTTACCACTAGAGGTTCAGGTTTGTGGCTCTGCGCTTAAAGAAAACCAAATCAAAGATTATTATGTTTTATCCCAAACAGACAGGCAACCTTTTAGTGTGTGCTTATTTTATACTGGACATTTAACTAGCTAGCATCTTCCTTCCTTACTGTATTTTTATGGTTTTGTTTGGTAAGCCACTCTGAAAGCAATGGCTGAAGAGTAGCTAATAAAAGGTTTTGCATGCACATTTAATGCCAGCATGGTGCATAATAAGACTGCTATAATTTAGAACCTAATCATTGGGGAGGGGTTGAAGTTGGGATGGATACCAAAACTTGCCACCATTGCCATAAACTAAAACATGGTAAGAAGCAAGTAAATAATATTTCTAAGCTTGCTTCCCAGGGTTGTTGTGTGATTATTAAGCGAGGTAAGAAAGGGAGCTAGCTTACTTCATAGCTGGATTCCCTCTAAATGAGGTTTTACAGCCTAATTCCTATGCTTTAAATTTGACTGCCTAGGATTGGATTTTGAAACTTTGTTCATCCCCATGATGGGGTGAGCGCCCGTTGCTTGGTCCCTGCTCTTCCCAACCTAGCAGTTCGAAAGCACGAAGTGCAAGTAGATAAATAGGCACCGTTCTGGTGGGAAGGTAAACGGCGTTTCTATGCACTGCTCTGGTTCGCCAGAAGCGGCTTAGTTATGCTGGCCACATGACCTGGAAAAACGCCAGCTCCCTCAGCCAGCAAAGCGCTGCAAAGTGCTGCAACCCCAGAGTTGTCTGCGACTGGAGCTAATGGGTCCTTTTACCTTTATATCCTGTCCTACCCATTAAAACCTGTCCTACACCAACAACATGCTGACAACCTCTGTCCTAAACCCTGATGTGTGTGGACTCTAGCTTTTCAGTGGTTAAAGAAATATCCTTTGCAATTGCTGTGGGCCACTCATCTCTCTGTCTTTGATATATTTCATGGGAAACACATCGATTGTGCATGTCTATTCAGAAGTAAAGACTTCCACTCGGGTGTAGATATGATTGCAGCCTAAGCCCTACATCTGAGCACTTGACACACATGAGCTTGGCTATCCTGACAACAGTCCTGCCAGGTAGGCGCTGTTCCTTGGATGGAGCAGCTTGCCAGCACCCCCGGAGTCTGGCGAGGATGCACCTGCCATCTCCTCCTGGTTTCCATAGCGATCGAGGCCCTGGGCGGCCTTGGGCGGCGGAGCCCCCGGCGGAGGCAGAGAGGTTCCCATGGCAGCAACCTCCTTCCCTTCCTCTCGACGCCCCGCACCCGCGCGCGCCTCCGCCTGCATCCCCTCCCTCCGTTGCCGCGGCAACCGCGGGGGCGCGCAAGGATGGCGAGGGGGCGAGCAGGTGGTGGGCTGGCAGTTGTGCCAGGCAGCCCCCTCGCAACGTGGGGGCAGGAGGAGGCCAAGGGGCGGCCCCGCACTGGCAGGCCCTGCTCAGACCCGGCTGGGCCCGGCGCCCCGGCGCCCCGCGCCTCTCTCGCCTCCTCGGTCCGGGCGCAGAGACCCAGGAGCAGTTGGCCCGGATCCCTCTCGGCTGGCAGAAGAGGACCCAGGAGTCCTGGCGCTCGCTCTCGCTCTCCCCCTCCAGTCCCCTCCCCGGGTCCAGATCCTTCCCTGCTGAACTGGGAGAGGACCCAGGAGTCCCGGCGCCCTCGCTTCACTCCTCCCCCTCCCCAGTTAGTACGGAGCGGACCCGGGAGATCTGGCACCTCCGGGCTCCCGCCAGAGGAGGGCCCAGGAGTCCGGCCGGAACCTCTCTCCCCTCCCCCGCCCCGCGCCGCCGGGAAAGGACCCAGGCGTCCGGGCGCCAGCTCCGCCTCCGTGCTTTGCATGTGACGGCGCCGTCAACGCTGCCTCCCCGACGAGGGACCCGGCCTGCGCGGCTCGGTCGGAGGCAGGAAGAAGAAGAAGAAGAAGAAGAAGAAGCAGAAGAGCGGGGCCTCCGCCGCCCCCCCCAGCCCCCCGGGGAGAGAGGGACCCGCGCGTCCCGCGGGGCCAGAAGCAACTTGGAGCCCGCCGGCAGCCTCGCCCGGGACGCGGGTGCAGGGGAGAGGCGCCGCGCAGCCCATGGAGCCTCCCGGGTCGGGCGCGGCGGCTGCCGCCTTGCTGACGGGTGAGTAGCTGGGGATGGAGGGCGACCCGCCCGGACGACGCTGCCTCCTTTCTGCCTGGGGGCACCGGGGGGCAGAGCCCTTTGGCCCCGCCAGGCGCCTGCCCGGGGACCCCAGCACCCTCTTCGCCCCATGGACGGGGGCGGGCGGGCAGGTGGGTGTCCCCGGGCAGCAGCCGCGGCGCCCGGAGCGGAGTCTCCCTCGGACGCAGCTGCAGCCGCTTCGGGCCAGGAGCGCGCGCTCGGGCTCCCGGGATCTCCTGCCAAAGCCGCTCCGCTGCTGGTCTGCCCACTTGCGCTGCGAATGCCGAGAGACTCTTCCCAGCCTCGGCCGGCCCTCGAGATCCCCACCTGCCCCCCATCTCTCCGCCCCCTGCCGCCTCCGCACTCGGCATTCACTGCCGGATTACGGAGTGTTTGATGGGGTTTCGTATTAAACCCAGCGCCAGAAAATCCTTTCTTTAGGCCAAATCCAAAGATTCGGGGGGGGGGGATGGAGCAGCAAGAGAGAAGCCAAATCAGCCTTCTTTGCCTGTCCATCCCTGCAGCTCCTCTTCCCGATCCGGTGCAGGCCCTTCTTTCCCCAGAGTCAGATGGGGGGGGGGGGGTTGCCTCCCAGGAGGAAAGGTAAACCAGAGGCTGACAGAGGACCCTTCCCTGTGACAATTCGGGGGTTGTCAGCTGAAGCAAGGGGGGGTGAGTCTGGAGCCGATGGGGATGCAAAGGGGAGCTAAGAGAGGAAGGAGGCCCATCCCTGGCGGGGGCCAGGATTCAGGCTTGGACTTAGCCAGGCCACAGCAAGACTGCTGTCCAGAGTGTGTGATTCTGAGCATGTGCAGAGTTACCTTTCATTTAACACTGAATAACCACAGCTGCTCCTCACATATCTAGTAGTGGGATGTGACCAAAAAATAATAATACCTCACCACCATTTGCTTCCATTTTAGAAATTAATCACTCTTTGAGGGCCACCAATAGGATATGAGGCAAGGACAGCTGGAGTCTAGGGGACACAAGTGAATAGTCCCTTCCATTTTCTGATTACTGTCTGGTGGTTGTGCACTCTGTATTCTGCCAAAGGAAGTTGTTATTCCAGCTTCTCCCTCCCGTGCATGGATCCTGCCTCTAGTGCATGTCCTGGGCATGTATCAATCCCAGCCATGAAGGAGAGTGTCCTTCCCTTGCACTTGGAACAGATCCACCTGTCTTTTGTTATACTGGGCTCTGGCACAGCCTGCAAATGTCACTTGCACAGCCTCCTAGAGCCCCTCTGCCCACGGCTCCCCATGCATGCACATGTAAAAGGTAAAGGACCCCTGGACAGTTAAATCTAGTCAGACTTGACTATGGGGTGCAGCGCTCATCTTGCTTCAGGCCGAGAGAGCCAGCTTTTGTCCACAGACAGCTTTCCAGGTCATGTGGCCAGCATGACTAAGAACAGCGCACCAGAACAGCGCACAGAAACACCATTTACCTTCCCGCCGCACCGGTACCTATTTATCTACTTGCACTGGCGTGCTTTTGAACTGCTAGGTTGACAGGAGCTGGGACAGAGCAACGGGAACTCACTCAATTGCGGGGATTCGAACCACCAAACTTGTGGGTGGCGCTGTGGTTTAGACCATATATGACAACAGTAATGCCTGAATTAAGACATTCACCTCAGTACTGATTCCTTTTGGATGTATATAGAGAAATGGGAACTGCCATAGTTAAATGTCTCTGCCCTTTACTCTCTTGCTGCCCTTATTCCTGGAAGTCCCTCCAAGGAATGCCTATATAGGCCATACTATATATATATATATACTGCTGTCCATGGAGGCACAGGTCCATTCTGTGTCCAGGGCAGCTGTCTACCAGCTCCATCTGGTACGCCGGCTGAGACCCTCCCTGCCTCTGCCTTGTCTCGCCAGAGTGGTGTATGCTCTGGTTATCTCCCGCTTACTGCAGTGTGCTCTACGTAGGGCTACCTTTGAAGATGACTTGGAAACTACAACTAATTCAGAATGCGGCAGCTAGACTGGTGACTGGGAGCAGCTGCTGGGACCATATAGCACCAGTCCTAAAGGATCTCCACTGGCCCCCAGTACATTTCCAAGCACAATTCAAAGTGTTGGTGCTGACCTTTAAAGCCCTGAACAGTGTTGGCCCTGTAGACCTGAAAGAGCGTCTCCACCCCCATCCCTCAGCTGGGACACTGAGGTCCTCCTCTGAGGGTCTTCTGGTGGTTCCCTCACTGCAAGAAGCAAAGTTACAGGGAACCAGCCAGAGGGCCTTCTCAGCAGTGGTGCCCACCCTGTGGAACGCCCTCCCATCAGATGTCAAGGAGATAACTACACAACTTTTAGAAAACACTTGAAGGGGAGCTTTTAATGTTTGATATTTTAATGTTTTTATATATGCTGGATGTCGCCCAGAGTGGCTGGGGCAACCCAGTAAGATGGACAGGGTACAAACAAACAAACAAATATCAGTGCTTTTTTTCAGTGGGGACGCAGGGGCATGCCTACCCCTAAACATTTCGTGAATCTTTGTACTTTTGTCCATTTACTGTGTTTATTTTTCCTGATTTGAACTATAAAATGGTGATCTTCTTGAGTCAAAATGAGAGTACCCCTAAACATATAATTTTTTTTTAGAAAAAAGCACTGATTACTATTACTACTACTTTGTCATTCCTATTTCTTCTTTCAAATTTACCTTTAAAACACACCTTTCTGTGAAGCACTTGCCATAGGCTCTCAGTTCTCACCCCCTACAGAAACTCAGCCTTAGTAGGTGCCATTGCATTCTTCCTTGTCGGCTCTCCTTCCTTTCCTGGTGTCAATTGGAAGCTGCTCAGTGCAGAGACCTGCCTTTTTTGTTTATGTTCCGCTGTAAAGCATGGTGTACATTGGTGCCCCATTCATCCATCCTGTCTCTTCTGGGATGTTGTGCTGCTTACTCAGGTAGAAATCTGATTTCCTCAGCCTCTTTGTATAAGAACTGTCTATTGTTATTTAAGAAAGTCCTGGTTTTAGACTTATGTATATATGACAAGCTTGGAGAATGACAACCTCCTGTATTGTATTTCATAGGTCTGCTGGCACACATGTGTCAAGATTAGCTTCAGGGCAGTTTGAACAACTCCTGGGGCTGATATCAAGAGGGGACATGTACAAGTTGCAGTGAATTTACTGGCACACTTTATTTCCAAGGCTAGTTTGTAAATGCTCTTGTTTTGTGTCTGTGCATGTGTGTGAAAGAGAGAAGTATTTAAAGATCTATTATAGTAGCTGTTTTAGCAGTTGGGGTGTTTAGGTGCAAGGGCTGGAGCTGAGAGGTAGAACAGATGCTTTGCAAAACATCCAAGGTTAAGTCCCTGGCATCTCCAGGTGGGATCATGGACTCGGAAGAGCTGCTTTTAGTCAGCGTCAACAATACTGATGATCTGCTTTGGTCGCAGGCAGCTTTCTGTGTTCCTGTGCATTGTATACCAGAATGATGCCTGCTCTGTTGCAATCTATTGTTTTGGTATAACAGGTTTATCCCAGAACAAGGTGTAATCATTATTCTCAAGAAGTGGGCCGGAGCTAAATTTGGAGCAAGAACAGATAAGTTTTTACTGCATACTCAGTTGGCAGCAGTGCTTTTTTTTCTGGGGGAATGTGTGGGGAACGCATACCCCTAAACATTTTGTGAATCTAAGTTTGGCCTCATTGAGGGGCAATATTTCAATATGAGTAGGAAAATGAGAAAACCCCTAGACATTTTTTTAAGAAAAAAAGCACTGGTTGGTGGCAAATGATTTTTGCAAATTGTTTTGTGCCTGGATAAGGCAGAGCAGTCAGCAATTATGTTTTCAACTGTTATCTTTGCATCTTCTACAAGCGCATGTAGAATATTATTAGGAACAGTTATGGGCAAATGATCACTGCACATCTTCCAGTGGCAAGCAAATTGCCTGAGACATATAATCAATTACCACCATAGAACTTGTGACATAAACTTAACCCTGTAAGGAAGAAGCACATGCACAACTTGGCAGCCGGTGTTTCCAACTGTCACTAGTGGTAACTTGACTGCTGTGTAGTGAGTTTCTTGCAGCCTCCCTAATTTGCTGGTCCCAAAAGGATACAGTCAACAAAATGATGGAAAAGGTGTCACTGCACCTGCTTTCTTGCTGCATCTGTTGTGTTTTGTGCTGTGTTTGTACAGTGGGTTGAATTGTCATTAAATGGTCCCTGGAAGACTGTAGATCAACAGGTGATCTGCAAAGGTGGAGTGTAACTCTGAGTGGCCCAGCAAGTGACAGGAACGTGTGTAGAATCAGGCCCACACAGCTGCCTGCTCCTCAGCGCAGTAAAGCTGAGGCAACATCAAGCAACACATAAAGGGACTTTTTGGGGCTGGATCACTTCAGGATCCGAATGAGGGAATGACATCATTGCTCCCCAAGGAGGAAAGGGAGGCACCTCCTTGCATACAGAATTCTAGCATGTAAAGCAGCATTTAGCCTGACCGTTCCCCTGATATGCTGCCTTTCTGTGAAGGGGATTGTTCCCTCTGGACCCAGGAGCATTTAGAGAGGTGCTTTCCTAACCTGTCATTCAGGAAAAGCTGTACTGCTTGATTCTCCTGACGGTAAAAACTGCCCCGACCCCCAAGAGAACAGGAACACGCCATAAACAGCACCCTTGACCTGGCTGCCTCTCTGTCTCCCTTTGTCCCCTCTAGTCATGGATCCCTCAGTCACCCTGTGGCAATTCCTCCTGCAGCTGCTGGAGCAGCAGAGCAATGGACATCTCATCGCATGGACATCCAACGACGGAGAGTTCAAGTTAGTTGATGCTGAGGAAGTTGCACGGCTCTGGGGGCTGCGGAAGAACAAGACCAACATGAACTACGACAAGCTGAGTCGGGCCCTGCGCTACTACTATGACAAGGTGGGAGTCTGCAGTCTGGCTTCCCAGCATCTCCCTTGCAGAAGACCAAGGACTCCTAGATTAACCCCGCCCCTGCCTTGCTTTCCCCTTCAGATCAGCCTTTTCAGGATCAGTTACCTGTGAAGGAGAATGCACTGGAAAGTTAAAAAGGGTATTTGGGGTGAGGTGTGTGTGCAGTCTTTGCATATTTACCAAAAGAGAAGGATTGGTGGGCAGGGCCATCAAAAGGAGAGTTCAGCATTATGAGAATCTCACATTCAACCCCCGCCCCCCACCCCATCACTCCCTCTCTCTTTAAAGCACATGCCTAGCCCTTATTTGTGCAATGAGAAGCTTGAGAGTGTGTGAAATCTCGGAAGGCATCCTGGCTATGGTCCATACAAATTCTCCCCACTTCCCCAAGTGGCAAGAAGTTCCAGGGACAGCACACCACCACACAGGGTATTTTACCTTTGGAAGAGACAGCACTGGAAACCTATGACATTTGTGTAATATTTGTTTTTGTTTACAAATGTATAGCTGAATCATTAGTGGAGGCCAAGAGCACCCAGTTAATCCACCACCTGATATCAGATCTCCAGAGATATCTCCCATAAGGTGTCTTCCGCTTCTCTGCTTCTGTCTCTGCCCTTGGATTAAGCCCCATGGAATACAGTGGGACTTTGCTCTTACGTGAACTTGCACAGGATTTCTTTGTGGGTGTCTCAGAACTACTGTTTCTTTATACCCACACATACACCTCTAACCAAGTCTGATGACTTTTACTTTCAAGCAATATCAAAACCATATCTCTGTGACTAACTCCCTTAAAGGGACATCTAGGGACTCTTAGCTTTCATCAGGTGGATTGCTGGTTGTCCGTTGACCATAACTGTATTTCTTACCTACCCAGGGCTGGGGGTTGTGGGTGTTTGTGCGTGTGTGACTCTGTTTCTGCAAAGCAGCCGGGACATCATCTACACAGCTCCACTCACAGGAGTCGTTCTGCAATGTAAAAAAAAATAATCAATTTTTCTTTTTAATAAAATGAAGAAATCTACAAAGGTATGCTGTTGCCAGGGGTGAAGAACCTGCTGTGAATTCTCTTCAAATATCTATCTTCACTTTTAAAACAACAACAGTGAGGGAGGGGGCAGAGCTTGTCTCTCTCCACAAAAATAATAAATCATGCCATACAAGAAAATATTTACAAATGACATAATTAATGCTGGTCAGAGTATTAATCTTTTCTTGGTGCAGAATTTGAGTTTTATTGTGGCACGTAATTTTCATGTACAAAGCATACAGGATGCCTGGTCTTGGCTGTGTGGTTTCAGCAGCAGGCAGAGGCAGCTCAGGTGCCAGCCTGGCATTCAGGTATGCCCCAAGTCAGGGGTGGCCACTGCTGTGTTTTCCAGATGCGGTTGGACTCCAACTCTCATCAGCTCCCATGAGCATTGGGAAAGTTCAGGGCTGATGGAAATTGTAGCCTAGCAAGTCTAGAACACACCAGACTCCCTTTCTGGAAGATACCATTGATGGAGCCTCTGTGAGATGCATGGCAGATGTAGTTTGATCACTGTACCCTGTTCTGTGCTAATTTTGCCGCCCTCTGTTCCTTCCAGAATATCATCCGTAAAGTCAGTGGGCAGAAATTCGTCTACAAATTTGTCTCTTACCCGGAGCTTTCAAGCATGGAGGGAGTAAAGGATGAGGGAGGAGCCAAAAGGCCTGAGCAGGTGCAGAGTGAAGCAAAAGGGGGCGAGGGGGCCTTTGGGGCCCCCAAAGCCCTGCGTGGAGCTGGGGGTGCCCCACGCAGCAGCCGGAATGAGTATATGCGCTCTGGGCTCTACTCCACTTTCACCATTCAGTCGCTGCAGGCTCCTTCGCCCGCTGGACGGGTCTCCCGCCAGGAGACAGAGCTCTTGCCCACAGTGCCACCCCCTGCTGCTGCCCCTGAACCACCACCACCCTCCTTGGCCACAGTGGACAATCCGCCTCAGCTGCACATCAGGATTGAGGAGCCAGAGGAGTCTCAGGAGCCCCTGCAGGTAAGTCACAAAAGTGCTGGAAGGTTTTGCTTTTTCAGAGCCGCAAGCGACTCCAGGTAGTGCATTCCACTTTGCTGGAAGGACAGGACTTTGGTTCCAAAGGGATAGATGGCTGGAGGTTCTATATATTTCAAAAGAAGGCCTGTTCTTTGAGTTTTCCTCCTGATTTGTTTGCAGGCAGAGTAGTTGGCAAAAGAATGAGCATTCTTTTGGGTTTATTTGCTAGAAGTTAGGTGACGCTGTGTCAAAGCAAGTATTATCCCACACTTTGCAGTGCCTTTCCGCCATTCACTTTCCTCATAGCAAAAAGGCCAAGCTTTATTGTCTAAGACCTCCCAATCCATTATAACTGTGCAGAATTATTTGACGGTACAGTATGTGATTGAATCCCACCAGAAAACAGCAACTGACTGGAAGCAGGCTGACGATAAGTGAACAGGACTGGAGAAGAGACAATGGTGGCCTCAGCTTTTGGCGGCCCTGCAGCAAGATGCCCTGATTGGACGCACCTCCTCCTTCCCGTGGTCACAGCTGTCCATCTCCTTGCTCTCTCCCCCTGGGCCCAATTTGGGCCTGGAGGTAGAAGCTCTTGCTGTCACTGCTCTTGAACTCAGACAGGGATGTTGAACAGGCAGCAGCAGCAGCAATTAAGAAGGCCGGTGGTGGCTCACATAGCTGGCCCTGAGAAGAGGAGGTGCACAGAAGGCACACCCATTCACCATGTCCTTCCTGCTGGAAGTTCTGCCCATCCTCATGTCTCTTTTTCATCCTTGGTAGACATTATTAGAGGTGCCAGGACCATTTGCTAGTCTTGCCTCTTAGCAGCAGCCTGACATAAAACAAGTGAAGCTTTTCACATCAAGCCTGGGAAGCTTCCCCATCTCATCTTATGCTTGTCAGTCTGCATGTGAAAGCATAAATCCCGCCATTCTCCACAAATTTGCGTTTGGGTTGTTGTTGTTTTTTTTGTAAAGGCTGTGGTTCCAGAACCCCACACACTTGGCAGTAGATTTTGTGCTGTGCACACTTGGGATGGGAACACCTTGACTATGTGTCTTTTTATATATCATGCTGGTCGGAGCTTTGTTTGCAGGTGCATGAAGTTTCTGATATGAAGATGAACTGATATGCAGTTAATTATTATTATTATTATTTATTGAATTTATATACCACCCTATACCCAGAGGTCTCAGGATGGTTCACAGAAAAGTGAAGCCCCCATTAAGCAGTGTGTTATAATTTACTCTTCATTAACATACCACCCACAATTTCTGTGGCTTTCCTTTCACAGTGCCCAAGTGCATTGAGGTACAGTGAGTGGAATGCATTACAAAAGACAAAAAAAACCTGTCAGCAAGTGGAAGTATTTCTTTTGTGAAACGCTGTACTTAAGGCAGCAGCAGAGCAAGCCGATTAGGCGCCTGGGGCGGCGTGTGTGCCCTGTGCCCAGGGGTGGGACCAGCTGCCTGCAGGGCAGGGCGAGCTGGGGCAGGCCTCCAAGGCGTCTGCCTGCCTCCTCCCACTCAGCCGCCCTACAGCTGAGGGGGAGGCAGTGGGCGGACTGTTTGGTGGACTGCCCCCCCTTCCTCCGCCCCTGACTTGAGGACTTTCTGGGACGGGAGTGGGAGCTGGGGAGGTTTGTGTCCGCAAGAGCAGGAGAACATAAAGCAGAAACCAGGGATCAGGTGAGCAGGTGTGACTCAGCAGCATGGACCGGGGGCCACAATGCATTCAGGAGACAGCAAATGGATGGAAGAGAAGAGGTCCCAAACAGGCATCTGCAGGGATACCGGCAGAGCATGAGGCACAGTAAAGGAAGTATTAGGAAAAAAAGTTGGTAACAGCCATATATGTCTGGTAGGATTCCTTTTTCTGAGATCATCTGTTTCTGAATGTTGGGTGTATTGCTGGGGATGCCCTTCATTTTCCTGCCCTTCTTGTTAGTATCCAACAGGCCTTTGTGACGGAAAGAGAATGTGAGATTGGTCAGGCCTTTAGATCTGACCTCCCCAAGACAGCTCTTGTGAGGCCTGAAGTCCAGGGGTTGTGGTCAACGTAGACTTAAGATGAACATTCCATCAGGCCCAGTGTTTCTCCTTGTGTAGCAGAAGGCTCTCCCCTCTCCTCTCCCTAAATATGTTCTGGGGTTTCTCCCAATCCCTCTGGAGCAGATTTGGGGATGGCACAGGTTGAGGCTGGGGGGCGGGGAATCCCGCTAATCCTTTTGCTAGGGCAAGAATTTGGTTGAACGCCAACAAGGAGAGCAGAGTAAATGAATGGGTCCCTGGTGAGCAAAGCTGAAAAGCAGAGCAGGATTGAGGAAGGATTCCTGAAAGCAAGGTTGGGGGTTAAGTGAAGCTGCGGAGGGCAGTAGCAAATTCATAATTTATTTCATAAAATGTACATATTGCTTGATGGGGGGGGACCCTCTCTTTGCATGAGAGACTACCTGACTGATTCTTCCCTTCCTTCTTTTTATTTTTCCTGTCATCCAGGTCATAGTGGAGCCCAGCCCATTGGATCCTTCCCCCCTTGATGAGAAGGTTCTGGTGAAGGTGGAAGAGAACCTTGACCTTGATGGTGAAGCAGCTGCTCTGCTGGTCTTAATGGAGGCTGGAGTCAAGGAGGAGACCTTGCCTTCAGAGAAGGCCTCTTTGGAGAAAGTGTCCTTGGAGGCTGAGCTGCCAGAGGAGGGGGGTGGTCTGCTGAAAGAGGAAGCTCAGTCCCCCAGACCAGCAACCGTGTCTCTTGAGGGACAGCCCCAAAAGGGCAAGAAGCCCAAAGTCCTGGAGCTACCTTCACTGCCAACCCAGGAGAAAGTGAATGCCACTGTTAACAGTCTCTTGGCACCTGGAGGGGCAGGGAGTACGCTGACCCCAACCACGGTCATTTCTTCTCATGCACTGGTGAGACCATGTTTCTCAGTTGGCCCAGTTGGGAGCGGACTACTGGGGGGTAGAACTAGGGTATCTTTTCCAAAATTGTTTTTGTCAGGGAGGATGTGCCTGATTTGAATGGGATGCTTAACATTCCGCCTGGATGGCAAATGTGACTTCTGCTTTGTACAACCAACCAACCAACCAACCAACCAACCAACCGATATGCACATGGCTCAGTAAGGCAGGAATTGGCAAGTAGGGCTCCAGAGCCCAAGTCTGGCCCATCAAGTGGCACTTTGGTTACCAACCCAGAGAGACTGTTTTGTGCAGCAAAGGGATTTGCTGGCAGTTTGTTTTATGGCATTGGGGAAGGGTGTTCTCACCCACCACCCACTGTCCCAACCTCAAGTTGTGAACTGTGTCAGTTGGATCATCAGGTGCAAAGGAGGTTGCCTTTTCGCTTCACACAACAAGCTAACTCTGCCAAAATTGTCTCTTCTGAGTGGCAGTCAAAGGTGCAGGTCAGGAGCCCTTTGCCACTGGTAACGTTAAGTACAAATTGTTCCAAAGAGCAACACATATGAAGAAGAATGGCCTCATAAAATTGCACCCACTTCCTATAGCCAACTAGCCTCGTTTTCCTCAGCTACTACCTAGAACCCTGTGCTGCAGGAGAAGGCAGAATGTGCTCTCTTGACTTTAAATGGCAAGAATAAGAATAAGAATAAGAATAAGAATAAGAATAATTTATTTATACCCCGCCCATCTAGCTGAGTTTCCCCAGCCACTCTGGGCGGCTCCCAATCAAGTGCTAAAAGCAATACAGCATTAAATATTAAAAACTTCCCTTCAGATTTCTTTTAAAAATAGGATAGCTGCTTATTTCCTTGACATCTGATGGGAGGGCGTTCCACAGGGCAGGCGCCACCACCGAGAAGGCCCTCTGCCTAGTTCCTTGTAACCTCACTTCTTGCAACGAGGGAACCGCCAGAAGGCCCTCGGCGCTGCAGAACGATGGGGGTGGAGACAGCTCCTTCAGACGCTCCTGCCTCTTACCTTTCGCTGTGCCAAAATCTAATCCATTAGTCCTGCCCTCGGCCTTCTCAGAGCCAGACACAGAAAACAGGCCAATGGACTAGGATTCTTAAAGGAGTGCTGTTTTCTCTCTGCCACCAACCATTTTGTGTTCTGGTTGTGACGTCCTGATTTTCTTTGCAGACCCCAGTGCTGCTCACTCCGAGTTCCTTGCCACCCACCATCCATTTCTGGAGCACACTCAGCCCCATCGCACCCCGCAGCCCAGCCAAGCTCTCCTTCCAGGTATGATGTAAGATCCTAGGTCTTACAGAAGGACTGAGGTGGGGGGTGAGGGTGGAGGATTATGGGTAGAGCCAGAGAGACAATCAGGTTTGTTTGGGGAGTCTGGTGCTTGGTTACAAAGGGAATATAACAAGCTGTGTGTTTTCTTGCACATCTGGAATCCTCCTGTGCAAGTGTAAATTCTGGTATCCAGCATGCATTTGACCACTTGTGTGTATATGCTCCTTCCTTCCTTCCTTCCTAGTTTGTAATCCTCATAGTTGGGACAAAATTTGAAATGTGCAAGTGGTGTCTGAAGACCAAATGGCTCACCTGAGTGCTAATGTGCAATATGTGGTTCCCAAGCATTGCAGAAGATCATTGGTTTTCCAGAGGGATAGCTTTGCCATGCAGATTTGACCCACTCCACCTCCCTTAACTAGAGCACCTGCTGCTGCTGCTGTTGGGGAACTTCAACTGGCCACCAGTTTCCCTGTAAAGTGTGCCACATCCCACCTGCTCTGCTGCCGCCATTGCTGCTACTCGGGGGGGGGGGGGGGAGAAGGTCCCTCTTTCCTTCCCTCTTCCCAAGGTTCCCTTAGTGTCAAGGAGCTGTCAGTGAGTCAGATCAACCACAGGGCAGGCACACACATGGAAGGCATGAATTGCAATTAGCTCTGTATTAACAGAAAATAACGCCACAGCAGAGTCCTTTGGTTCGCCTGACTCCAGAGCTGAGACATTGCTGAAACTGACCCCACCCTTCCCTCTCTAGCCTCGTACTCTGGTTCCCTCCTAAGCAGACGAAGGCTGCATCAAGGGGGAGAGCTCAGGGCCTCAGCAACGTGCAGGACTCTTCTCGAGCCGGGTGTCGGAGGGGGAGGAGAGGCAGCAAGACTGGGATTGTCCCATTGCTGTGTGGCAAGGGCAGCCTCTGACTCCCCTCCGTCTGAGTCTGTGCTCCCACTGTGACTGACCCCCTTTCATCGCTCAGCCCCCTTGCTTCTGGCACCTCCCAGCTTGTCCCTTCCACAGGCTGCCCTTCAGTGTCCGGGATCTAAGCCATCGTCTTCTGTGCCCTCCCGGGGGGCTCTTGGGTGGGCGGCTCCCACCACTCTTCCTCATCCAGCCAGTCCTGACTGATGGGTATTGACATAAGAACAGGGTGAAACTTTATACCACCTCTGGGGATTTACAACTGGCTGTGCTCTGCTTTGATTCATCCCCACCCCCATAAATATTGTGCCTCATTCAGTAGGTAGAAGCTTTTGTGATTGGTCTGGGCAGAAATAATGTGCTGTCCTTGGTCCTGTCCTTCATCTTTCATTAAAAAATAGCCTACGGTACTTGTTCATTTATTTTGGTTAGGGTGAAATGCTGTTGCAGTCATTCATATGGGTGCCGTGGTGCACATTTAGAATTTAAGGGAGAAAACAAAAAGGCAAAAGTTTGTAAGGGCCCCACAGTGTGTGGAGATGACCTTTCTTTGAGGCTTTTATACAGCTTAATTGCTGAAGGGTTGGGCGGGTTCTGAAAAGGAGTGGAAGTCTGAGGCTATGCACACATTGCCAACTTAAAAGGCAGCAAGGGCAGGGTTTCTGCTTTGTTTCAAAACACGTTTGCACCCCGTTGCACATGTCAGGATGGTTGGATACATTCCAAAGTCGCCCACTGTCCACACTGTAGACATTTTCAAATCTGAAGTTCCTTTGGGGGGCAGTGCATCAAAATGCAATGTTTCTCAAGAAATTACAGGATAGATGTGAATTGTGGCTAACATGGTATCTACGGTACATGGCTTCACAAACAAAAATAACCAAATGTTTAATTTGGGGGATGCATGTGAAATATGCCCTAGCATGGGCAAGAATTGAGGGACATGAGGGAGACGGATGTGGCATCTGAGGGACAGTGCATGAAACCTGATGTGTCTCTGCTGTGGTGCATAGAATAAAAGCTTCCAGTGGGGGGGGCGGTGGGGAGGATATCTCATCTCGCCAGTTCTTTGCTTCAGGTAAGCTCTGCATACACATGCAGCCACTTTCTTCTGGTGGAGCTTCAATAGGGATTGATGGGTGAAACTGTCAATTTTGGTTGCTCATTTTTCCACATTTCCACATCAGTCTGTGATTTTGTATTAAAATTTATTAAAATTCATCAACATTTCAGTGTGAATTTCTTCTAATATACAGCTGTTTGTAGGAAATTTTGCTAAATGCACACATTTTTGCAAAGTAGTGTTCCCTAATACAAAGCATTTTTGTATGTTATCTTCACTATTATACGCATTTTCATAACACTAGTGTATCTGTTGTTGCACACATTACAAGGCTACAGGCCTTGCAAAATTTGGAGAGGTGTAAATTTCAAGGGATGGTTGTGTTTCATTTTGTGTGCAAATTAGGTAAATTCACCTGTAAAAGTGAACTGAATTGAATTTTTACCCCATTTCCAGGCATCTGCAGCCCTCTATGTGTGTGGGGGTTTTTGGTGGGGGAGGGGAGAGATTTGGAGCAGAGGAGAGTTGCACTTCTCTGCTTTTGTGATCAAAATTGTCCCCCCCCCTCAAAGCCCAGGAAAAGCTGTCTTTGACTTTTGTTATAAATGTATGCAGATCTTAATTCCCTCCCCCTCTCTCTTCAGTTTCCCAGCAATTCCAGCTCCCAAGTTCACATCCCCTCTCTCAGCGTGGATGGACTCTCCACCCCTGTAGTCCTCTCTCCCGGACCCCAGAAGCCATAGCTTTTCTGCTCAGCATCGCTGTGTCCTGTACTCCTGCCAAAGAGCTGGTTTGAGTTTCTTTCCAAGCAGTTGGGATTGCTTCTCTGGATGGACAACTGTGTGTCTCTTCACTGGCCGGAGGATCCCTTTGGTGAGCCAAGGACTAATGAGCTGCTTGAAGGATGGAAATGGTGTAGCAAACAGATCTCATCCAATTGCCTCGAATAGGCCAGGATGTTCCTCTGAAACTAAACGGTGTCTCCCTAACACCAAAAAGTTGTTGTGCTGCACCTACCTGCTTCTGAAAAGCTTCATGTGACCCCCAAATACCTCTCTGGGGGCAAAGAGGTTATAACCTCAGTTATTTGCCGCCCACCGCCCCAGTTAAGGGGTTGCCCATATCTACCTTTAGTATAGCAGCTTGGGCTGTCCTTCGTATTCTCTTTCTTGCTATTCAGTCTCATAATGGAGATGAGTTGAGGTGATGGTCCAAGTTCAAGAAGGCGACCTATCTCCTGACATCCTACAAGGTAAATCAACTATCTCATCTCATCAGCTCCCTCCTTGTTCAGGAGAGCCTTGGTTCAAAGGTAGAAAGGTATAGACCCTGCCAGCAATGTTTGTTTTGGTTGTATGCAGGGGGGCAGAAGCAGCACCAACCATATTTGTGTTGATTGTGTGTTGATTTCAACTATGGATGATCAGGGTGTTGGTGTGCAAGCTATTTTTGGGCCAAAAGAGTTTCAGCCATGTTTGTGGCTGGATGCAAGTAAAGATGTCAAGGTTAACCACATCTGTTGTGGCTGAAAGGAGAAGAGGAAGCACAGTTGGTCATGTTTCTTCAGACTTCATGAAAAATGGTTTTGGCACAGAGTGTTCTTTAATTGGCTTGGCATGGCAAAGGAAAATGCATTGGATGTGTTTGCTGGTCAGCACCGGAGGAGGAGGCACTGCTAGTCATGTTCAGTTTTGCCGGAAAAGGTAGCAGTGTCAGCCACGATAGTTCTATCTAAACAATGTTGTCCATGAGTCCTTTGGCTCAGTGAGGTGGGAGATGTTTCTGGTGTTTCTTTTGGATATGTTAGACATTCCATTTGACATCACAACTGCAGCTGAGGAAGCCCTGTTTTTGTTTTATTCTACATGCACCTCAGTACTGATGCACCTAAAGGTCAAAGGTCACCAGTTCGTCAATGTGGAGACCAGAGAATGGAAGTCCCACCGACTTTACAGAATGGTTTCCTTAATTTATTTGCTGACGACAAAGGTCACCACAGAAATGACCGAGCGAGAAGTCTTAATCCTTTCAACTTGGGAGTCGGTCTTAATGGCTTCATTTCTTTCTTCAGTGGAGAAATATCAGGTGTTGACCATCTTCTCGGGAAGTTTAACTTGCTGACTGGTCACTAAAGAGAAAGTCCTCACATACCTCCTCACTTACTTCCAGCTCTCAAGTCACCCTGGAAGCCGCAGTGACAAATTCCCACGTTAGAGGGTATCCTGGTCATTTCCTGCAACCCAAACAAGGGGGCAGGGGAGGGGGAGGCTTTCTATGGAAACAGTGAAAAGGAAGTTAAGCCTCTTTCTGCAGCTTCCCACTTCCTTCCAGTTACATCAAAAGGGAATTTGTGACTCTTTACAAAAGGGCTGTGTCTTTTCATAAGGTGAGTTTTTAACTTAGGTCCTCAGATCGTGAAAACTCCGTCCCTTCTGCTTTGAGGTTTTTGTGGGGATTCCTCAGAACTATTTGTTAATGAAGCCGAAAAGATGCTGTTTCAGAAATATCATATGATTCCTAATCAGAACTCCTGGCGCCTTCTATTTTTTCACAGAGTATATATCACAGTTTTATCTATTATGAAAAAAGTCATACTGAGAGAATAGTAGATGGTTTAAAGCTATATTTATCTTTTTATCCGTCCATTTTTTATATCTATTTTTTAAGGTGGGGGTGGGAGATCAAGATTTATTTTAAAGCAAGTGGGAAAGAGAAGCACTTGGCTCTCCAGTTGTGTTTGGTTTTTAAGTGGACAGAAGACTATGGGACATGTTTTCAGGGCCATGGTTTTCAGATTGTTCCCAGAACGTTCCCTCAGTTAGAAGTTCAGCAACGATGGATAGGCTGCTCTGTGAGACAACATGTCTACCATTACTGAGATTCCCCCAACTTCAGCAACAGGGAAACATTGAGCATTGATTTAGGGGAGCCCAGGGAGGCTGTCCAGAGCCCTGGATGCATTCATTCAGGGACTTGGTAGCAGATGCTCAGCAGCTCCTCCGTGACAAGGCCTCCCTCCTTGTGGGAAGGGTTGACTGAATGGAGAGGATAGTTGACTGTGCCAAGCTGTACACCTGGGTCACACAGGATGTGGGGATGAAGAGTGACTTCATTGAAATATCTCTCTCTCTCTCTCTCTCTCTCTCTCTCTCTGGTATCTGAGGGCCAAACTAGAGCAACGGCATGAAATCCATGGGGAAGAATTCTGTGTCACGCTCTTCTGATAGTTCTGTCAGTGCCAGCATTTTTGCTTGCCAGATGGAATAGCCACTCCTCTCCTCCCCCTGGGGGTGTTCTGGGGGTTCTCCTGACCCTCCAGAGCACATTTGGGGAAGGCTGGGTGTGGGGGGGAGGGAGAAGGCCCCTTTGCACTAGCGGGAGCCCTTGCACTGGCTTTTGCTATGGTGACAGGTAAGTTGACTACAGGCCCATGTATTTAAACATGGAAATGACCCCATGCCACCTTGAAACTGGGGTTGGGGAGGAGCTGGCAAAGGGAGAAGGTCTTTTGCATGAGGCACATGAAACCCTCCCTGACTCACAGCTTACCACCCCACAGTTTGTTCTGCATGGTTTTTCCACCAGCAGGGATCCCATATGGAAAGTGAGTTTAGCTGCGAGAAAACTATGGAAAGGGTGGGGTAAGAGGTTATCGCCCCCACCCATCTGCCCCTCTTGCAGTTTGAAAACACACACCTGCTGCATTTGTATCCAGTTTGGCCCTGATTCACTTACACCCAGTTGTAACTTTAGAAGTAATTAAGATGCATAGGCTTCATTCCTTTGGCTCTTTTGTGGCCGATGATGCTAAATGCGCTCTTGCTACCACAAGTTATGAAGCCAGAGGAAGCCAAGAGGGAGTAGAGATTGGATGATAGAGACAAGAGGTGGCCGAAGAGCATTTTAAGTGGCAGATTTTCTGTGCTTTAAAAGAAATATGTGGTTAATTTTAATCATCCCTTTGTGTAGCATTTAATAGTAATAATGATTATACTTTTTTGCACTTCCATATTGCCTCCCATTGGGAGAAATCTTAAGTGCTTTACAAGGGGTGGTTTACAGATTTATTTAATAAATTAGGCACTTTGTGTAAACAGCAATCTGCAACTCAATCAGGTACAAACCATGAGTGTTAACTATGAACAAATCATGTGTGATTTGTGTATAAAGTAAGGTGTGCTTTAGCGCAAACTGTGAGTACACCATCATAAGCCATGAGTTACACGATAGCAAAACAGGTGGGAACGAGAATACATTGTGGCTGAGCCCAGTGTATCCAAGTGGCAGATGGAAGGATAAACCATTGGCAACGCGCAGGCAAGGGAAGAGTGAACTATGGCAAGACATTGTGTAACCCTCTAGTACATCATGTGTAAGTATTTGTAAATGATGAACTTGTAACGTGGTTAACCACATCAATAACCTGTGGTTTAGCTTTAGCCATCCTACATGCAAACCGCAGGTAAGCCATGAGTAAACAATCAGTAAAATGCAAATATTGTTTCATATAAACTAAGTGAAATATGGTTACACTTTGAGTACACCATATGCAAACAGTGATGAGATCAAGTAAGCCATGATTGACTGATATGGTCAAGCCATGTGAGAGCCTGCACAATGCTTAGAACCATTTGAGCCGGGCTTTCTCCAATCGCTGGCTCTCCACATGGAGCCTCTCTCTCATGCTGGTGCCATTGGGCTTGTCCCAGTTTTCTTGAGAGCACCCAGCAAAGTAGCTTTATCAACCTTTTGCCTAGGACAAACGGCCTCTTTGGCGCTCTCCATCCTGAAGCCTATGTCTTCAGGGTTAATTGCTTGAAAGTCCCCGGGGGACTTAGGAGGGCGCAGCTCCGAAGGAGTCAAAGGAACAGCACGCAGTCCTAGGGTGGTGTTTTGCTCCCCCTCCTCCCTTCACCATGCGCAGCTTTCGGTAACTTTTTGTGCTGGAGTAAAACAACTTTTGTAGCCATATATTAGTGCTGACCCATGTGACAAAGGGATCCTCGTGTGGAGGCATGTTCAAGAGGTGATTGCAAAAGGACCATGGAACACGATACTGCAGCAAATAACATACACTGCATATATTTTCCTTCTTAAGTTCAGTTATCTTGTAAATTGAGAGTAATTCTGCAAGATCAGTGGATCTGAATTATTTTATAAGCCAAAACAATCAGAAAATACTTTAGCATTTGGGGTTGATTAATTTTAATTTTTATATTTTTGAAATCATTTCTATTTGATTTTACAAATATGAAATTATAACAATCCAAATACATATCCATATATTGAAATTACTCTGAATCTTGCGACTTCTCCCCACTCCCTCTATTTTCAACATTTACAACTTCTTCCATACTCTAAATTTTATATCAATCCATATTATCCAAAGTATTTATTATATTACAAGTGGAAGTAAAATCCTGCGAATGTTTCCATCTGCTTACAGTGGTCTCCTAGGTAACTTATAAAATTTTCCCATTCTTGCAGGGCAGCAGCTGAAGAAGGAGCAAAAAGGGTTTTCTTGTGTGTGTTTTTCTTTGTGGCTGATTAGCTGCTCTCCCTGTGCAAAGGTTTCTGTTGAGGCAGGTGATTAGCTGTGGGAGGAGCTTATCAGAGCTTGCAGGGCAGCGGCAGTTTGATCCATCTTTTAGATTTAGGGGAGCTAGTCTCAAACATTTGTTGGGGGAGACCTAGGTTTTTTTTTTGGGGGGGGAGTTATTTGTCCTGTCTTCACGCTTTTTATGATGGAGGACCGCTGTAGCCACCCCCAACGACACGTTCTCAAGATGGAGAGGGAGGGAACAGCTGCAGTCGCCTGCGGTTCCTGCGCAATGTTTGCCATCTTGCCAAAGGTTGCAGGCAGCTTTACCTGCAGCAATTGCATGTTGATTTCCCTCTTAGAAGACAAAGTCCAGCAACTGGAGGAACGTGTAGCTATGCTCCAAAGAATTAGAGAGCTGGAGCTCTTCTTGGAAGCAACAGAGCACACCGTCTCCACCAAGGAGGAGACAGGGGACTCCCCTGAGAAGGACGCTAGTTCACCAACACAGGAGCCAGATATATGGAGAAATGTGACTCAAAGAAGTAAAAGGCCCAGGGTTCGCTCTGATTGTTTAGAAATACACAATCGCTTTGAGGTCCTCTCCCCTAGCATGGAAGACGAAGAGCAGACTCCATTTGAGGCTCTCTCCCTCATTACAGTCGATCAGGTATATGAAGACAAGCAGCAAAGTCAGTCCTCAGGGAATGTGCAGGCGACCTTGGAACGAACAGCTCACGGAAGAACCCCAACCAAACCTAAGAGGAGGCGTGTAGTGGTGATAGGGGATTCCCTACTGAGGGGAACAGAAGCAGTGATCTGTGGGCCTGACAAGATGTCTCGGGAAGTGTGCTGTCTCCCGGGGGCTAAGATCCAAGATGTAACTGAACGACTGCAAGGAATCATAAAACCCACTGACAAATACCCCTTCCTCTTGGTTCATGTGGGAACCAATGACACTGCAAGCAATAGCCTCCAGAAGATCAAAAGAGACTACGAGGCTCTGGGCAGGAAATTGAAGCAATTAAATGCACAAATTGTCATCTCATCTGTCCTCCCAGTTGAACGAGGTGGCCCAGGGAGAGAGGGGAAAATAGTGGGAGTGAACAGCTGGCTTCGCAAATGGTGTAAACAGGAACGGTTTGGATTCTTAGATCACGGACTGCAGTTTCTTGAAGATGGACTTCTGGCAAGCGATGGGCTGCACCTCACAACGGTTGGGAGGAATGTTTTTGCCAAAAATCTCAGAAACCTCATGAGGAGGGCTTTAAACTGACTAATGTGGGGGAGGGAGACAGTGCTCCTGAAGGTAGGAGTCTATCAATTGATGAAGATGATCATCCAAATGTCATAGACCAAATGGAGCAAACAGCACGCAGACCTAGTGGTGGGAGGAAAAAATCCTTAAATAAGAGACACGGGGGGAATGATTAATGGACTTCAATGTCTGTACACTAATGCGCAAAGCATGGGAAATAAAGAAGATGAGCTTGAGCTCTTGGTACAGCAAACTAAATATGACATAATAGGCATCACTGAAACCTGGTGGGATAAGTCCCACGATTGGAATGTAATAATGGAGGGATACAATCTATTTCAGAGAAACAGACCAGACAAGAAAGGAGGAGGAGTGGCGTTATATGTCAGGGATGTGTATACCTGTGAAGAGATTCAAGATTTAGAACCTCAAAGCCAAAGTGAGAGCATTTGGGTCGAAATGAAGGGAGAGAAGAATAACAGTGACCTCATTGTGGGAGTTTACTATAGATCCCCAAGCCAAACGGAGGACATAGATGATCCCTTCCTGGAACAGATGGCCAAGCATGCAAAAGGAAGGGAGATAGTAGTATGGGGGCTTCAATTACCCGGATATTTGTTGGATGTCAAACTCAGCCAAGATTCCTCACTGGCCTTGCAGACAACTTCATTGTCCAGAAAGTGGGAGAAGCAACAAGAGGAACAGCCATTTTAGATCTGGTCCTAACCAGTGTTGATGACCTGGTTAGTGGGGTAGAAGTGGTTCAGTGATTCAGCAGAGGAAACACAGCCCAGAATAACTAAGGAGATAGTACAAGAATACTTGGCTAGTCTAGATGTATTCAAGTCTCCAGGGCCAGATGAACTGCATCCAAGAGTATTAAAAGAACTGGCAGATGTGATCTCAGAACCACTGGCAGTCATCTTTGAGAATTCCTGGAGAATAGGCGAAGTCCCGGCAGACTGGAGGAGGGCAAATGTTGTCCCTATTTTCAAAAAGGGAAAAGAGAGGACCCAAATAATTACCGCCCAGTCAGTCTGACATCAATACCAGGGAAGATTCTGGAGCAGATCATTAAGCAAACAGTCTGTGAGCACCTAGAAAGGAATGCTGTGATCACCAATAGTCAGCATGGATTTCTGAAAAATAAGTCATGTCAGACTAACCTGATCTCATTTTTGACAGAATTACAAGCCTGGTAGATGAAGGGAACGCAGTGGATGTAGCCTACCTTGATTTCAGCAAGGCATTTGACAAGGTGCCCCATGATATTCTTGTAAAGAAGCTGGTAAAATGCGGTCTTGACTATGCTACCACTCAGTGGATTTGTAACTGGCTGACTGACCGAACCCAAGGGTGCTCATCAATGGTTCCTCTTCATCCTGGAGAAGAGTGACTAGTGGGGTGCCACAGGGTTCTGTCTTGGGCCCGGTCTTATTCAACATCTTTATCAACGACTTGGATGATGGACTCAAGGGCATTCTGATCAAATTTGCAGATGACACCAAACTGGGAGGGGTGGCTAACACCCCAGAGGACAGGATCACACTTCAAAACGACCTTGACAGATTAGAGAACTGGGCCAAAACAAACAAGATGAATTTTAACAGGGAGAAATGTAAAGTATTGCACTTGGGCAAAAAAAATGAGAGGCACAAATACAAGATGGGGACACCTGGCTTGAGAGCAGTACATGTGAAAAGGATCTAGGAGTCTTGGTTGACCACAAACTTGACATGAGCCAACAGTGTGACGCGGCAGCTAAAAAGCCAATGCAATTCTGGGCTGCATCAATAGGAGTATAGCATCTAGATCAAGGGAAGTAATAGTGCCACTGTATTCTGCTCTGGTCAGACCTCACCTGGAGTACTGTGTCCAGTTCTGGGCACCACAGTTCAAGAAGGAAACTGACAAACTGGAACGTATCCAGAGGAGGGCAACCAAAATGGTCAAAGGCCTGGAAACGATGCCTTATGAGGAACGGCTAAGGGAGCTGGGCATGTTTAGCCTGGAGAAGCGGAGGTTAAGGGGTGATATGATAGCCATGTTCCAATATAGAAAAGGATGTCACATAGAGGAGGGAGAAAGGTTGTTTTCTGCTGCTCCAGAGAAGCGGACACGGAGCAATGGATCCAAACTACAAGAAAGAAGATTCCACCTAAACATTAGGAAGAACCTCCTGACAGTAAGAGCTGTTCGACAGTGGAATTTGCTGCCAAGGAGTGTGGTGGAGTCTCCTTCTTTGGAGGTCTTTAAGCAGAGGCTTGACAACCATATGTCAGGAGTGCTCTGATGGTGTTTCCTGCTTGGCAGGGGGTTGGACTCGATGGCCCTTGTGGTCTCTTCCAACTCTATGATTCTATGATTCTAAAAAATTTTGTCCTCTTGGTTCCTGGGTTTTCCAGTCAGCTTTGCCATTTCGGCATCCGCTTAGCTTGCCATTCTTCTCTGGTAAGGACTTTGTCTTCTTTCCATCTCTGGGATAGTAACATCCGAGCGGCTGTTGTCACATACATAAAAAGGATTTTCTGCTCCTTTGGGATGTTAGTACCTATAATTCCTAATAAGAAAGCTTCTGTTTTTTTAACAAAGGCATTTTAAACTTTTTTTTTATTTCATTATATATCATCTCCCAGAAGGCTTTTATTACCTTACAAGTCCACCACATATGATAAAAAGTACCTTCTTTTTCTTTACATTGCCAGCAAGTATTTGTACTTGTCCTATACATTTTTGCTAACTTACTAGGAGTCAAATACCACCAGTACATCATTTTCATATAATTTTATTTCAAACATGCCATAAATTTCAAGTTTGTTTTCCATAACCTTTTCCAATATGCCATCTAAATATTATGTCCCAAATCCTTTGCCCAGTGTATCATTACTGACTTGACCTGTTCATCTTTTGTATGCCATTCTAAGAGCAAACTGTACATTTTTGACAATAAATTGGGATTATTTTCTAATAGATCTTTTTGAAATCTTGCTATCTCACAATTAAAACCTTTCTTATTGTCTTTTAAAAATATCATTTAGTTGGTGAAACTCTAACCAATCCATTAATAAATCCCTTATCTCCTCATAGTCTTTTAGTTTTACTTGGTGTTCTACTTTGGTTAACAGCTCTCTATATGTCAGCCAATTACTTCTCATATTCAGTTTTTTTCTGAGATATTGCTTCTAAAGGGGAGAGCCACCAAGGTGGTTTTTTTGTTCTAATAAGTTTTTATATTTTTCCCATACCATAAAAAATGATTTTCTTATTAAATGATTCTGAAAATCTTTGTGTACCTTTGCTTTTTCATACCATAAATATGCATGCCATCCAAATCTATTATCATGTCCTTCTAAATCTAAAATATCTGCATTTTTCAATGTTATCCATTCCTGGATCCAGCAAATTCAGGATGCCTTATAGTAGAATTTTTAATCTGGTAAGGCGAAAGCATCTGTTAGCAATTTATATTTTATCCTTGGTTTCTTCCCCTGCCAAATAAATCTAGAAATATCTTTTTGCCATTCCTTGAAGTGTCCTGCACTGCCGATCACCAGTATCGACTGAAATAAAAATAACATTCTTGGCAATACATTCATTTTTATCACTGATATTCTTCCCCAAAAAGATAAATTCATCCTACCTCAAATCTCTCTTTGTTTCTTTCAAAGTACTTTTAAAAGACATCTGAAGGCAGCCCTGTTTAGGGAAGTTTTTAATGTTTAATGCTGTATTTTGTTTTTAATATTTGATTGGGACCCTCCCAAAGTGGCTGGGGAAACCCAGCCAGATGGGTGGGGTGTTAATAAATTCTTATTCTTATTAAATTTATGCATTTTGTTGGATAAAGAATCCTCTCTACAGCTTTACTAGCATCCCAGACCATCTTTCTGCCTGTTTCTTGATTTAAATTTAGCTCAGAATAATCCCTCAGTGCTTTTTCTGCTTTTAGTAAGATGTTCTGGTTATCTAGAAGTTATCTAGAAGTCCCTCATTTAATCTCCATCTACACAGGGTATTTTTCTCTCCCTTTAATTCAAGTATTATTAAATTATGGTTCAAAAGTGTTCTTGGTTGTGTTTCTACCTTTTAGGCCTGTATCGATAATTCTCTCGAGAGCCATACTGAGTCAATTCTTCCACTGCACTGGTGTGGTTCTGAAAAAAAATGTGAATTCCCTATCCAGTGGGTGTTTAAATCTCCAAATACCTATCAAACCAAAATTCTCCACCATTTTTAAAAAGGTTGTGGGTAGTCTCCCTTCCTTTGTTTCTGTTTTTCTTATTGTTCTGTCCATCTCTAGGGAGACTACCCCATTTGTATCTCCCATTAAAATTATCTTCTGGTCCATATATTCCAACATATTATCTTCTAACATTTTAAAAAAATTCTGACTCTCTTATTCGGTGCATATATTCTAATTAAGATTATTTTCTCGCTTTGTGATGTTATTTGTACTGCAATCATTCTTCTCTTCACATCCTTAAATAATTGTTTTGGCTCCAGTTTGGGTTTTACATATGATACCACTTTTCTTTCTCTTTTCTGAGTTACAAATTCCAATTCAATTATTTTATTTATCAAGACTCTTCTATGTTTTTTTTAGCTACATGAGTGTCTTTTAAGTAAATTATATCTAAATTCTGTTTTTGCAACACTTGTACTATTTTATTTCCTTTTGCCTTCCCATTAAGGCCATTTACATTCCAAGTTAATACTTTTAAATCTACCATTCTGATTTGTTTTAAAATTTTATTATTTCTAGTTATCTAATTACGAGTCTTGTTGCTTTTCTACCTCTTCTTGTCTTCGCTCCCCTTCGCCTTCTGTCAAGGGCTTCACTTCTCCTAATTCTTTTTTATACTTTCTCCAAAATTTCTGTACCTCTGATATGTCTCTGTACCTTTGTTTCTTACCCTTCTGGGAATTCCCATCTATATGGAATTACTTTTCAGAGCATATGTCAGAAATTTGTAATTAGTTAGTTTTTAAAGTAATCCAATAGGTATCTCCTTCAGGATGATTGAATTCTGTTCTCCTATTTGTAATCTTTTTTGATAATTTGTAATCTTTTTTGATAATTCATTTTTAATATTGTATCCTTTATTACACATGAATTAAAAATTACTAGGCAATCTCCTGGCAATCAAGCATAACTTGATTTAACTCTGAAGCCTCTGTCTATCAAATTTCCCACCAATTCTTCCTGAATCCGTGTCCATTCTGACAGCTCCTTAATTAATGTGGAATTCAGGCATGGCCAAACTTGGCCCTCCAGCTGTTTTGGGACTATAATTCCCATCACTCCTGCCCACTGGTCCTGTTAGCTAGGGATGATGGGAGTTGTAGTCCCAAAACAGCTGGAGGGCCAAGTTTGGCCATGCTTGATTTAGATCCTATATCCTCCTCTCATTCTTCTGGAATTCCCCAGAAGCACATTTCCAATACTGCTATTGCATCCCAAGCTGATTCCTGCAAGGCCCTCGCTTCTGCAAACCCCTTCCTCAATTTCTCTTGATCTTTTATCCAGTCTTTTCCCTCTGCCTGTGCTTTCTTTGTCTTTTCTTTTAAACTTTGTGTCTTAGTTTTAAGCTCCTGTGCTGATATTCCCAAAGCTGTCGTCTTATTTGTCAATTATTTAATTTGTCCTGTCAAGTCTAGTACAAATTTTGTATTCTGATCCAGTTGACCCCCCCAATGTTTTTGCATTCTCCCTCATTTCCTTTCTTAAATCCATAATCATCTCTGCAATATCAGTTTTTGGTTCTAATTCCTGGGCGGAACCCCTTCTCCCCTGTCCTGGAGTTGCCACTGAGGCTCCTGTTGGAATGGAGGGGGGGGGGTTGCCGCCATATCTAAATATTTATAATTCTATGGTTTATTTCTATTAATTAACACAATCTTTCCCAATTTTATCACAAGTTTTATCGGATGTACTTTTTTCTGTCTGCTAGGTGTCACACTTTCTCTTTTCAACAGAGAAAACAAAAAAAAAATCCAGATGCAATTACAACTTCCCATCAACAGATGTCCTCCTCCCCTCCCCTCCCCTCCCCTTCTATCTCCCCCTGTTTAAAAACACTTCTTCTGTTTTGCTGACTGTCCTCAAAACAAAGTTCTGCTCACCCAAAGGGAAAGGTTATTTATAGTCTTTCCTGTCATTCTCTGTAACGAAATACACAGGGGGAATGGAAGAAAGCCTGGAAAATGGCTTTACTCTCTGAGCTTTTCTTACTCCAACCAAACAACACCTTAAAAGGCAAATTCAATCCCCCCCAACAAGAAAAGGGAAAGGGTACCCTTCACTCAGGAATCAAATCCAATGTTAAACTCACAGGATAAAAATAAAAATAAAAAAATGATAAAACCAGAGAGCCAGGAATCCAGTGTCCAGAGGAATATTTCTTCAGCTTCTTAAAGCCCAATCCAGGAGTGTTCCCAGGCTTTTGTTTTAGTTTGTTCCCCATAGGCCCAAATCAATCAAGATAATGATAATGAAGAAGAAATATATTTTAAAAATTGAATTATAATAGCAAAGATGCTACGGAAAAGAGGTTTAGTCCTGGTGTCATTAAAGACTCTCGTTGGGAAGATGCCCCAGGAGGCCAATAACGCTTTGCGCCTAACCAGTATGGAGGGAATTTTTGGTGACTGGAAGGAGAGCAGTACTTTTGGAACCGATGGTGGTAGTATAAAAGTTTCACTGTACTGAGATCTATTAGCGGAGGCCTAATCTGAAGGAGTTGCCTTAGATGATCTTTGACCTCTCTCGGGTTAATCCACCTTGGGGACCTGGGGTCACTGCTGCGTATAGTTAGACATATTTTGTTTGGTTGTAAGATCAGAGATTGAAAGTCCAGTTGAGATTTTAGGAGATGAACACCAGTACCACTTTCATGTCTAACAGGGAGGTACACCACTGTCTCTTTAAATCCCTCGGAGGCAGAGTGAGGTTGTGCTGCAGCTCCAGCAAATGGGCCTCAAGCTTTTGGTGGAGATTATTCACCTGCATGGAGATCCCATTTATGCTCTTAAAGATGCAGTGCAGGGTCCTGGTTATTAATTGGAAGTGCTCGAATCCCAAACCATCGCCCAGGGCCAACTCGGACTCCCCCTTCGAGGTGACTCTCACTTCTTTGTCATTATCATTAGCATTTTTCGTTGCCTTCGAGTTCACCCCCTCCACTTCTATATCGGGTACGAGGTCAATTAAAGGATTAAAACGATTGTGAGTTTCAACCGTGTAGCTATCTTCCTTGTTATTTCTGCTACAGTTAAGAAAGAAGGAATCAATCTTAGACTGTTTGGGCCTCAGGGGAGGCATTGCCTCATCCAGGTCCCTTGGCCGCTTGCCATGGCCCATAGTGGAGATTAGGAGAGATATCCGCAATAATTGGAATTGTCTTAATGCACCTTAGAGAGTATTGCGGGAGGCAGGGGAGTGGTGAGCGAAGAAAAATAAGATAAAGTTCGTTGCTTACTTACAATTCTCAATCAATTGTCCACAAGTACATGAAGATACAATCCTAATTTGAAGTGTTCAAGGAAGTTCTGGTGAAGGCTTCTCTGCCTTCCTCCCAGGGAGCGACAATTGTAGCCAGTAGACAAAACTGCAAGTCAGTCACAGAGGCAGGCTTCAACGGGCGTCCATTGTTGGGGTAAATCAGGTTGAGCAGTAAAACAATAAAACAATAAACTAAAAACAAGGAGAGGTGGTAAGGCAGCCAGGAAGACGTTAAAAATGTGAGATTAGAATCAGGATGTGGCTAAAACTACTTAAAAACTACTTAAAAACTACTTAAAAGCTTAACTGAAGGCAGGAGCTCTAACTATGCTGCTGTCTCAGTCGCCATCTTGGAAAAACTCCAACCTGTTCCATGATACTGCAAGCTAGCTGTTGCCACTAGGCTTTCCAGAGTGGCTTTGGCAATTCGATATCTTATATTTGGATATCTTATATTTGGATATCTTATAATTAATGTCTAAAATGGTGATCAAGCCAAGTCATTCAATATTATTCACAATTCCCTAGCAGAGAGATCAAATTCAGTGTCTCAACTTTTTTGCTAAAATAAATACATAAATCCAAATTTAATGTCTCCAGTTCAATGCCTCAACTTTCAAAGTAAAAAAGTAATTTAAAAAAAAAAAGAAATTAAAAATTGTTTAGCAAGATTTCAACTCCCAAAATTGACCTGGGTGCTCAGTTCCCCAAGAAGGTTACTCATTTCTAAATAACACAAAGGAATGGTTTTACCTTCACACCACTGCAAGATAAATTTAAAAAATATGGGGGGGGGGGAGGTGGACTTGAAACCAAGTCCCCTATCTAATCTTCTTAATTAATCAATCCTTTAGCACTTAATCATTAGCAGGAAAAAAAGAAATAAAAGTCAAAAGACATAAAAAATAAAAGTAGAATCATAGAATCATAGAGTTGGAAAAGACCACAAGGGCCATCGAGTCCAACCCCCTGCCAAGTAAAAACTGACCTTATAAAATTATATTAAATAAGGTCAAAGTCAAGTCCTCTATCCAAATTTTCATAACTATTTAATCTTTTGGTAGTATTAGTAGGAGAAAAGAAGTGAAAGTCAGAGATCCTCTTACACTTGTAGAATGTTCCCATGCAGAGTAAAGGAAGCCACGGCTAGGATGGACTTCCTTTTTAACACCCCATCGCTTTGCCAAATAAATCCAATTTTTCCAGGTATTCCAAATAATCCAGAAGTTTTGTATCTTCAGCTTTACAGTTTTTGGGAAAGGTAAGCACTATTGGCTGGAGCTTGAGGCTTTTCTTCGCTGGAGCCTTTGTCCGGCGGCTCGAACTCGCCCCCTCCCCTTTTCAGAGCAGCGGGGGAGAGCAAGAGACCCCACGTCTCGGGCAGCAGGACCCCGAAGAGCCTCATATGAATCCTTTTAGGTTTTTTAAGGGGTACGCATCATCTTTGCACTTCCCCTAACCCCGAGCCTGTCAGAGAGAGCAGGCTCCTGCTCCGTCCACCATTCTGCAGCACCCAGAAGTGGGAGTGCTTAATTTTTAGGGGCAATATTCTAATTGGGAGTAATTTTGTTTTTATCAAGAGTCTTGTACACATTGTAGCTTGATCCCTTGTGGAGTTCAGTGTGCTTAAAAGTGTGCCCATTGATTTCCATGGGCTTCCTTACAGCATTCTTCACAGGATTGGGCTGCTGGTGCACATTTGAGGGAAACTGCTGAGTCACCAGGTTGGAATCCTTTCATGCCAACATCATGGTGAAATTGAGGAGTAATCAGACGTGTGGCTGCAAGCTCTCAAAGCAGAAATAACTTGAAGCAGCAGTTTCACTAAACTGTATTTGGTACCATTATATGCCCTTCCTGACTTGATAGAATCCTGAGAGAAAGAAATCATAAGCTGTATGAGGAGGTAGTGGAGTTATCACATAGTATGAATTAAAAGCTGATGATTTTTTAATAATAATAATAATAATATCTTTATTGTCATTTCCCCCATCGGGGACAACGAAATTACTTGACTGCTCCATAAAAACACTAATTAATCAATACAGTATAATACAGCAAGGGAGATTAGATGACTTTCAAAGTCCGGGCTTCCCATTCAGGGCCGAGATCGCTCTGGAAAAGAAGCTGTTCTTAAGACGGCTCGTTCTTGTCTTCATCGTCCTGTATCTCCGTCCCGACGGCAAGAGCTCGAAGAGACAGTGACCAGGATGCGATGGATCTTTTACTATGTCCAGTGCCTTCCTATGGCACCTTGTGACATAAATCTGCTCTAAGGTGGAGAGTGGGCAGCCAACAATGCTCTCTGCTGCCTTAACAACCCTGCACAACCCCATCCTGTCCTGGGTAGTACAGCTTCTAGGGTTCCAGCCTTTTCCCATGCTTGGGCTGCATATGCCATACATTTAAAGCACATAGCTTTCCCTAAAATAAACCTTGGAACTGTACTTTGTTAAGGGTGCTGGGAACTGTAGCTCTGTGAGGGGTAAACTACACTTCCTGGTATTATTTGGGGAGAGTAATGTACTTTAAATACACAGGGTGATTGTGTGCCCCTACCCTTCTTTGCTGATTCCCAACTCTTTCTCCAGCCTTGTAAGCTGAGCAGCTCTTGCACTTCCTGAGACTAGAGCTCCACTGGTGGATGAGAAAAGAAGGAGTTTTCTGATGCACTGCCCCCCTTTTATTGGGGAGTCAGGAAGAAGCAAGAACCAGAACCAGTGCTTTCCCCCCTGGGTACGCATACCCCTAAACATTTTGGGAATCTAACGGGAGAAGAAACTAAAAAAAAAGTTCCGCTGCTACCCCTGATGGCGGCCCCATTTCCTGGCACAGTGTTTCCTGAGCCTTAGATGGAAGCGAGCGTTTAATGTGTGAGGTAGGAGTTGGAATCTAGCATGGTGATGGTCAGTTTCGTTGTTACCATCTCTGATGGCGGCTTCATTTCCTTTCCTGGCGATTTTCTTGAGTTAAAATAAGAGTACCCCTACCTAAACATTTTTTTAGAACCACATTGTTTCCTTTCTTCACCTCAGCTGAGGCCCAACCCTTCCATATATAGCCTCCTTTACGTCTCCCAAACCAACTGATCCCTTTATGTTTCATTGACATTTGAATAAAGCAACAATGGGGTACCAGGGAGTGGCTGTTATTATATAGAGAGACTAGGTAAAATCTCTGTATAATAGGCATGACGGGCAGAAGGTGGAAATTGCAGACCTTTCTCCAACCTTTCCAGCTTCAATTTGCTAAGTGAAGAAGCTGGTTTAACTTCACTGGTAATTACAATATTGTATAAAGCTGCTAATAAACAAATATAATAATTGTCAAATTTCAAAGCTAAGTCTGTTGGCCAGTGTGTCTGTTGAGACAGGGCCAAGCAGAAAAGTCAAGTTAAAGCAAAACAGAGTCACAGTGGGTAAAACCTTTTTGGTTGTGACTAATAAACTGAACTGAACTTAACAGTCTTGTGGCTTACAATATTGCCATACAAGCTTTTAAAGACAAGTCATGAAATCAAATGGCATCTAATGAAGTGAGTTTTAGTCAATGAAATTTTGCGCTGCACTAAATCTCTCATGGTGTTAAGGTGCCAAGAGACTTTTTGCAAAGCTTTGTTGAGGATGCAAGATCACATCTTGACCAGATCTAAATGAATAGCCTCTGGATGTGGCCATAGAGTAACGTGTGCCCAAGAGAAGGGAATGTGGTGTCTTCCTCTTTTTAAAATGCTTGCACCAGTTCTCCCTGAGCCTCACATCCCATTCAGACCAGGCTGTGGGGAAGGGACTTGTACCACTGATTCCAAAATAATTTCATCTAATATATAGCAAGGGAACTTGCTGCAGTAACTAACAATTGTCCGTGGAAAGAAGTGACTTTTTTTTTTTTGCCTTCCTCGCTTGAACATGCTTCTGTTTGTATTTGAGGACTTGTCAATTTTGTTGGGTCTGTGCTGTTCAGGATTTCTCTTTTTATCTCAGTGGCACTTTGAGTCCTACAGAGTGCCAATGTGGCAGGGACTGGTTGAGACACATGGGAAGACCCAGGCAAAATCCAGGGATTCAGCACTTTGGTCTGAAGTAGATAATCTGCTGGGATCCTGCAACATGCTGAAGTAGATGTGCTGCAGTTTCCCCCTTCCTGATCTTCTTCATTGTTGACCTGGTCTGGTGCCCTGAGCCAGGGGTGATGGGGATCTGTTCCTCTCTGGTTACCTCTGCACTGGGGCTTGGATCCTGTTTTATTTTTTATGATGACTCTCTCTGGGATCCTGCCCTGTAAATAAATTTATTTTTCAACAAGACCCTTTCATTGCTGACTCTTTCTTTTTTCCTAACTGTTTCCAGATCCTTTAGTCTCTTGGAAGCCTCTTTCTCCCTTGGGCTACTTAATGTAAACCACACAAAATGTCACTCTTTGTGGGAGTAGTGGCACCTGCCTCAATAACCCAAAGCCATGTTATTCTGGAAGTGTACCCCAATGCACATGCTCTGTATCAGAGGAGGCGGGGGGCGGGGGAGACTCATTCTGGACTGGGATACTGCCTGCAGCTAATGGCTTCTGGACAGCAGTGTCCCTCTCTACAACTTAATTTATTGAATAGAATTGATAAATTTCTCTGTATCTGCCCCCCCCATGTGCAAATCCTCTCAGTTCTCTGCGGTCATTTCCCAGATAGCCTCAGCCTGTGCTAATATTGCTAAAAAGTGTGGGGGGAGATGTCAACGGAAGAAGGTGATAAAGGGTTCCCTTTCTGCTCCCTTTCTCTGATGCAAACCATGCCTTCTTGATATCTCTCTTATGCCAAGTTGCTGTGTAATGTGTAGTTTGTCCCTGTAGGGAGAGGAGTTATGAGGAATTTCTAGCTGTGGTTTTGCAGCTGATTCTTCAGTCAGGCAGAGGGAAACTATAGGCAACAAAGACACACACACCGTTTTTCACTGGGGACGCAGAGCTCTCACTACAGTTGCTCCTACCTTAGTCCACATGAGTGTGACACAGCAATCAGGGCAACGGAGGAACCATGGGGTGGAAGCCTATCAGGGCTGCCCCATGACATTCTGCTATGGGAAGCCAAACAGCAAATGGCTTTCCCTTCTACAAGACAGAGGAGTATCCAGGGCTGGCCAAGGTAGTTTGGAGCCGAAGGCAGAAAATTTCCTTTCCCACC